GACAACACCAAGCTATTGAACACAAATGTTTCTGGGCCTGCGAGGATGAAAACTCGTCATGCGAAAGCTACCTCGTGCAAAATAAAAATCTGTGTTGCGTAAGTGAACGGCAAATCCTACCCACGCCATGCCACACAAGAAAGGGCGAATTTCTTATTCGGAATATACATAATTGAGAAGCCCTTGCACAATTTGTGATGCTTCTAGGCGCGCCGAAGTTCCAGACCATTTGTGTATTCCACGAGCTGCATGACAAACCGTGCATTCTTCCAGCCCCAGATAACATCATATGTGCAATGCATACAAGCAGGACCAGCTAGCAGCAGTTCCTCATCTACTTCATCATCGACGCCAAATTATCTTTGGCAAACGCATCGTACTTCGGTAACGAAATGGAAACATGCATGCATGACAACATTGTCGTGCATTATTACAACTTGTGTGTGCCTGACAAGTGCCATTTCCTACGTTGCTAAAATAATTTCTATTTCTATTTCTTATGCGATTGCTACCAAAGTACGATGATCGTTTTGCATTGCACACGAAGCCAATCGCGAACGAAGCCAATCCTGAACTGGTGGTTTTCGAGAATTGTCGGACCAGGATGGGAGACTATGAAATCATAAACCGTCGTTTTGTCGTAAACCACGGAGGCAACGGAGTTGTGCCGCCCTACTGGGTCGAAAACGGTTTTGTATTCAGTGCAAAAGCAAGTAATCGCACTTACACCTAGTATAGAATTAAAAATGAATTGCATTTGCAAAAATATCAAAAAGAGTATTTGCCAGGCAGGTTCAGATAGGACATCACGTTTGTCAAATGCAGGATTGCAATGAGCGCAAGTACCCCACTGCTTTTGCACAGCATACGAGGTCACCTTTCTGCACGAGCCAGACGCGGAGCCCTCCCTCGCCACGAGTGCTGGTAATTGTAGTAGCGGGGTTGGGAGCAGCAGCAGTGCGGCACAATCACCCGCCCCCGGGATACAGTCACCAGTGGCTGCTGCAGACCACGCAGACGCGACTGGTGCAGGAGGTGCTGGGGCCACCAATGGTGCTGCGCAAGATTCCGCTCCCGAACTCGGAGGTGATGCGGGTGAACAGGTAAGTAGTACAACAGGACAACCTTCTCCTGCCGTCGGCGGTCCTGGGGCCGGCCAACAGGGAGAAGATGGTCCTGTTGACAATGGCAATGGGAACAATGGTGCCAACGCTTTCGATAATGATGCTCCTGCGGAAAACCCTTGTCGTTTTCCCGAGCCGGAGCCTGAAGAGTGAAGATAAACGCAAATCGCCAACACAGCCCAATTATAATACCTTGTGCCGTAAGGCGGGAGGCATTACTTAGAATTTGGTGGAACTGCTTACCAAAGCCTGATGTAGCCGTAGTGATCCTACGGAATGCGTTTACGCCCGTCGAGTACCTGTGATGCGCAGTCCGACTATTTTTGTTTACGTATCATAGTCACAAAATAAAAAGTTTCACCAACGACCTTTTTATTTCTCGCTAGCGTGGAAGATAGATTCAGTGCTTGTTTGCAAAAGTATCGTAAGGGCGTACACGGCTCTATATATGATGTTTTATTTACTTTAGATTTCTCTGAAGATCTCAGATGCAGCATGCTTGACCTTGCGTGCAAGAAAGTATAGTTGGAAAATGAAACTTCTATACATGATTGGAAAATTAAATTATCCATGTTCACGCTCGAAAAGAGCGCAACAAGAAGCCAAGGAAAGCTGTCATTTAGAAACGTAGCAGCAATTGGGAAATTCACATTCTAATAGCACCTCCTGTCGGTTTTTATTCTGGGGAACAGCAACAGCATTTCATGGAAAATAGACAATAGACTGTACGAAGAAAACAACAAATCAGTACATGGAGAATCACAAAGATACGCTCTGACGGACGGATAAAGTTATGTTGTACCAACCTTCGGGCAAAACGAAGAGACGAATTCCTATTCGAAGCATACTTCTTGCACTTTCGCGAGCTGGCAAACAGCATTCACTAGTGGATAATTCATACGGGGTAGTTCAAGAAAGAAAAACATGGAGAATACATTCTGAAGGACGTAGTAATTATCGTTTCAACACTCTCGTGCAAAACGAGAAGAAGAAAATGTAGAGGCAAGCGCAGTTTTTGCGCTTCACTTTGAAATTGTAGCAGGCAACAATTCACTTCTCTGCGACCAAGTTCTTCGCTTCCGTGTTCTGGCGAAGCTGTAACCCTGAACATCCGAGAACAAGCTGAGTACACGGAGCGAAGCCCAGTCTAGAAGTACAGCTCCACACGTACGTAGAAATCAAAACCAAGTGAGGGCAAAGAGCCTCTGAGGGGACAGAGTGTTGGAGCAAGGCGTGGAGCGACGAGAAGAAAGCGCTTGGCCGCTTAGGCGTGTGATTGACCACTCTCTGTAGCTCTGTCTGCGCGAAGCCTCCATCCGTTGGAGGCAGCTCGCGCCCCGTTTATTGCCCTGCTCCGTCTTCCCCTCGGGCACACAGGGCGCTTCGATGGTGGGGCCGGTCCGGCATGCGTGGATCCAGTGCCGCCCCTGCTGCAGGGCGCGCCTCCGGGGACAATCCTCGAACCGTTCCCGCCGCTTGTTGGGGGAGAAAATTCTGCGGGCGGAAGTAGTGTTGATATGTTTCTCCCCGGGGCCGCGAGTAGCGGTGGCGGCGGTCCGCCGCGGCGCCCGGGCGGAAATGGCGAGGACGACCAAGGTCATATCCACTGTAAGAGTGATGTCTGGGAGGTCTGGAACATCGCAACTTGTCATGCAAAACTTGGATCGTACAGATGAAGTCTGTGTTGCATGAACGACTGCCGTGAATGTTTCCCTAATATTGTTCTTGCCGAGAGAATAAAACGAAAAGCCAATCTCTCATGCGGAATAGGCATGTAGAAGCCGCCACCCAAATCGAACTTGGAGAAACGAGCTTGCCTTCGCCAAACGGCGCGAGCACCACACCTGGTGATGGGTCATCTCCTTCTAGCAGCTCTGCTGCTCCCTCTCCCTCTCCCATGCGTGGAAGGATCCAGTGCCGCCCCTGCTGCAGGGCGCGCCGAATCTGAAGGACTGCCTCACGTTCGCCGACAATGCAACCGCGCCGATTAACTGCGCCGCGGGCGGTAATCGGCGAAATGCTCGGCCTTTTTGCACGAGCTGCGCGCCAAATGTTGACGCCCCAGCCACTGGCGCCGCCACCGGTGGGCGCCGCTTTTTCGTGGGATCGGAACAGGCCGGCCCGCGCTCTGTTGTGTGATTGCCGCCCAGGGCCGCCGCCGCCCATTCTTTTTTGCTCGGAATTTTTGGCCTTATAGATTATAGGGGCGCTCTTAAAAAATGATTAGTAGGGAGATCACTTTCTAGAAGCTTCCTCTAGAAGCTTCCCCTAAGAGAGCTCCTGGAGGAAGCTTCTAAGCGAACGCCTGTAAGAAAAAGAGCGGCATCGTGGGGACCAAAAGCTCTGTATGTGCGAGCGTCCTCCCCGCGGGTGGCCCCTGGGCATGTTACAAGTGCGGCTTCGTTACTTTGTAGCACTGCTAACAGCCGGGCGCTTTTTTGCAATGCGGGCAGCTGCAAGTCGCGACGCAGGCGGCAACTTGCGCTAAAGGCTGCAGCTTGCAAAGCAGGCTGACGCCTGCGCTGCGATTTCCGCGCTGTAAGTGCTGCAAGCTGTGCCTTTCTTGCAATTCGGCCTGCAACATTTTGCGGTCGGTGCACGCTGGCGCTATTGATGCAGGTGGCGGCTACCTGCAACACGGGCCGACGCGCAAGCTGGGACAGACTACAAGTTGCGACGCCAGTGGCCGTCTACAACGTGGGCGACCGAGAGCTGGCAACGATGCAAGCGGCAGCCCGGGCCGCAGGCTGCAACCTGCGCCGCACGCGACAGCTTGATCTTCAAGCTGCGATCTGCAACGCAACCGGAAAAGGCGTTGCAAACCCTTGCAGCCTCCGCTTCCAGCTCTTGCAATCTGCGCTTGGGGGTGCAACCTGCATCGCAGACCAAAGACTCCCGAGCCTTTGGCAGGCTAGCGCGCAAACACCGCCGGCTGGAGGAGCCGCAACAAAGCCGCCGGGCCGGTGTTTAGCAGCCCTATTCTGGCTACCCTCCGGCACCTGCGTCTTTGGGGGGTAGGGGGGGGCGGTGCAAGAGCGCTCCCGCCCCGGCAGAGCGAGCGAGCCCGCCGCCCCACCGACCGCCATCCGATGGATCGATCGGAAGCATGGGGATATATCTGGGGATATATCTGGGGACATATCTGGGGACATGTCTGGGGATATATCTGGGGATATACCTGGGGACATATTTATCTGGGGAGGTATCTGGGGAGATATCTGGGGAGATATCTGGGGGAGGCTACAGGAGGAGTAGCGGGAGTGGCTAAAGGAAATTCTTTGCCTTCTAGAGGCCTCGCTTCGAGAGCTTCGCTGGGCGGCCTGCGGGTGGTCCTTTGTAGAAGTCAGACAGCCCAAGAAACGGGAAGCAGGCCAAGGCCAGCGGCCGGGCTGGGACGGGGCAGAAGCGCAGGGAACGAAGGCGGGCGCGTCCGCTTCTAATGCGGGCCGCTACTAGTGAACGGCGTCACTAGCAAGCGCGGGCCCGTTTTGTCATGCTAAAACCGCCTAGAGGGTTCCTGCTAGTGGCCGCGTCTCCACTAGCAGATTCCCACAAGGGCGACTCTGTCGCCAAATTTGTTCCGGTAGCGTTTCGTGATAGTTTTTTAATTTTAGACTTACTAGACGACCTATCGCCGGCGTCCTGGACGCCGGCGTAGTAGTCTAGTAAAACTATAGGTCACTGCAGCTTGTTCGCCATTGCAAGAGCGACCTGCTTGGCGGAGATACATTAATTGAGCCCGTTTCTGCTGAATGTTGTGAGGGTAACGACGAGCACGAGAGGACAGGGATTTCTGTTGTGGCGAGGTCATACAAGTCTCACTTACAGGCACACCTACGGGTGAGAGTTTAATGGGCGCTTCTGGAGTGAGTGAGAGTGTTGAAGGGCAATGGGGATGCTTTTCTATTTCTATCATCATGCAGACACCCGTATCGCAAATTCATAGCTCTTTTTCAGTGGAGTTTCCTTTTCCGCTGAATGCGTGCCGCCGAGATGGTGCAATACGAGCGGGGCCTGCGAGGTATTGAAAGAGGCCTCAGCCCGCATATGTCCGAGGCGCAGAAGGGCGTCACGGCGTATAAGCTGCAGAAGGCGCAGCACGCCAAGGGTTATCCTGTGTAACAACGTTCTTCCCCCGGGGTAATCAGCAGGTTGAGAAGTTGGCAACACAAATGCAGAACTTTTGGGAAGAATGCATCACAAGTTTCTCTCAGACGCATGAAGAGGCTGCTAGATCTCTTCTTTATAGCATCAAGATCAGTAGAAATGCCTTTTCCGGGTTTGCGTATCACAAGCTCTTACACTATTCCGTAGATGCAGATCTGCGTGACACCTTGATGGGAACGGGCGTTTTTACTGAGGATAAAGACGAAGCGCGGATGACAGCGGCGTCGAAACACGTCGCTGGGAAGATAGCTGATATCAACAGAAAAAAAACTCTGGCTCTGGATTTCTTTGTCTTGCTGCGCCTTGTCGTTCAGTTTTTGTATGGCCCAGAAGCGAAGATTTCAAGTGCGGGCCACAGCGTCACAAGCTTCCACCGGCGCACCTCGCGATGCGTCGGTGGATCTCTTTTGTTGCTCATGCAGTACAGGTTTCGTCCTTGTCGTCCAGAGCTCGCATGACAAACAAGACCTACCAGATCGTCCAGATGTATTTGCAATCCATAGGGCAGTACGACGCGCAAATAACGGCGCAAGAGAAGAAGTACAAGACGCCGCGCAAATGCTGAAGCCTCTCCCGAGCGATCGGCGCCGCCACCGGTGGGCGCCACTTTTCCCTGCACGGGAGGCCCGCCCGCCCTGTGTTGCGTGCCTCCTGGGGCCGCCGCGCGCCCCTTCTCGGCGCGCCCGCGGACTGGGGCCGGCCAGGTGCACACCGGCCCCGCCCTTCGCGCCGGGGCGTTGCCCCAAAGATTATCGGGCGCGCGCGCGAAGCCTATGCCGGCTAGCTGTTGCGCTCTGGCGCGGGCTGTTGCCGCGCTTTGGCGCGGGCTTTGTGTTGCGCTCGCCGCCGAGGCGCTGGCACAAGTAACGGCCCTGCCGCCCGTCTTCTTCGCGCTGGTCATTCAGGAACAGAATTATTACGCCCGAAGGAACAAGGCCGCCCGGCTTCTGCAGGTTTCGCTGCTGGGAAAGACAGTGTGTCGTAGTCTGCAAAACAAAAGTGTGAATCCTTTGGCTTTTTGCGTCGTGTTCCGTTACTAAACCGATTGCCTTTAGTTTGAGCAGGGGCGAGGTGCTGCAGCGGGTTCGTCCCCGTCACTGCGGGATGCAGTGTCATGCAAGAAAAGTGAGTGAACGTGAAGGACAGGAGAGCGACAGTGCGGCAACTCAGGGTATATTTTACGGCAGAATCTAAATCTGATTTGAGTGAAGGAGAGTGAGAATCCGTGAGGCACACAAGCGGTGCGATCTTCTCATGAGCTCATGCGAAGACGGATGCTGATGTGCGTGTGCACCGACGGCACTACTACTGTTGCGTGACATGCGAGTTGACGCATAATAGATACACCCTTCGTCGTGCGCAGCACACGTCTCATATTACGCTGTCGCGCACAAGGCGATGAGCAGATGAGGTGACTGTGCTCACTACTTTGCACCATCATGGAACGAAAGTGTTGCGCTTCGTCTCTGGAGCGGTCCGGTCCGCGAGTTTTTCCGTCTGGACATTAGTGCTGGCCCCCCGTCCGTGGTTGGGATTCCCGCGCAGATCACCTCCCCGATCCTGGATCCGGGTTCGTGTCATGGTATATGAGAACAGTTGAGGTTTTTTTTGGATGCAGTAATTCCATTTTTCGTGTTGTCGCGTGAGCGGTTATTTTTACAACAGGACGAAGTTCAAAATTCGTTGCTGAAAATTAACACAAACAGTGGACCACGTTTGGGAAGCGCTCAGCGCTCCCGGCGCCTCGAAGATCCAACGCACTGGTGTACCCCCGACGCACCAACGGAGTGCTTACCGCCCACCGACGCGACACGCGCGCGGTTTTCCTTGCGGCCGCAGCGGCCTTTTGCATGACTCCTGATGTCTGTGATGCATGCCCTAGCATCACACATTTTGTGAGGGCTTCCTGATGCCTATACCGCATGACAAATGCTCTTTCCGTATAGCAAAACTTGGACTCTCTTTGCTGCTCATGGGATACAGATTTTTTTAGAATCCAAAATCAGCATCACAAGTTGGATTCTTCCAGACCCAGACATTTTTACATTTGATAACGACTACGGCGGTAGTACATCAACGGGCAGTGGTATCCAAGAAAAAAACGTTGTTAGTGTAGATTTTTGATGCGCAACATGCAAGATGATTGCGTCTGTCATGCTTGGCATGCATCGTAGGGTCCATGAAAGGGCGTTTTCCCGTACTATCTGCGCATGACAGGTTTTTGCTGTCATGCCAGGCAAATTTGTAATGCTGTTCCTCCAAAAAAGTTACACCTACAGCGTTTTTTTCTTGGATAAGTGGAACTACAGGAAACAACATTCCCTGGCGGCGCAAGGCCGAAGCGCGGGACTGGTTGCGGCGCGAGTACGGGACGAAATTGCTGGGTGGGGAGTACGATTTTTTCCTGAGCAGCGTGGAATTGTGGGCAGTAAGTCCCGCGGGAAGTGGGCGGGTGAAATGGGACTTGGTGGAAAAAGTGGATTTGTAAAGACGGTGTTGTAGCTGATGTGTTGGTTCTTCGTCCACAGCTTGCTGGGTCTGCTGCGGTTCCCGGGAGTTGTCTCTCGTGAATTTCTGCAGATCATTCCGACCGTCGTGATACTGAAGACATGTAGAACAAGAGAAAAACAACTAGAACTAGTACACCGTAAAATACTAAATGTTAGCGCGCAGTAGATCGTGGATGGAAATGCGATTTTGGTTCTTCAAATGAAATGTAGTGTATTTGTATCGACGCCGCGGGCGAGGGGGGACAGCCTGTCCTCTTCCTTCATCTCATCACCCCCTTTTCATCTCTCATCATGGAATCGAGCTTCACTGTTGTTCTGAATTTTACGGCTTGAAGATGGTTTACTCTGCCGTCCCCGGCCGCCGCCGGAACCTGAGCGGGCGATGAGTCCAGATAGATACCTAGCTCTAGCCAGAAGTTCTAGAAGACGAGTGGGAGCAGATCTTCACTGACCACAGTGACAGAGGATATTAGAAGAACTACAATACGCGGTAAACGTACAAATCTAGAGCGGTTTACTAGTGTGACAGCGACAATTGATTCAGTTTCAGACGTTGAGGTTGGTCCTCGTCGGAGTTCACACCACCCTGGAGCGAGATTCAATTTAGCGTAGAACGAGTTTTCAACAATAATTGTCACATATAGAAATATCAACGGTAGTTAGCTGTTTTAGAGTAACAGAAACAAGATTACGGCGACAAGTACACCACTTAGAAGAAATCTAGCTGTCACCCCCGACGCACCAACGGACTCCTTACCGGCCACCGACGCGACACGCGCGCGGTTTTCAGGACGTGGATATCAAATGCAAAAATATCTGGGCCTCGAAAGTTGGAACTTGTGATGCTAACTTTGGACTCTAAAAAAAATCTGTATTGCATGAGCAGCAAGAGGAGCCACGTTTGTGCTACGCGCGGAGGGCATTTGTCACGCGGAAATGGCATCAGGAAGCCTTCCAAAAATGAAAAATCTGTGATGCTGGGTCATGCATTACAAGCATCATGGGTCATGCCAGACAAGCATGACAAGCCTTGCATTCTTCCAGACCCAGACACTTTTGCATTTGATAGTGGAATCCAACAGGAAAGTACAGTCGCACCAGCACAGCTCCGACGGTTCTCTTCGCGGCCGCGGTCCGCGTACTGGCCGTGTGCTTCTAGCAAGTACAAATCTACTCCTGTGTCCGTGTCTACTCATGCAGCCGGAAATAATGGCATAGATGTTCCGTCTCCTTTTGCATGACAAACTTGCTAATTCTATCTCTTTCAAGTTTTCCAGCCATGCGAGAAAACGCAATACAAATTTTTGTTTCCTGTTACTGTAACGCCATGTGCGAGCGTGTAGTTCTTTTCTGTGGGATATCCGCAGATCTGCTTCAAGGTCGGACGCCGTTATGCGGACCTCCACTTCGCGCACCAAACTATGAACTGCAAAAGTATCGCACTCGTATAAATGCATTACAAATTTCCTCAGCATGAGAAATAAAATTTGTCATGCTGATTTACGCCAAGAAAAAGATTTGTAATGCATGATTGCAATTACTACGAGTACGATACTTTTGCACAGGATATTGAGTAGCGATCCGGAAACTGGATCTCCATGCAGGGATCGACGATGGAGAACATGGCACGATTGTATCCAAAAAAAAAAAACTGCCATCCCCATCCAATTTGTCATGCAAAACATGTATGAATTTCTGTGTTTGTGATGCATAAAATGAATGGGGATGGTTATTTTTTCCTGCATAGACTGGCCCCGCCCCGGTGCGTGTAGAGGTGCGCGTGCGGCGGTTTGCCGTAGATCATCGCGTAAAGGATTATCCCCAACGACCAAATATCCGTCTCCGGCCGCATTTTCATACTGGACTCGTACTGCTCGCCCTGGTGGAAGGCCTCCGGGGCCATGTACAGAACCGTCCCGCAGTGGCCGTGCCTGCTAATGTGGGTTTTGTTCGGTTCCAGCACCCTGGCGAGCCCGAAGTCGGACAGCTTCACCTTGGTCCGATTGTCGAACAACAGAAAGTATGCTGCGCAAAAGTACCGCACTGCTACTCATTGCAAGTAGAACCATGCATGACAAATCGATGTATAATTTTTATACCTAGAAGTCGCCAACCTAGCATGACAAATTGCATTTTGAAAGTTGAGAACAGTTCTTCTACTTGCAATAAGACAAGACTTATTCTGTGCGATCCATTTGGATTGCGTACGAAGTTGCCGGGTTTATTCAGGTCAAAGTGCACGATCTTCTGTGCGTGAATGAAGCGGACCGCGGCAACCATTTGTGTGAAGCAATGCAGGATAACCGACAACGGACTCCTTACCGGCCACCGACGCGACGCGCGCGCGGTTTTCCTTGGTCGTCTGGAATGCAGCACCGGTCATGCTCGGTGCTGCATTCCAGACGACATGGGTCGTAGAGAATCTGCATGACAAGTCTCGCAACGTTCCAGACCCAGACATATTTGCATTTGACAGGCCGCTGCTGCTGACGATAGCCATCTCGACCTGTCCAACATATCCATAATCGCACACGAAGAGTCCTCCATAATCGAAGCAGAAGATGATATGCAGGAGAAAAACAAGTGTGTGTAGTGTAAATCTTTTGGACGCCGGAAAGCGCCAACATCACTTGCAATTTGGCGCAGGTGGTAAAATAGAACAAGTCCGTGCTCCTGTATTAAACCCGGCACGATGACTGTAGCGGGTGCCCTTTAGTATACAGCTCCCTAAAAATTACATTCTTCGGCATTACGGAAGATCTACACTAGCAAGCACATTTTTTTCGCTGCGACACAACCTACAGGCCACAATCAGAGTCTGCACGAACTGGTAACACCATTAAGCGGATGTGGTGCGGCTGCGGGCAGTGCATTTTCCGACGTTTCGCAACAGCTGCCGCCGCCACCACAATTGGACCTTTCCTATGTTCATTTGTCGCGTCAGCCTTCGTCCCTGGTCGGGTTGAGCAATAACACGAGCGTTGACGACGGCGGCGTCCCTGCAGGCTCGCTGGATATGAGCAACAATACCTTGGACAGCATGACGCCTCCGACTCCCCCTGTCCTCCGATACCTTGGACAGCAATGCAGGATAACCGACAACGGACTCCTTACCGGCCACCGACGCGACACGCGCGCGCGGTTTTCCTTGCGGCCAACCGACAACTCCTTTCCTTTACCACCCCCTAGTCAAGATGGGGAATCGGCTAGACAAGTCCACAAGTTTTGGCTGTTTTGCATGACAACTTTGGGCTCGAAGCGTAGTGCTCCTGTTTGAGGTAGTTCAGCAGCATCACGCATCTAGTACATCGTGCTGACTGGAGCATTACAAATCCCAAAACACAACTGCAAAATGCTTCTCATGGGGCTTCGCATGACAAACATTTTGAGCCTGCAGATTAGCATGACAATTCTGGGACGGGGACGCTTTTACACAGAATAGCCCAGCGGCTCATCCGGGACCAGTTGAAGTTGTCGCTCGCCCTCTTCCAATACCAACTGCAAAAATGTCTGGGGCTGGAAGAATGCTGCAAGACTTGTCATGCAGGTTTTGTATGATCCATGATTTCTGTGATGCACCGCGTAGCATTACAGAGTTAGTGGGTGCCTCCTGATGCCCATACCGCATGAGAAATACCGTAACCGCGTAGCAGAAACTGGACTGGTGTTGCTCCTCACGCATTACAGATTTTTGTAGGATCCAAAGGCAGCACCAGCATAACAAGCTGGAACCCTATTCCGGACCCACTCATATTTGCATTTATGCATATACAAGGGGCACGAAAGGCCTGCGAGCAGGTCGTCGGTGCTCCGGAACAGGTGGTCGTCAACAGGCGTCGGGTGCTGCAGAAGCAGTATCAGAAGATCGTGGGAGCCATCCGAGACACCGTATCATACTGAAAACTTTATCGTACTGGCAGGTGCGACGTGGTATAAAATCTGTCTGCATCTTCGTCCACAAAAAAAAATTTCCTTTGAAACGCAATTTTTTGCAAGATAGCGCAGAGTCGTCTTAGACACGTTGCCGTGTGCTGAGTTCGGCCACAATCCAACCATTGTGGAGAAACCTTTTTTCTTTGAACAGACGAAATCAACAAGCTCCATCTGTCAGGCTGACATGAATCTTTTCGACATGTCTACTTAGCTGTCTTTGAAGACCCGTAGAAAGACACACTGCCAGCTTGATGTAAAGTTTTCAGTTTGAGAACGCAAAGAGCGAATCGACGCGGTGGTCAAGCTGCTGGAGCAGCATGACAATGTCGTGGAGCGCGGCTACTACCAGGCCATGTACGGAACAACTGTCGAACAAAACATTGTGCGCAGCCAGACCACAAACGGAGATGCTAGTGCCGGCACTAGGCTACAACAGGGACAGCCGAGTAACTCTCTCGTCGCGCGGCCAGTAACTCTCTCGTCGCGCGTCTCTCGGCTCGTTGTCACCCCCGACGCACCAACGGACTCCTTACCGGCCACCGACGCGACACGCGCGCGCGGTTTTCCTCATTTGGAAATGGGATCCTTCAATTGGTGCTTACGATACGACTCTGGACTTGCCGACGACATTGCGATACTGGTTGTGGATGAGAAAACGATGCTACGATGGGAAACCGATGCTCTAATGGGAGAAGATGACGTGATGAGGATTGGGGCACGAAGCTTGTGGAAGTTGTTTATGGATTTATGCTATACAGATTTGGACTTACGATTTAGAATTCCATGTAGGATATAGACTTTTAGTTTCGGCCTGTTTCTGTATCAAGCTTCTGTAAGATTTATGGTTTTAGATTTTGACTATGAGAAAAAGCGTTGGGGGCGGTTTGGGTAAATGAAAACTGGTTGGAAACGCTATTTCTCATAGATCAAATTGCAAAAATGAACAGGATGATAAGAAAAAGGAAGCGAAATCGATCGAGCAAGAAAAAGACCAAAAACCAAGGAAAAGCAAGCAAATTCTTGCCACGATCGACAGAAAAAGGAAAAGGAAAAGAGAAGAAGAAGAAGGCAAAGACATTAGGTTTGATTTACATTGGATCCGCATGAAAAACTGGACTTTCTTACTACTTTCAAGGAGCGGAGCCATGGCTACGGTCACAATGGGCAAGGTTAGGAATACGAATTTAGCATAAGAAACTGGAAAAACTAGACTGCGGATTAAGGATTTGTAATGCGAACCTATTGAATTTGAACTAGTTTTAGTTGGTGTTCGATTATGATCTCGGTATGCTTGCGGTTGAGAATTAACCTCTCCATTTCGAAACTAGATCCTTCAATTGGTGGAGAACCTGGGCATAGTTCGACTCAGATGCAACGCGTAGCCTTACCGTTTTAGCTAGATACCCCACCACTATGACCCCGAGCAGAATGCTGAAGGAAAAGCCGCACCGCAGAAGCAGGGAAGACCGCCGCAAAGAAACCGCAAAACAACCAGAACAGGAAGAAAGAAGGCTTGCTATAGGGTCTATAGCAACAGACGAGAACTCACCTGGACCGCAGGCGAAGTAGAAAACAGTGGAGATGTACGAACCACGCACGACGTGGGGTGTTGATGGAGTACGACCGCGCGAAATTGATTTGGACGGGGAAATGCTGCAACAGGATAGATTGGAAACCGACAAGACCAGTCCCAGAACCGGAGGCCGCTTTCGTTATTTCTAGCACTACACGGGAAAGATTTGTTACACGGGATTTGTTTTTAGACCACGGGATATATTTGTTTAACGAGACCTCAGTCGCGCTACAGAGTTCGCGGGAACTAGTTCGACAAACGACGCGGCTGGGGTACGTTCCAAGATTTGTTTACGGATACGGGTTTTATTTGGGTTCACGATTTACGGACTCCTTACCGGCCACCGACACGACGCGCGCGCGGTTTTCCTTGTCGCAGCGGCAAAGCTTCTTTGCGTGTCTTGCATTCATTTTCTCGTGCATCAGTCGTGTACAGTAGCTAGATTGACATTGTATAATTTCTCCCCTTTTGCTGTTCCTCGCGCAGTTCATGAGTCGCCTTTCTTCAACTGGAAAATGAAAAAATTCGCGGCCAGGAAAATCAACAATGGTTTTCAATTTTTATGCAAGACAAATGTCCGTCGAAGTTGTGATGCTGTTTTTCATATACAGTAACAAAGGCACGTAGAACAACTCGAAGGCGAAGTGGAGGAAGTCGAAGCAAATCCTTGATGTCGAAGCAAATCCTTGATATCGAGGTTGCTGTGGTGTATGTTGAGAGTGAGATGAGGGACGAGGGCATACAAGCAAAACCATTCACACAACGAAAATAGGCCATGTTCTTGGTGCATAATGCAGTACATTCAACAAAAAAAGTCTCACTTGCTATACAGCAAAGCTTATCCACTGCAAACATGTCGGGTGGTCTGGAAATTTCTTATGCTATTTCAGCAATATTAATGGTTGGCGTACTGCAATTTGCAGCTAAGCATGACAAGTTTACAGCTAGTTCGTACATGATGCTGCGTTTTCCGCAAGGAGGCCCGCGCTTTTGGTGACACGCATGAGGCTTTATTTTCGCTTCTCATGCATGACAGAATTGAGAGTGAGGGGAAACCAACAAGACAAACCTTTATTCATCTTCCAGACCACCCAGACGTATTTGCGATGCATAACTACCCAGACGTTGCCCGCGTAGTTTTGGCGCTTCTTCTCCTTCTGCTAACCTTCGTAGCTTGGCCGGCGGGACTCGGGACACGGTACCGTGGGTCTGGAGAGTTGCAGCTGGTACTTCTGCATCAGTATACACTACAAACACGTCTGTGTCTGGAAGGACGCAAACCTGTGATGTGGAAACTGAAACGGGCAAAAATCAGTGCTGCATGGGCTGCGGTTGCAAAGGGTGTGCGTTGTTGTCGTGCAGAAGAGGGGTCCAGGAGTCTCCGCAGAGTTTGTCATGCCCCTTGTTTAATACTCCATGGTACAGACCTCCTTGCAGTGACAGAAACGGCATGAAAGATGGCTTCTTCCTTCAAGACCCAGACACATTTTTGCATTTGATAATCAGCGCAGCTGCGTATCGTTCCGACGCTTTCAGCTCCATGACATGCGTATCCGATGCGAATGTGTCTGGGTTCTTTGGTAAACTGGAACTTGTTATGCTTGCCTTGTATTTCTGCAAAAGCTGTATTGCATCAGCGGACTCCTTACCGGCCACCGACGCGACGCGCGCGCGCGGTTTTCTGTGGACGTGGATATCAAATGCAAAAATATCTGGGCCTCGAAAGTTGGAACTTGTGATGCTAACTTTGGACTCTAAAAAAAATCTGTATTGCATGACCAGCAAGAGGAGCCACGTTTGTGCTACGCGAGGAGGGCATTTGTCATGCGGAAATGGCATCAGGAAAATTGCTTACGCGGCATGATCTGAGACGGCCACCAATCTCTCATGCAGAGAAATTTGTCTCTCTCTCATGCAGAGAAATTTGTCTTGCTGAATTGACAACAAATGTGTAGCTGTAACACTTTTTTCGTTCGATATTGACGAGGAGTTAAGCCTATCCTTCGACGACCTCTGTCGGTCGTCCGTGGCGGAGCTAACCCAGATCCTTTTGGACGCGCTTCAGCGGCGGCCGCTCGACCTGCCGAATGATATTCTTTGCAAAAGTATAAAAATCGACGTATTAGTATGTCGTGGTATTAAAAACTATTGCAATTGTACACATTAGCTGCTCAGCATCTTGACAAAAAATGGAACAATATTTCATGCTGATTTAGCTTGGGAGAAAGATGATTTGTCTTGTATGACTGCGATAATTCGACGTACGAGCACGAGTGCAAGAATACTTTTTCATCGAGGATAACTGACCCGGCCCAGCAAGTCGTTTTACTATGGGGAGGGGGGATTTTTCATTCTGATACCAGCGCGGTCCTTCTCATCCGGGACCAACAAGCCTCAGCTCTATCCTGTGCAAAAGCATCGTATTCGTATAAATGCAAGTCTTGCATTACAAATCTTTCTTTTAAGGCAAATCAGCATTACAAATTTTATTTCTCATGCTGAGAAAATTTGTAATGCATTTATACGAGTGCGATACTTTTGCAGTTCATAAGCTCCGAAGGCAAGCAACGTATCCTGTGCAAAAGTATCGCACTCGTATTGCAATCATGCATATACTAATCGTAATCTTTTTCTTAAGGTAAATCAACATGACAGATTTTCTTGTTTCTCATGCTGTCTGAGGAAATTTTTGTATAGTGCATTTATAATATTAATACCACGAGCGCGATACTTGTTTTGCAAGTCATACGACGAGCGCGAATTTGATTTTTGGCATCGGCTACAGCAAGACCGCCACGGAGCACATGGACAATATCAAAAGGAAAAATCCCCCCTCCCCATATCAAAACGAAGTTTCTGATGCAGGATTTGCGTACACAAATCAGCTTTGTATTGCAGGAAGGCACTGCGGTCGGATCCCCAAGCTAGGTAGGGGCGTATGCGTCTAGTTGTTCAGCATGGTAAGCGGCTCCCCTTTAGGCCCAACAGCATGACAAATCGCTTCCATAATGGGGCAGAAGCTTCTGCCCTTGTCTTCTTGCAAAACAAATCTGATTTGTGACCTCAAATCAGCAACACAAATTTTCGCAAACATGCATTTTCAATATGGGGAGGGGGGATTTTTCCTCTCAATAGTTCCAGCCAGACGACCAGACCGAAGAGGGGAAGAAGATGGCCGCGGACGCTTTTTCCAACATTGCTATGCAAAGCCCGGAGGAGAAGCTTTCCGAAGATCCGCTGGACCCCGATGGGCTGCACTCAGCCTGGGTATCAAATGTAAAAATGTCTGGGTCTGGAAGAATTCAACTTGTCATGCTAAATCTGAAGCATGCAAAAATCTGTGTTGCATGATTACCAAAAGTCGTCCAGTTTTGACCAAGTCGGGAGGTAGTTTCTCATGCAGGATAGGCATTAGAAAGGTCTCGCAGAATCTGCCATGCTAGGTTCTGCATTCCAGACCTCATGGGTCAGGGAAAAGCAGCATGACAAATCGCGCACTCTTCCAGACCCAGACATTTTTACATTTGATACTGGGACACCTTTTACGATTCTTTTCTTTCCGGACTCCTTACCGGCCACCGACGCGACACGCGCGCGGTTTTCCTTGCGAAAGGGAATAGTGAGGACACTGTAATGCGCTGCCAAGCATGACATGTATTTCCGTGGTTTTGAGTTGCGTACTTCGCATGAGAAACTGCGTTTTTGCATGACAGGCAAGACGAGGAGCTCTTTGCGGTGACGCAACACAGAGTTCAGAGTCATGCCAGATTAGCATGACAAATCTCGCAACTTCCCAGAGGACCCAGACATAGTTGCACTGGATAAGGGGGAAGAATTACCGATTTTAGCGGAAGAGATTGCCGATGCGGAGGAGCTGTGCTTCTTCTTCGAGAACGAAAATTTGTCGAGACGAGATTATTCACCTTCGTCAAAATCTCCCTCCAAATCAACAACGCGAGCGGGGCCTGGAGGTGCGCAACTATCCTCGTCGAAACAAACCACGACGGTTGTTATCCAAAAGCAAACCCTGGGTCTGTTGATGAAGCAGGCAGTTGAGATCACGACGGCGTTCCGGACAGATTTGCTCATCCTGGAGTTTGACGAAGTAATTCTGTCGAAGAAGAACGAGAAAATCGAGAAGCTAGACAGTCAAATCAAGCAATTCTGGGTCAAGAAAGTGAATCAGCTCGCAGGACCGCACGCCGGCCACCGACGCGACACGCGCGCGGTTTTCCTTGCGGCGCACAGTTGAGCTGGCCAGAACACTGGGCCCGCAGCGGCCGCGCAGCTAGCACAGGGCGCGGGCGGCAGGGCCGCGGAGTAGATCTCGGGGCCGGTCGGCGCGCTTGTACGCAGCCGGCCCTCAGGCCTGGGCCAGATCTTGCCTGGGGCCCGCCGGCTGCTCCCGGTCATCGATCTGCGCCCCCGTTTATTCGAATCGAAAAGGTGGCGAGCGTCCCTGTGCGCCGCTGCACGGGGGCGCCTCCAGATAGAAGTGTCACACGGACGCCCCACGACCGCGCACAGACGAAGGCGCAGCGGCGCGTTGGTGTTGCCCGTCCTGGGGCCACCGCCGCCACCAAGTTATCACACCCACTGCAACTGTCGTGACAGCGGGAAACCTCTCCTGTGATTTGGTGGCATGCAGGCGCCGCTGCCGGGCCTTTGTAACAGGACATTTTGAAGCAGAGGAAACTTCGTGAACAGAAACACCGATGTGGTTGGTGAAGAAATGCGGCGGGGCTGCAAAAATGACCGCCTGCGTAATTCTAAATCATGTTCATCTTTCTAGAGCACGCGGTCCGACTGAGACTGTGCGAAGAGGATCCCGGAAGGTCGTGTACTAAGATTTTCCACTACACGACCCTCCTCAATAAAATCAACGAAGATCCTACTGTTGATCCGCAAACCCGATCCGGCAAAGGAAAAATGATGCAAATGGAAATTATACAGCTCTTCGGCGGGTGCCAGCACTGCCACCGGTGCCACAAGAAAAAAATCACTTTTTCAAGATACCCATTTCGTTTTTTCGGTTCTTCGCAAATTGAAACTGCATGAAGCTCCTCCTCCTTCCTACGGAGCCCGCGCACGGATGGGGGCCTCCAACGCAGGGCGACCAAATTTTTTTCTTTTTCGGTAAAAAATCAGCCCCAACCCCTCGCGAATTTTCAAAAAACACTCGAAAAAGCAAGTTCGGCTTCAACGTTGCAGGCGTGCTAGACCCTATGCCCCTCTTGTTGACAAAGGAGCTACTACGTGCACATGCGCAATGGATCTTCCGTCTGTAGCCTTTGCTGCACTTCTACACACCGATCGCTTTCCGCAATAAAATTCATGATGATCATCTGAGAATTTTTATTGTTCCCGACTACAAAAGAACCTATGTTGGCGTTCCACAAACTCCTGTCGGTACTGCGAAATCAGTTTCAAAAAGATCATTTTCCTCACGTTCCGTTCCTTCGGTCTTTCTCACAAATGAGCATGATCAGTGATAAAAATGCACCTCAAGTAGATCCTCTTCCCGACAAACACAAAACGTTGCGGAGCTGTTTCTGCAACACAAGAAGGTCAGATCCTACGGTAGAAGAAATAAATGCATACAACGTGTCAACGCATCGGTTGCTGGCATTGTTCTGCGGCCATGTAACTACAAATAAATGCGTAGTTGTCCCATTCTGTGCCAACATAAGTAGATGTTTTATTCCCAATGCAACAGGTTAAAAGCTTTGAAGCAATAACAGCTTCTTCAAACTCGCATCAACAATACTACTAGCTGATCCGCGCAAGTGGAAGTCCTGCTAGAGCTAGGAAATAGTTGTACAACCAGGAGGTAAAAAACCGTTTGAGTTTATACCGTGTTATAGCAACATCAAAGTGGCTCTTCAAAATTCTCACTTTAACGGTGGCTCTTTCAAACTAACGCATAACAGGTGTATAGAGCTTTGAATCAGCGTCTTACAACTCGCGTGAGCAATACTAGCCATTCCGCGCAAGTGGAATTTCTGCTAGAGCTCGACAGTACTGCGGAGAAACAAGAAGTACCGTGTAACAACTGAGAACTTGTTTTCGGCTTGTTTTGAAAGGTTGTGATATTAAAGTAGGAATATTCATCACGTTCAGGGCAGCGCTGCCATTCCTTTACTCTGGCAGTAGAGGAGCCTTATTTTCCCCGTGAAAATACGACTACTTGCAAAAAAATATCAACCAAGACTTCAGACCTGTTGATGCAAACCAATCTGCCATCGCAGTAGAATAGACAGCATATTTTTAGTGGCCATAGCTGCGTCATACTTTGCTCGCCGCGAGGGAGCAATTTTTCATCGAACACACCGAAAAACCAAAAAGTTTATTCTGCACAACGCGGTGGTCGGACTTTGGGTTTGGCCTTTATACCATTTTCATTTCGCGGCAGAAGCTGAAACGGCATTCGTCATCGTGTGTGGCACCATTCTTGCAGGAGCTGCTTTTTTTGGCAGAACCTCGCAGGCTGCTGCTCTTTATTAGTAGTTCTTAGGGGAGCTTTTGCGCTGTATGATTTATTGAAAAAGGAGTAGGAAAAGTAGTATTGGCATTGTTAAAAAGAGTCAGAACTGTAATCGCACTAGCTTTGCTACGTAGACCATACCCGACATTATCTTTTCTTCCGACGAGATTGCGTACTCTTGTCGAGATTTTACTACTTCGAGCGATTTTATTCACAGCACAAAGAAACTGGAACTGCGTTGAGAACTTGATGTACTAGTACACTTTTGGTTTGTTCGCACGAGAAATTTACCCGAACAGGAAGGTTTCGGCCGCTGAAACATACAAAAGGAAAAGCACTACCTTTATTCGAATTTTTCAACAGGAACTCTTTGCTGGACTAGCACATAGTATCTTTACTTTCCGTCAAAATTGGGTGAGTCTCAATTTCGTCGAGACCGAAAAGGGTTATTCAGCTGTTGTACTATTTGTTGTATTAAACAGAACGTATTCACTACCGGAGTATTATCCAGAAGCACGTACTGCATCGTCGTTGTTCCGAGAGCAAGAGCAACACGAAGCGGAAAGAACGTCAAGCGCATTAAACTATCCACAAAGAGCACTGCATTTATTCTGCCAAGAGCCGAGGCCTTGTTTTATCTATTTTCAATCGTTTTTAATCATCAACGTCCGACTTCTCAACAAGGTCAAGACGTCGAGAAAATACCTGAAGCTATTGTACAATTTTTGTTGAAGTAACCACTACTTCAGTCACACAACTTTTCAAAGAAACAGTACTAGAATTGCACATCAAAGAAATACAGGCAGCAGAGTCTCACAACAGAGATCTACTCTTGCGAAGACATTAACAGCAGAAGTGCGTTGTATCGCAGTTGCCACCAGGTTTATTTTTACCAACAATTTTTCTCGCTTTACTTCAAAATCAAAATGGCAAAACACTCAAACTGTTCCTCCCACCCACGCAAAATGCTGAACCGCGTGGTCGTGGGAAAGAATACCTGTGGTCAACACCTCCCCGCTGCCCGTACAACTCTTCGCGCCCTGCAAGTGGCCGCGGCTGCCGCAGCCGGCGTTGGATTCATTTTTGGGGTCGCCGTGGACTGCGGCTTTATGATCGGCGCGAGCTCCTTCGTCGAAGCAGCTGCAAGTAGTAGCTCCGGTGCGAATGATACATCTCCTGCTGGGGCACATCAACTACTAGGTTCTACAGAACTACCTCCCGACCAGATCACGTTTCCGGTGAGCCAAAACATCGGCGGTGCAGCCCAGGAAGCTGACGGGGGGCGGAAGGAAAACGAATTCTGGAAATCCCTGCTCCGGGACGGGGAAAGCAATCTGGCTGATGTAGTGCTTGGAGTGGAAAATGAAAATCACGCAGCTGGGGCAGAAACAATCGGACCAGCGAGGGAGCAGTTGACAGAATATTGGACCTCTTTCGTCCAACGCACCGCACATTTCGTAGCCCAGGTGGATGAAGAATACGGCAAGGTCTGTCGTGGCCCTGTGGAAAGAGCAGATTATCGTCCACCTGGAGAGGACCTCCAGCATCGCACTACTACTAATATCGTCTGGCGTCTAGAGGAAGTTGGGTTGAAACAGAAGTTAGCCGAAAAAGTTCGGAATCTCTTAAACCTTCGAGAAGAGGAGCTTAACACCAGGCAGTTTTATGACAAATCCTACTACCGGCGCAAAGTGCTGCAGGTGGTTCGGAATGACAACGATGTGCTCGCCGCAAAGGTTGGGGCGCCACCACTGGAGCTGGCTGAGTCGCCGGACGTGCCGCACGGGCTTGGTGACGAGTCGCATCAGAGGTTGAGGCTGGTGCCACTAATCGAGCCGGGGGACGTAGCACTCGTTGCGTGCGCAGTGGAACGTCAGGAACATTTTTTGGATGGCCGACCAGCTGCGCCTGCTCAGGAGATCATGACTTCTTCACCTGGTACTAGCCACGAAGGAAAAACAAATCATTTTCTCAACGTCCCTACCATCGCAGCTGCGTACCTGCTCCTGCAGGAGCACTTCATTGACTTTGCGGATATGGAAGCCGATGAGTTTTGGCACGTCGCAAACGGGAAACTGCTGCAGTCCACGCTCCTGCAGCAACCGGGAGCAACGGGAGCTTTAAAGACGCATAAAAGTATAAAGGAGAATCTCACGAAGCGCGCTTTTTTCGCGGCGACACGGGCACGGACGAAAACGCTGGGAACGTTTTTGAACGTCGTTGCCGAGGACGATCAGTATTACAACAATCCAGTAGACTCTACGCGTCAACAATCCTCCGGCGTCAATCGCAAACTCGCGACCCGAATCGCCATGACAATGCAGCTACTGTATGCGAAAAGACTACAAAACCGGAACCGAGGGGAGACCGAGATGTGGGACACTTTGAAACTGAAAGCGGACATGGATCAGTATTTCAAGGAATTTGCCGACCTCAGCGAAAGGCCGGTCACCCAACAGGTTGGCATCACAGGTTGCAAGCACTGTTACCAAAAGTGGCGCGCTATGGACCAAGAATTCTTCGATGCCCGGCAAGCGGCATTTGACGGGGGGCGGCTGCACATCGACGTTGCAATTGTGTCTACAACGGAGACCGCGAGCAGTGCCACTCCGCCTTTGACGCCTGTCCTGCTGAACAACCTCTCGAAAGTAGAGGCGGAAAACCTGCAGAAATTTTACCAGGAATGGTTCAGCAAACCGTCGTATCAAATGTAAAAATGTCCGGGTCTGGAAGAATGCAAGTTTGTCATGCTTGTCTGGCATGACTCTTAAATCTGTCATGCACATTACCAAAGAGCCCCACTTTTCTGTCATGCAGAAACGTAGTTTGTCATGCAGAATAGGCAACACCTAGAAGCTCAGAAACTTGTCATGCTGAGCCAGCAAGTGTGGCCTCCTCATGATATGCCACACAGCATCACAAGTTTCCAGACCCAGACATTTTTCCATTTGATCCGTCGGGTTCATCTTTCGTGAAGATCGAGTTCTTGGTATCCTGAGTAAAAACGCTCCCACGCCAGAGTTAAGATGGGGAATCGGCTAGACAAACCTTGGAGTTTTGGAAGTCACGCATGACAAGTTGCAGGCTGTAGTGTAGTGCAGTTAAGCAAGGAAAGCCGCATAGCAAATCCATCTCCCCATGCTGTTGCCAGCATTACAAGTTCCAAAACACGCTGGGAAATGCCTCTCATGGGGATGCGCATTACAAATGCTCTTGTGCTTGTAGATCTGCATGACAACTATGGGGTGGGGACGTTTTTACACAGGATACTTGGACGCCATAAAAGTGACCGGCACCACGGGCGAGGAAATCGTTCTGAGCGGCCCTATGACGACCACAGTCGGAGGACTACAGGTCGGAGGGGCAGGAACTGGTCTGCCGCTCGCCGGCACCATTCGCGTTGGAACCTTGGACGCACTGAAGCAGGCGGCGCTGCTGGACCAGAAGAACGGTAACAGCACTGGGGCAAGAACCGCTTCCACTACAACGGGGGGTCCACCGTCTCAGTATCTCTACGTGACCACGGTTGAAGGTGGTGGAAATGATAATGAAATAGAAGATACTACCGGGGCCGCGGCACGCGCCCACAACAATTATGGTTCCTCTTACCCTATCGTGCAAGACCTGTTCATCTCGAAAAAACTGACCGACGTAAGCCAGATTGTGGAGCTTGCCCTCCCGGGTGCCGACACCCTCCAGCCCATCTTCCCGTACTTGGTGACCGAAATGCAGAAGGTCGGCGAGGCGTTTGCCATCGTGAAGGACCATTTGGTCTTTGCCTCCGGGCGGGACAGCCCTCAACATGATCATCTCGACAGAAGACAAAGTTTCACACAACTCGCACTTCCGGCGCTGGAACGGCGAATGCGGTTGGAGTTGCGGGATTTTTCACGCAAACACAACCAATTCGAGGACCTGACAGAGGAAGATGCGCTCAGGTTGCGTTCAGGCGACGTGACGCAGCAGCAAACATTTCTGCGCACGGGGGGTCATGGAGGTGCCAATTCATCCGATGATGTCATCTACGGGGGGTTTACCGCGAAGGAAGTCGCAACGGTTCTGGTGTACGATTTGGTGGAGCTTTATGGCCCTGTCAGGATTGAAATCGTCAAAGTTGAGATGATTTGTAATGCATAAAATGCAAGGCATGAAGTGCCTGTCTTGCCGGGATGGCAAGTGAGGGAGCGCCCCGAACCCGTTTTAGCGCACATTTATGATGGCCTTACTGTTTTTAAAAGGATTTAGATCAGTTCGTAGAACCCAATCTGTTCATGCTAGCAAAGGGCTAGCGCGCTGTGGACCCCCAGGATCAGGCAGACGAGGTCCCAGACCGAAGTGGTAGGCGCTTAGGGTGAACTATGTGCGTAGCGCTTAGGGCCCTTCCGTGCGGCCATTTTGTATGTCCCGCAACGGGGTTCGCCTAAGTCGGTCATTTGTATGCAAGGCGTTGGGTTACCCGGTCGGCAGAGCCGATCCACAACGAACGGGATGGCAAGTGAGGGAGATTGTGAGCCTATTTAGAGCTTGGGATAGAGCTGCTAAAGGAGCATGACAAAAGCAGTCTTCTGTGCCCAAACAGAATGACAAATTGGATTCCGGTGCTCCGAAAATTTGTCATGCGCCGCTTGGAAATTGGTCTTCCAGCTGGTATCCATTTTTTTTATGCATGACAAATCATTTCAACTTTGTCGATTTCAAACCTGACGCTTGCATAAACTTTTTCTGCAACGCCCGTTTCAGGAATTCCAGGCCACGGTCGTGGCTGAGAACACCAGCCAGAAGTTATTCCGAGTAAAAACATCCCCACCCCAGGGTTGTCATGCAAATTTGCATGGCAAAAAAGTTTCTCATGCAAAGCCCCATGAGAAGCTTTTTCTTGTCGTGTTTTGAGATTTGTAATGCTAGAAATAGCATGATATGCTAGATCTGTGATGCTTCTGAGCTAGCTACTCAGGATAACACTACGAAGACAAACTTGTCATGCGAAACAACCAAAGCTGGCCGATTTGTGTAAGCAGACTTTCCATCTTGACTCTGTTATGGGAACTTTTTTACTCAGGATAGAAGTATGATGTGATGATGAACTATCCCCTGCTGCACGACTGGGCGCACAAAATTTTTCAGAAAGCTGCGAAAGCGGAGAACTTCACCGAAAGCGAAAAGATGTTGCGCAAAGAATTGCGTCCCTATCCGGAAAATCCTGACGATAGACTCGCTTGCCGGGCTCTACAGGCCCACGACCCGACTGACGCCTTCGAGCCTATTATCGCGAGGAAAAATCCCCCCCTCCCCACATTGACAAGGTACGTTCTTTCCGAAATAAATTTGTGTTAGTGTTGCTGATTTGCGACCACAAATCATCGCGTCTGTCTTGCAAAAAGGCAACTCCACAAGCTCCACAGCGTTCTTTTTCAGGCGGTTTGTGAAGATGCTGTTGAGCCTACAGCACGGAGGTCTCTCATGCTAGACGCCTAGGCCAAAACCTCTCTACTTAGGCTTGCCTAGTATGGGCCTGCTTTTTCCTGTCCAGCAAGACAAATCTAATTTGTGTGCGGAAATCCTGCATCAGAAACTTCGTTTTGATATGCCGAGGGGGGATTTTTTCTTTCAATACCAATTAGATGGAACCCTGATCATGATCCGGTACCACAACTGCGCGGATACCACAGTGTACCTGTAACGACGGATGCGGCGACCGAACGTGCCGCGAAACGCGTATACCTGGAAGCCGTGGAGGGTACGTCTCAACTGCACCAGCTAACGACCTGGGAGGGCGCTTTCGGCGTTCTGAAGAAGCTCCATCGAATATGAGAGTGCACAATTCCCCCTCCTCCTGATTTGTCATGCAGAATACGAAATCCAAGAGCCGCCTTGTGGTACAGTTTGCATGACAATCTTCGGAAGCCCAAACTTTACTTGATTGCGCGTTTGAACTTGTCATGCACAGGCTCCACATGTCCGGCTGTTTGCATTGCTGTTCATGCAATAGTACTTACAAATGAAGGGGAGGGTGACGAGTTGTGCACTTTTATACCGAATGTCAAAGGAGGCGAACAGGAGTCTCGACGCGCATTCTACCGCGACCCTGACAAACTTCGTGCGGAACCGTTTGCTGGACAGCTTCCACAGCACGAAAAAATACTTTGCCGAAGCGCTGCTGTGCCGCTACTTCGACGTGCACAGTAAGATGGACCCGGCTTTGGTGCACGTGGAGGAGGGAAAGGTGGACTCTTTCTACTCATCGACCGAGTACAACAACAAGAACGCGACCAACCATCTCGAGGCGCAGCAATACTGCGCAAGCGGATCCGTGGAAGCCAAAGCGCTGGTGGAAAAGTTTCTCGCCGAGCAAAAGGGATTTATCGCAGAGAAACTAAACAGCGCTGTGGAGCTGTGGCTGCAGCATTTAGAGTCCGAGGGTATTATTGACGAGACGAAGGACTGGAATAGGGAGAAATGGCTCGCGCAGAACCCTATGCTTGTCAAGATGCAGCGGGGCAGAGACTCGACAAAAAGCGCGCGGCAGAAAACGCTCTCGCAGCAGCGGGAGGACGCAGCACTTTCGACTCATCATGGAGCAGGTCAACTATGAGCTGCAAAAGCATCGCACTACTAGCAGAAATCGCATCACAAACAATTTGGTCAGCATGACAAATGGAAGTTGTAATGCGGATTCGCATTTGCCTTAAGGGGGAGAGTTATACTTATGCATGGTCGCAATTACTATCTACGAGTACGATACTTTTGCAGTTCATATCCACATCCCTCCGAGGACAACTTTTCTTTCTTTACTTCTATCCATGCCCGGGAATGGCGTCAAAGATTCAAGGCCCTAAAGGAGGACAACTACAGACGCATGATCAACAGCGAGAAGAGACTCATTTCGGCCGGCGCCCCGCGGGGCCACGCCGAGATCATTTTGATCTACTTGCACGGCTTTGGTGAGGTGGTCACGCAGGACAGCTGTGACCAGGTGCTGGAGCGGCTGCTATACGAAAAGCAGCGCGCGGGGCTGCTTGCCAACCAGGCCACGCGAGTGGTCTGCCCGCAGGCAACGGGGAAGGGGTACTACGATGGAGTGCCCGCTTGGTACAATTCTATGGGCGGCGAGGACCTCGACAACTCAAGCGAAGCGATTCGTGAGCTGCTGCGCCTCGAAGTCCAGGGCGGATTCGACTTCCTGCAAAGTGTCTTCTTGGCCGGCGTAGGTGATGCCGGGGCGGTCGCCCTGCATACCATCTTGGCCGGCATTGCGAACGGCGCGTTTAAAAGCAACGAACTGCAAGAGAAATTCAAGCTCAAGGGGTTGATTGTATACCATGGGACGATAGAGGACCAAAGAACCTGGCGGGACAGGGTGGAAGACCCACACAACATCAACCTTGTTCGGGACCAGCTCGGAAAAAAACCGTTTCACCTCCACGTGTGGTCCAGTGCGCTTGAAGGAGACGAAGCTAGCAGTTTCTTCTCGGCTCGCCAGGTCCAGGAAGTTTGTGCCCGGCACTTTCTCGGCAAGTCTGGGCTCCGGTTACCGCACTACAAAGGGCTGCAGAACTATATGGATGTGTCAGGATTGAAATCGACAAAGTTGAAATAACTTGTAATGCATAAAATGAATGAAAGTTGTAGTCCAGTTTCCAAGTGGCGCATGACAAATTTGGGTAGAGCCAAAATCCAGTTTGTCATGCTATTTGGGTAAGGAAGACGCCTTTTGTCATGCTACTTTAGCAGCTCAGTTTCTACCCCGAAACAGGCTTACAATCTGCCTCCCTTGCCTACTCTGCAAGACAGGCATTTTCTGCGTTGTATTTTATGCATGACAAACTATTTCAACTTTGACGATTTCAAACCTGACGCTTCCATAAACTACGAGCAGCATACGGACAAGCGGGAGGAGTACATCGCGAAGTCCCTGGTCTTATGCCCTGCAAAAGTATCGCACCTACTCGTATATTCAATGCATTACAAATTTCCTCAGCATGAGAAATAAAATTTGTAATGCGGATTTTGCTTCAGAAAAAGATTTGTAATGCATTATTGCAATCACTACGAGTACGATGCTTTTGCATTGCATACGTCTACATCTTCGCCGCCGATGCGGAGCTAAAGCAAATCGACGTCTCTATCCTGAGTAAAAACGTCCCCACACCAGAGTTGTAATGCGGATTTGCAAAGACAGGAAGACTTGTAATGCGCATCCCCATGAGAGCCATTTCCAGTCGTGTTTTGGAATTTGTGATGCTGTGAACAGGATGAGCAGATGAATCTGTGATGCGGCTGCACTTGCTAACCTGCACTACACTGCAGAGTGCAACTTGTCATGCGTGACTCACAAAAGTCCTAGGTTTGTGTTGCAAAATCCCCATCCTGACTCTGGTGTGGGTACGTTTTTACTCAGGATAGTCTCTACCCCCTTTCCGACCGTCAACGCCACAATTCCGACGCTGCTGCACCAGGATCTCGCGCGATCTTCCACGGTGGTCTTTAACAGAGCGTTTATTTTGCAAAAGTACCTCGTGTATCCTGTGCAAAAGTGTCGTCCTCGTATTGCAATCATGCACGACAAATCTTTTTTTTACGGTAAATCCGCATTACAAATTTCATTTCTCATGCTGAGGAAATTTGTAATGCATTTATACGAGTGCGATACTTTTGCAGTTCATATCGTGCGGGTGGTGCATTCAGCATTCAGAGTTTTCAACCCCGCGACAGAGGCCTCGGGAGCTCCTGCAGGGGGGGAGCAAGACAAGTACGCCGGCAGCGACTTCCTCATATCACACGAAAAAAGTGTTACAGTTACACATTCGTTGGAGTTTCTGCATCACAAATTTTCTCTGTGTGGCAGAGAAAACTTCTAATGCGAAGATCATAAGGGAAAACAGGAAGGAAACGAGGCTCCCAAGCATTTCCTGCATGAGAAAGGTTCTCTGTGTTGCCGGTCTTGCAACACAATGTGTAACTGTAACACTTTTTTCTTGCGATACCTCACCTACGGAAAAGACTACAGCTTGATCCGGGAGTATCCAAGAAAAAAACTGTGTTAGTGTAACTTTCTTTGGCTGACAGCATCACAGGTTTGCTCTACATGATAGAGAAAACCTGCCATGCGTGAGCTGTATCATCATCATCATTATCTATCCTGCACGGGGATGAAGGTGTAACTCTCTCTATTGCATGTTCTGCATTTTTACAGAGTTAGAGTTACACTTACACAGTTTTTTTTTTTTCATAGAGGGGGCAGCAACCCCGCAAAGTGCAGGTTTTTCGACCACCGCGCGTCGCTTCTGCCTGCGCGCGACGAAAGCGGCTCCCGGTACAACTATTCCGGCTCTCTAAATTTGGATGAAGACGGGTTAATCCAATTTCTGCAAATTCGGCACGACTGCTACCTGACCCCGCCAGTGTTTGTCACGCGAAAGATGTCGAATGCGGAGTTTTTTTTACAGTACAGACGAATTTTCGCGGTGCAAATGACGAATTTTATTTTGCGCGACGAGCCTCCTTCGGATCTTCGCAGTCAATCACAGATCCACCTGGGAGGTCATTCCTTTTCTTCCCGAGATCGGCAATTTATGTTGAAGCACTTCGGACTCAGAACGTTCACTCTGGGCGGAGGTCGTGGTAATATTACAGGCCATTTATACGACCCTGCAAGAACATGGCCTGCTGCTTCTACCGTGGCTGTGCCTGCTGTGCCTACCGCGACAAGACTTCCGGAAGAAGTAGTCCAAAAGCGGAGAGATGCGGCCCTTGCGGAAGTCAAATTCAGGGGGCTGCTGCAGCAGAAGTTTTTTGCGAACCTAGATCGCTGGCTGAAGACAGTAACAGAAGGGGAACTTCTGAAGAACAAATTATCCCCCAGCCGTGACATTCTCGTCGGCGTCAGCGACTGCGCAGCGGAGGGCCATGGAGATGGTGCAGAAGAAGCGTTTCTGCTGAAGGTCGCCTTGCTAGAACGGTTTTTTCTTTCGCCCGATAAAGAACATTTTAACCACCCGTTGCATGACTGGCGGTCCGGAAACACTTGGAAAGAGTTATCCGAAAGCAAAGCGCACCGCTATGGAAAAATTTCGCGTGGTGAAGCGCTGAAAAAGCTTTGCGAAGGACCACATCAGCAGCACTTCCATTTTATCAAATGCAAATATGTCGGGGTCTGGAAACTTGTGATGCGGTGTGGCGTATCATGAGGAGGCCACAACTGCTGGCTCAGCATGACAAGTTTCTGAGGTTCTAGGTGTTGCCTATTCTGCATGACAGACTGCGTCTCTGCATGACAGAAAAGTGGTGCTCTTGGGTAACGTGCATGACAGATTTGGGAGTCCTGCCAGACAAGCATGACAAACATGCATTCTTCCAGACCCAGACATATTTGCACTTAATACATTTCACCGAGATCGCGGACGACCACGCGGAAGTGCTATTAAAAGATAACTACACTGTTCACGAAAGGAGGATGATGATGAAGGCTTCTCCGCTGAAAAACAAAGCTCTAAACGAAGCTTTGGCTACCGAGCTGGCGGCAAGTACAGGAGCGGAATGGTGGCGTCTGCCGCATGACACGGTGGATAAATTTCTGCCCACGCTTGTCGCGCACAACCCCTGGGCAGTAGCGCGGCGCGTCAGCAAGTGCCTGACGGCCATGGGCAGCACCCAAGACCACGGGAAATCCGACACTACGAAAATTTTAAACGAGAAAACCCGCAGTATCCTATTTAAAAACGTCCCCACCCCATAGTTGTAATGCAAATCTGCATGCTGAAAATGTTTCTCATGCGGAGCTCCATGAGAAGCATTTTCCAGCACTCGTGTTGTGCAATTTGTCATGCTCCAATCAGCATGGTATCCTAGATCTGTGATGCTGCTGAGCTAGCTCAAACAGCACTACACTACGAATCCAAATTTGTCATGCAAAACAGCCAAAACTTGTGGATTTGTCTAGCCGATTCCCCAACTTGACTATGGTGTGGGGACGTTTTTACTCAGGATACGCAGAAAGAAGCGCGTTGTCGAGCGTCTGATCGCGTTCGTGCGGGGCACGGCCGCGAGCACGATGTCGGTAAACGGGGGAATGTATGAAATGCAAAAATGTCTGGGTCCTCTGGAAACTTGTGATGCTAAAATGTGCATGATGAAAACACTTCCGAATGCAGTCCGGCATGACAACTTCCCAAAACGCTTTCTTGTAGGCAATCCGCATGAGAGACGGCGTTTTTGCATGACAAAGGAGGCTGCGACTTCTGTTGGTGATGCAATACAGATTTTCTAGGTATGGAAAGCTCGCATTACAAGTTCCAACCTTCCAGACCCAGACATTTCTACAGTCCATAGAATGAAGAACTATGACAAAACCCACCTCCCGGCGAACGCGAGTCTAGTTGCGGAACTGAACAGCACGCTTTATCGTATTGAAAAACATCCCCGCCCCAGAGTCAAGATGGGGAGTTTGCAACACAAACCTAGAAGTTTTAGGACTCACGCATCACAAGTTTCTTGCAGTCCGTACCCGTAGTGTAGTGCAGGTTAGCAAGGACAAACGCATCACAAATCCATCTGCTTATCCTGGTTAGAGCATTAGAAATGCCAAAACACGACTAGAAACGCGTCTCATGGAGATGCGCATTACAAATGTTCTTGTCATTGCAAATCTGGATCACAACTCTGGGGCGGGGACGTTTTTACAAATGATACGCTCGGAAATTTATTCCTGTTCGACTCCAACGAGGACTCAGTCACAGCACCGGTGAGCGCCAGCCGCCGGGCCGCGGGCCAGTTGCATCACGCGCTCGCGAAGCGGTTGTTTTTTGAAAAGATGATGAACACGAACTTTTCGCTCCATGCCATGAAATCCTTGGAGGACAAAGCGTTACACGTTCCCGTCACGACAATGCTAGAGCAAGAGGAATCCGAATCGAAGCAGGTGTTGCGGGACCAATTTTCGCTGCAGCAACAACTGTTCTCCTCCGCAAGGTCTTTTGTCGAGATATGGCGTTCTCAAATGTTACATTCTCAACTGTTACCTGAATTTGTAATGCAAGAACGGCGAAAGTGAAAGGGGGAAGATTGCGCCTTTTGCATTACAGACTTGGCACAGATTTAGATGCTGTTTAGCCCTTCGGATATTTGTGATGCGAAACAGCTTAATCACGACGATCTTAGTGGTAAAATTGCATGACAAATCATGTAACAGTTGAGAATGTAACAGTTGAGAACGCCATACGAGAAGGTCGCGGGAGCGCCGGAGCAGGTGGTGATTAACAAGCGGCGCGTCCTACTGAAGGAATTGGAGACCACACGAGCGCAGATCGCAAAGGCAAAGAAGGACCTGCTGAGTCTATTCTCACTTCTGGACCAGGGACTGCAACTTGTTGAAGGTCGTGGTCGTCCCGTAAGAACCCCCTTCGTGCCAAAGGTAGTCGCGCAGGGGTACTTTTTGGCGACCAACAAAGAGTTCGGGAAATCGGATCTGCATCCGGACGTGCGGCTGTTTGTGAAGTTATACCAAGGCCTGCAGTGGCTGCTTCCGTTGGTTTCGGCTGACAAAGGTTCAGGTTCATCTGCTCGTAGAGAATTGACTAGATCTTTCACCGCGGAAGGGCCTGAGACGAGTGACGGTGAGGAAAGTGAAAGTTTAACTGACGGTGAATCTTCATCATTATCAAAAGAGCTGCAATTATCCGACGCCGGCGCTGCAGCCGCGGCGGAGCTGCAGCTGCAGGAGTTTGCCCAAGACGTGAAGGACGAGTTCCTGCACCTCTACAGGGTGACAAGAAAATCTTCGAATCAAAAGCTGCGAACAAAGAAATCCAAAGCGAAGGGAACAAGTCGTAGGAAATCTTCGAACAAAAAGCTGCGATCATCAAAGAAATCCAAAGCGAAGGGAAGTACAAGTAGTAGAACCAAGTACAAGGAGTTCACGTTTGTTCCATCCATGGGGTGGCAACAGGATCTGCTGGATAACAATTTGATCTCGCCACAAAATCACGAGCAGATCATGTTGGCGGTATGGGAAGAGAAGCAAAAATCTGGGGAAGAAGAGAAGATGGAGAGAAGAAGTAGCGGTCGTGCAGCCGGAGCTGCAAGTCGTAGTCCGTCCTCGACGCGGGCATCTTCTGACACACCGTCCACCTCCGCGTCCTCCACCCCGAACAGTAGTACAACTGTGGAACAAAGAACCGAAATGATGAAAAACCTCACAGCAACAGCTGATAATCGAGCAGCTTGGCTGGAGCAGAAGAAGCAGCGTTTCGCGCTGCACAGAAAGCTGCTTAGAAACGGTTTCTCCAAAATGGTATTCAGAGATTTCCTCGGCGGCATTCTTTCTCCGCGGGCGCAAGAAGAAGATCATGACGATGAACTACAAAATGCATACACAAAATTACGGGCTGACAAGAGAACATCAGAGCGAAAGACAAAGGCAATTAGGGCCGCGGAAAAGATCTTCTCTGTTCTGAAAGTCATTCTGCCGAACTGGATCAAGACCGCTGACTTTGGAGATGAAACAGCGGCCACGACCCTATGCCTTGCAAATACCGATCTGGGTCTTGAAGGTTGCTGCAACTTCGATCATGCTAAACCTGCATCTTCATGCAAAGATCTGTGATGCTGCATGGGTAGTACCAAAAGCTGTTTTCTTTTGACCAGGTTGAGGGGGACGAGTTTATTCTCATGCAGTATAGGCATGGTATTAAAGACTACTTCGAAGAATCTGTCATGCTGGGTGCCGCACTCCAGGGCTGCTCAAGGGTCAAGGTCATGGAAAATCTGCATGGAAAGCGTTGCAACCTTCCAGACCTACACATGATATTTGCGCTTGATACACGACCCTAAAAATTTTCAACGAACAAGAAGAGCAAGAATTTCGGGACGCGGTTCGGGCACACTACGAGCGCCGGCAAACGGAGGAAGAGCAGGGAATAACGAGGGAGATGAGACAGCGTGGAATTTTTAAAAAAGCTATGCACCCGCGGATCGTGACCCCGGAAGACCTATCCACTGCAGATAAAGTATCGTACTAGTATAAATCGCATGACAAATTGGAATTTCCTCGGCATGCGAAATGAAATTTGTAATGCAAATTTAACTTAGCAGAAAAACTTGTAATGCACAAATGCGATTAGTACGAGTACCTTACTTTTGCAGTGCATAAGACCACATCGAGTCTTTACCGGTGGACGAATTGGTGGAGAAGATCATCCAGGAAGACCTTGTGCAGAACCTGCACCTATGAACTGCAAATATGTCTGGGTCTGGAAACTTGTGATGCTGAGTGGCGTATCAGGAGGAGGCCACAAGTTTTGGCTCAGCATGACCACAAGTTTCTGACGAGCTTCTAGGTGTTGCCTATTCTGCGTGAGGACAAATTGCGTTTCTGCATGACAGAGCAATGGGGCTCTTGGTCTTGGATATAAGCGTGCATGACAGATTTCAGAGTCATCCCAGACTCAAGCATGACAAACTTGCATTCTTCCAGACGGAGACATTTTTGCAATCCATAGCACCTTTCGTTTGACCATCTACGGGCACAAGAGGAAAGCTTGATGAAGAGCCTGGCCTTACTTACCTACAAAGACGAACTGGAGGGCATGTTGGCCTTCACCGTGGGGCACATGATCGAAGTTCCGGAAAACTATTTGCGCAAGTACCGAGCCGAGCCAAAGGAGGAGGAGTTTTTTGTCGTGAGAATTCTCAAAACCATTGTCGAAGACGCGAAAAAGAACCACAAACTTTGTTCTTATCCTGTGCAAACGTATCTGATACTCGTATTGCAGTCATGCATAATACAAATCTTTTTTGTAAGGTAAATCCGCATATAAAAATTTCACCTCTGATGCTGAGGATATTTGGAAAATGCATTGATACGAGTACTACGATACTTTTGCAGTTCATAGTGCTGGTGACCATCAGCCGATTGATGCGCAACAAGGAGTATCAAATGCAAAAATGTCTGGGTCTGGAAGAATGCGCGATTTGTCATGCAGCTTTTCCATGAGCCATGAGGTCTGGAATGCAGGACCTAGCATGACAGATTCTGCGCGATCTCTCTCATGCCTATCCTGCATGACAAACTCCCTCCTGACTTGTTCTAAACTGGACGACTTTTGGTAATCATGCAACACAGATTTTTGCATGCTGGAGATTTAGCATGACAAGTTCCAACCTTCCAGACCCAGACATTTTTGCATTTGATAAGGAGCCGCCGTCAGTAGGCCCAGGCGTGGCGCCGATCATCTGGTGAAACTGACCGGAAACTGTGTGCCCAAGCGAAACGAACACCTGGAAATGTGCCACGGGGTCGTGCACTGTGCGAACCACAAGCTCGTAATGGAGACCGAGGGCCGGCGCGCACACTGGTGGGGTTGGCAGAACTTGGACAATTGTGAGCGGGCACGAACCGATCTGCAACTGCAATTTCTTGCGCCGCCAGACGAATCCGCGACGACGCAGCTCGGCCGGCAGCAAAAGTTTATCCGGGGCCAGAACACGGACTGCTTTGGACGGCAGACCTGCGACGCGTGTCAGTACCGAAATATCGAGACGTTGCTGCAAAACGGCGACCAAGTGGACCCGCAGTACGCGCGGCTGAGTTTTCTGCAGGAAGAGATCTTTTACCGCGAAAACTCCGGACTGGGTTGTGGCGCGTGCGCCGTGTCTCCGGTGAACGCCGTGAACAAAGCGATTTCAATGGCCTACTTCAGCTTTGCCGCGGTCTATTGGCTTGCTGCGTTACCCATCGTTATCACAGCAGGAGTAGCTACCGGGGGCGGGGCTGCAGTCATGCTGCTTGCCCCCGGCCTCAGTCACGTATGGCACGGGTACGAGGCTCGGTACAACCGTGAGTTAAATTGGCACCAGTTTGGCATGCGCCAGATCGCGCAACCCCTGCAATTTATCCGGCAAGTGGCGAGTCCCTTTCTTCCGCAGGGAGGAAAGCAAAATAACCGGAAGAATAACAAAAGTGCCCAGCAAATCAAGAATTGCAAGTACCCATACCTGACAATGTTTGCCGCCGTTCCGCTCGTCGAAATTGGCATTCAGCTCGCCCAGGACGTCGGATGGCCACTGCTGGTAGACCTTGTACTGTGGCCACGTGTGAAAGACCTTCTGCTACAATCGTTACTGAACAGCTGGAAGAAAAACCTAACAAAGATGTTTGGAACCTCCACCAGCACGACGACGCCAGCACTACCTGCAGTCTCTCGGGCGACGTGTGGTCCTCGCAGCGGCACAACTGCTGCATATAACATTCCAACAACGCAGGCTTGCATGCAAGAAAAATTTCTGGATATCCTCGCGGCGGAGCAACTGAACCCGGACTATCAGACACTGCACCTCAGCCACTACAGCGGCACCAAGGCTGCCTTTTTGAACGTGTCGGCAAAGTTCCTGCAGTACCAGGTACAGAACAGGCAGACCTCTTCGTTTGACCGTCTGAAACTCTGGGAACAACAAGCGGCCAATTGGGACAGCGAAGTTGTACTACCAGCACCGCAGCAGGAGCTACTAGAAGTCGCTGAACATCATGGCGAAGATGATGATACTGACCCGAAAAATCAAGATCCGCTGACCGAGCAATTTGAAGACGCAAAAGAACAGGCCCGTAAGGCCTTGGTGGAGAACCGTTATGCGACCGAGCAGACGGCATCCGAGTTTCTCAAGAAAGAGGTCTTTGGCAAGTTGGGAAAACTGATTCAAAAAATTGCCAAGGGCGACATCCGAAGCATCGACTGGAACTTCTGGGCAGCGCTCGAGCAATTTTTGCAAATCATTTTGTCTATCTTTGAAACGGCGGCGCTGTTTTTCGGCAGTTCCTTTGGGCCGGACCTCGGACATATGAGTGGATATGATCTGCAAAAGTATCGTACTCTGGTATAAATGCATGACAAATTTTCTCAGCATGAGAAATAAAATTTTTTGTAATGCGGATTTAGTACGTTAAAAAAAAAAAAGATTCGTAATGTATGGCTATGCAATTACTACGAGTATCAGATACTTTTGCACAGGATAGTGGAGGTTCCATGGTGTTGTCCATAATTGGGCCGTTTCTCCGTTTGGTCAGCGGCATATGGCAGATGTTTGGGTTGTCGAGACAATACGAAAAATTCGCCGGTCGATGGTTGAAGCGCGAGGCCGTGGAAGGACTTTGGCGCGCGGAAAAGTTCGAGAAGATGTGCCAACCTGAGGCTTTTTCGGAAGGAACGAAAGCGAGGAAAGATGCCTTCGAGGACCTCATTGCCAGCCGTCAAACGAAAGTTGCGCTGAAATATGGCCTCAACCCCTGCTCTTTGGGTAAGACTGTGAATCCGAAAGACTACTGCAGCTGTTTGGTCGCTGTCACGAAGAGCCACGAGGGTTTCAAGGGGATGTCGGTGACGAAGGAAGCGCAGTGGTTTGCGCACAAAATGTACTTTGTCCAGACGAAAACCGCGAAGGAGTTTCCCGATGCAGAAATACATCCAAAATACAAATCGGTATCGCTTTCGCGGGAGCTTTTGGCCGTGCAGTTTTTGAAAAACTTCCGGGGATATACTAACACTTCAGACGCTTCTGCAGGGATGAAAAACAACGGCAAGAACAAAATAAACCTGCTAGCGACCAGTAGAAAAATAGCCGTCGAGGGACAACAAGATCACGTCGGCGCTCAAGCTCGGCTTTCTAACATTCTCAACGATCTTGCGAAGGAACTCGCGGAGACACAGCTGAGGGTTATCCACGAGGAGATCTTCAATCCGATTGCGAGTTTGGTGCAGATCACGGTTTATGCATTGCAAATACCCCTGGAGGTCTGGAATAAACTTGTGATGCTGGGTGGCTTAATATCATGAGGAGGCCACAAGTGCTGGCTTAGCATGACAAGTTTCTGAGCGTGAGGTCCTTTTGGGTGTTGCCTATAAAAATTCTGCATGACAAACTGCGTTTCGGCATGACAGAAAAGTGGGGCTGCTCTTGGGTACTAACGTGCATGACAGATTCAAGAGTCATGCCAGACAAGCATGACAAACCTGCATTCTTCCAGACCGCCCAGACATATTTGCCCTTGATACGGTTCCCTGGGCCGCCCGGAAGTGGGTCCACAAGCAGCTCTGGGACCCTGCCAACCAAGCCTTGCAGCGACAGCAAGAGGAGAAGAGGAGAGCGGCCATTCCGCCACCGGTCGAGGAGGAGCGGGACCCAGTCGCCATGCCGATTATGCAAAGAAAAAAGTGTTACAGTTACACATTTGTTGTCAATTCAGCAACACAAATTTATCTGCATGAGAAAGAAAACTTGCAATACAGAAATCCTACGGGAAAACACCTATGAAACGAGGCTGCTATGCATATCCAGCATGACAGAGCTTGTGTGTCTTGCTTGACCTGCAATGCAATGTGCACCTGTAAACACTTTTTTCTCGCGATACTGGTAAACTGGCGGGATGGCGGAGACGACCAGAGCGAGCCTGGTTCGTCCTCCCGCAGTAACGCGGGCGACGAAGACGCGTCTGAGGCTGGCCGCGCAGCATCCCCCCTACCGGAACTGCTCTCCGGTGCGGCAAGTCGCGAAAGCATGTCGTGCCCCTCGGAAAACGATGAAACCGCGGCGCGATCTCCCGGGCAAGGGAGACCTCGAAGCAGGTCTGAGGCCGATGCCGGTCGTACACAGCAACAGCGTCGTGGTTCTTCCCGTGGCAACAGGAGGACATCTTCCCTGCGCAGACGCAACTCGACAGGTAGCGCGACGATGCGCTCCGCAGAATTAGACGGAGCTACGTTGACCGCCCGTGCTTCCTCCGCCACGCGCGGGGGCGAACCCGAACGACGTGTGAGTTCGCTGCCCCGGCCGCGCGCCCGAAGCCCGGCTGGCACAAGGAGCCGGCAACGGGGAACAAGCCCGGCACGAGCTTCTACTACAACTAGGCGCAGCGGCAGTGCGCCCCGTACCCTCGAAACCGTTGACCCCCAGGTCTTGGCTTCAAGGAGCCGGCGACGAACAAGCCCGGAACGAGCCAGTACAACTAGACGCAGCGGCAGTGCGCCCCGTACCCTCGAGACCGTTGACCCTCGGGAGCTCGCGGCGGTCTCAGCTAGACTGTCGAAAATGAGTTTATCAGCAAACAGTACAAGTGCACGCGAAGGGCCAACAGAAATAACAAGTGGAATTTTTCAAACTCCGGAACAGGATTTTCACCCCCGCCTGAGTCGGCGGGACTCAGTTCAGACGCGCAGCAGCATGAGCAGCTCGCCAGGCCCGATGAACCGGCGCGACTCCGTTCTATCAACAGCGTCGACCATTGCTTCGCATGCGGATCTGCAAGGACTCCAACGCGGCGGCCCGGGAGGTGGACCTACACACGACAAAAAACAAGCGGGCTTCAATTATAAATCTGTCGGGCCCGTCGTCCAAGATGAATCTTCGACGGCCCAAACAATGAAGACAAAGCCCGCAATGCGCACAAGAACCACAACCTCCCCAAAGACCACGCGTCGCTCAGCATCGGTGGGACGCATCGGGACACGCACGGCCTCGCCTGGCGCCAGCGCCAGAAAGGGCCGTAGATCGTCGTCGGCGGGAATGAGAACGACCTCGGATCATGACCCCGGTAGTGGTTCCAAAAAGAACCTCCAAGGCCTTGACGCCAACTCTTCTGACCCGGTATCCACCTGGAGCAAAACGCAGATGTACACGCACGACGGCTTCGAAGGCGTGCCAGACATGTATCGGGGACCACTGCTTGTGTCTTCGGATAATGCCGGTGGGGGTGATGGTAATTTTCCCTTTCTCCAACAAGGCGGGACGGTCAAGGCAGTTCCGCCCGCGCCGAAAGGCAAAGCGGCAGCAGCAAGTTCAGCCAGTGCAAGCTCCTCCTCGGCACCGAAAACTGCAGCTAAGGCTGGCGCTGCGACCTCCTCCGCGGCGCCAAAAAGTGCTGGTAAGGCAGAGGCCCTAACACTCAACTTGACCCTACCATTACCAACGGCCGCAGACGACTCGCACGAAACCCTTGTTATTCCCATGTCAAAAGCGCCCGGGGTCCCGCCGAGTACTCCGCCCCAGCAACAGTTCCTTACGGCTGCAGGGGGCCATGGGGGTGACCCCCATGGAGACCCCGGAGACGATCCAAATCCGAGTAGCGGCAGCGGTGGCGCCGATGCTGGTTCTCCTCTACACGGTCCTTTTGGCCCGCCGGGCCGTCGCCGACTCTCCGCTGGCGACATGCCTGGTGATGACGATGCGGTCGCCCGGGCAAGAGAGACCGCAGAGACCGCGCGACGAGAGAGGCCGGTGTCGCGCGCTTCTTTGTTTCAGGTCGCTCTCTATCTCACAGAAACCTCTTATCCGAGTATGGGACTTGCCATTGCCATGTATACAGCTTCTAGACTATACAATCGGAAGATTGCGTCGTCCTCTGGCAGACACGACTACAATGCGCATGTCGGCGGCACGAACGAGTGAAGCGCACATTACTGTATCAAACGCGACGGAGTGGGTTTGCATGAAAATAAAGGCGATGCTCCGCACTTTGATTTCGCGCCCAGACCTGAACGCAGCACTACTATGCTCAGTCACTGCTCTGGAAATAGGCGTTGGTAAGAGTCGTCCTCTGGAGGGATTTTTCTGTTTGATAGAGTTGGCGAAGTGACGCCTACGGGAAAGCATATGGCAGTTACAATTCCTGGTGACGCCGGAAAACGCGTCACTTCCCCGCCCACTGTGCGAGAGGCGCGGAACATCGAAAACCCCGATCGCACGAATGACGTGCAGAAGGTGCGGGCCGCTATCCAGCAAGAGGAGGGGCAAGTAAGTACATTAAGAACGACGTTGCGACAGCAAGAGCGCGCGCTGGACAACGCGTGGCAGCATTGGTGGGAGAATCCGGATCAGGAGCGCTACGGCCAACTGGATAATGCAGTAAACACGACGAAACAACAGATCCGGGCCCGGGAACGCACGCAGGAAGAGTACAGAAAATGGGAACACTGGGTGAAGAACGACGTGAACGAGGGGTATGTTGAGGCGAATCCCAATTACAATGAAGCAAACCCGTCGAGTCGCGAGTTGAAGTACACACCGTATGGTCCGTACCAAGTCAGACAGACGGAAGAGCAGCACGTCCACTGGGTGCCGGTGCAAGCAGGCGTGGGCAGCAGCGCTAGCTCGAGACTAGACGAAAGTGTAGTTCTCGCGGCTCGCGAATTCGAAGGGTACCACGGACAAGCAACGGACCAGGCCAGGGAGCATTATGGGCAGGTATTAAGGGATGAAACAATTGCAAAAAATTTTGTCGATCACCCGGAGCGGCATTACCAAGATTTACTGAACCAGGCTACCGACATCGCCAACCTGCAGGCCACCGGAAAGCCGGCGTTGGTCTTTGCCAAGTCGACTACTCAGCTTGACAAACCCACGGAAGCGCAGCGGCGAGCCGTGTACGGTGGCGCGAACTACGACGACCCAAATCGCAAAGTGGAGGCAACGAAGCTGTTTAAGAAAGTGGACCATGGGACAAACCGCCGGGGCGCGCCCAAAGAAGTTATGGTGGCCACGGAGGACTTTGAGACACTTGTTCGGACAAAGAATAATCAGGATTACGTCGGGACGCAGTCCATCCAACATGCGTCAGGCTCTTCTGTGCGGCCAGCAGAGGTTATAAACGGAGTGGTGCGTCTGAAAAGTCTGGGTAGCTGCAATCCCGCCGAAAGGGAAATTGCGCTTTCGCACAACAACACAGCCCTCACTCCAGAGCCACTGAACGCTACCGACCAGGACTTGGACGCCCAAGGCCGTAGGGCACTGCACACCATGACCAGCAATCCGCAAGCCCTTGACCGTACCCGCAGTTTGATGAGACATATCTCATTGAGAGGCTGCCCCCCGTCCGGATACAGACATAACTCCGTTTTTTGTGCAGTGATCCACTAGCTTCACGCACCACTAAGTGATATTATACGGCTTTGTAATATGTATTCTCATTGCACGCCGAGAGCAGGAGTGCACGGCGCAGAAAAAAAAGAATTTGATGCGGCCCAGTACTTGGGAAACGCGTCACGCATGCCACACTTGCTTCGTACCGAAGAAGCCGAATTCTGTCGTTGCGCAAAAGAGGCGCGCGTGTTATTTCATCTTGTCCTAATTACAGGCGGCAAGATGTTGAAAATGTATAAACGTGTTGCATGTAGTAGTCGAGCCAGTTACGTGTCTGGGGAGGGGGCTTTTTCGACTTGATAGAAGAGAAAGGAATTGAAAATGTCACTGATCAAGTCTCCGCGCTGGGTGCAATGGTCGTGGGCAAGACCCATCCGAAAAGCCGTGAGGAAGTCATCTACCACAATGAAAAACGCCTTCACCCATTCGCAAGAGAGCAACAGGCTTGCGCGGTTGCTTTTGTAGCACTACCGACGTACAAATGCAATGTCAGCGGAAGGTGGAGCGTTTAGCACGTATTTGTGTGCAAACCACACAAGCACAAACCTACGAGCCCGAGCAGAAGTTTTTACGTTTGATGAGCCAAGAAAGACCGCACGTGGGCACGCGTCGGAAACCCTACGTTTTCGGCAGCAGTCTGCAGACTTGTATTTTGCAGTTGTGCCGTGGCTCGTATTGGTATTTGCCCCAAGATAAAATTGGGTTCTTTAGACCGCATCTGGTTCGCAAAAGTTTCCAGCTATTCCGCTGCCGGTTGCTTATGCTTTGGGTCAAGGCGTTTTGAAAAGTCATAAAGGGCCAAAGGGAAAAGCGGCCAGCGCGTTACACGCCGGCGACATGAAAAAAACGAAGCTTTTCAAGGAAGACTACGCGAGAAATGTCGTCAACGCAAAGAATTATGTGATGGAAAAGTGTAGTAGCCTGGATACATTGGTGGCACAAGCTGGTCATGCATTGCGCTAAGTGAGGTAAATGCGGATAGCTTTGGTGCATAATCAAGGCACGGTAAATAGCGTTTTTCGCGGGGGGCCTCGTTTTGGCAATAGTGTCGGTTAAGGTTGAGTGCCAGCGAAGGTCCACCCGCGAAGCGTGTCAATTTCACTGGGCAGCCCACTCCAAAGAAATCGGGCGCTTTGATACCACTGCAAGTAGAGCATAGACCATGTATTTCTGGCTCTGCACTTTTCTACCCGATATCGCCAAGGTATTTTTAGACCAGCAAAGCCACTGCACGCAAGGGCAATTGGAAGACCTGGTCGTGGATAGGATCAGGAACGAGGCCGCGTCCTCTTCGAGTACGGGCCCGCCAGAGCCGAAAGCCCTTGCCGCTATAATGGAAAACCATCCTCTTAACAACTTTATCAGATTACCGAGGGCTGAGCGCCGGAAGCGCGCAGTTTGGAGAAGTGCGTCGGGGAACTATGAGGAGCCAATGTTTGCTAGAACTGCGTCCGCCTCCGCGTCGCCAGCACCAGCAGGGACACAGCAAGCCGCAAACCCGGCTGCGACACCAGCCGCAAATCCAGCTGCTGTGGGAAATGCCCCTGTTGCTGTGGGAAATATTCCTGCAGCACCTGTGGGAAATATTCCTGCAGCACCTGTGGGAAATGTTCCTGCTCCTGTGGGAAATATTGCTGCTCCTGTGGGAAATGCCCCTGCTGTTGCGGGAAACGGCCCTGCGGCTCCCATCGCGCAAGGACAGGCTGCAGTTTCATCGACGTCGGCATCGGCGTCCGCTAGCTCGCATCCGGCACCGCCTGCAGGCCAGCCAGCTGCACCTCCAGCTGCAGCAACCCCACCAGCCCGGGTCCGTGACCTACGCACACAATCACTGTGACCGGGCGACGCGGAATTGGTATCGGTGTAGAAGGTGAAGGGGGAAATCGTTCTAAAATATTGATTGTCCTCGTAGCATCAAGGGCGTAATACGATAATATCTTGCTAGCAGCCCGGGCACCTATATGAAATCGATGAATTGATGGTCCAAGATTTTCCTGTTGTAAAATGTTACGTACAAAAAGCCCTCTACTCCGGAGGAGACTGCAAAAGGACCTCTTCCCAGGCTTTGCAGGGAGTGTATTTTTTTGATTTCTGTATAATTTCAAAACTACCGATTCTTATCATATACCGTGCGGCACCATCAGGTTCGGGACTCAATTTGAAAAAGGTTGCGGTAGTCGTACATTATTCTATTGAAAAATGAAGACGTAGACGCGAATTCTATGAAGAAGACGTAGCAGCTGCCTATTCTATATTTTTTCTCGACTCTAGATCTAGACGAGATTGTAGGATTTGTCGTATTCCACCGGCGAAAAACACAAAAAATCGAGAAGTTTGTCCGGCCGATAGAAATTCAAATTTTAGAAAGTAGCGAAAACTTGTGGCCTGTATAGTACCAGACGACCACAAGTTATGCCCCCTTCGGACCCATCTTCATCTTGACGTGCTTTCGCCTTTCATCAAAATCGCCCGAACTATATCTAATTCGCCAATTCCTATCTTGTATGATGCGGCGAGACCACCAGCTGCGAGGAGATATTTGGTGAAAAGGAAATCTTTGAACACACAATCGGAACAACAGGGTCGGAACGAGATCAACACTTTTTAAGGACAAGTGCGATGTTGAAAGAAAAATGGTTCTTGTCCACCAAAAAAACAGCGGAGTGGTGTTGTGGAAGGAAACAAGCTTTTCATATCAGCTACAAAAATTTCGAGTAAAGTGTTCTTCCGCTCTGTCGTTCTGCAAAAAGAAAAACAATCTTTGAAAATTCTTTTTCCGCAATGTCGGTGGTCGGACGTCGCAGCAATACAGCTTCCCGTAGTTTCTTGGTGGATGCGGAATACCGATGACCAACATGCGTTGTCATGTAGTACGCCGTTTTGAGGTTTGATTTCCGGATCGATCTTCTCAGGTTGGGGGGCATGATCTTCCAGTTGAAGTTCGGAGTTTTGTGATCCTCTACTTGTTGTCGTCTTGTTGCGTCGCGACCGCAACATCACCATCCATGCGTGCATCAATCTATCGGCGCGATCAACAAGAGTCAAAAAGGAATAGCATCCTGGATGTTGCCTCTGCTGGTCGTGCAAGGGGTAAGCTAGCAGTTTGTTTGTCCTCCTTAAGTAGATGTCGGTGCGCATTTGTTAGCTCGCGTGAAGACGCACGTCGTGCCGCACACCACGGACAAATTTTTTAGTCGGGCCTCGCTGTGGTCGGCACAGATCATGCTCCGCGGTGATAGGGTTCATCTTCGGAAGCAGGGCGATGCAGTGCCACGACAACTGCCACTGCGTCTACTTCTCCTCGCGGTAGCTTATTTCGAGTTCGTACCACGATCATGCGGCGCCCACCGTGTGTCCATCGCAGTCGCGCGCGGTTCCCCGGGTGACCGGAATATGGTAAATGAACCAACCGTACGAAGTGCAAAAGCATCGTACTAGTATAAATCGCATGACAAATTTTCTCAGCATGAAGAAGAAAATTTGTAATGCGGATTTAACCTGTGAAAAAAATTTGTAATGCATGAATGCGATTAGTACGAGTACGATACTTTTGCATATGCATAAACCGAAACAAGAAGCTCTACCGAGGAGCACGTGCTTGACATTGGCGAGGTTGCGCTTGACGTCGCGACGCCTTCCTATCCATAGTAAATTTCCTGTACACGACGTACAAAGGCTGTCTCTGCATGACAAAATTTGCCTTCAATCTTAGTCAGCATGACAAGTTTGACATTCAAAGTTAGCGAAGTTTGTGATGCATTTTGTACATCATGTACGCGAAATTTGTATTGCATACCCCCTCCGCAATGTTTACGGCGGGCTGGTCCTCCACTACCGACCACGAGAGCACAACCGCCAGTACCGCAACGACGCACGTTCCTCCGGAACCTGGGGGCAGCATATCCTGAGTAAAAACGTCCCCACACCAGAGTCAAGAAGGGAAATCTGCTAGACAAGTCACACAGTTTTGCTTGTTTGGCATGGCAAAGTTGTCCTTGTAGTGTGGTTCTGTTTACCTAGCTCAGAAGCATCACAGATCTAGCGTAGCATGCTGATCCTAGCATCACAAATCCCAAAACACGAATAGAGAGTGCTTCACTTCATAGGGCTCCGCATGAGAAACTTTTTATTTTTTGGCATGCAGAATTGCATGACAGCTCTGGGGTGGGGATGTTTTTACACGGGATACAGCACCAACGAACATCACAACTTCCAGCAGAATTATTTTTCTGACGCAACTTCAACAGTCGCACACACAGTGCCTGTTCCCGGCACGCAGCAGACGTTTCCCGTCGTTGGCATTGCAGATCTGCATACCACTGAGGCCATCACCAGTCCCACACCTACTAGTACTTCAGCAACCACTTCCGCAGCAACGCGAGCATCAACGTCGACTTCCATGTACAGAATCGCAAACGCGTGGTCAACAGCAGCGCAAGGACTTAGAAGAAGCACAGCACGACCTGAAATTTCGGATCCAGAACAACCATCGACTTCTCACGGATCGCATAACCCTAGCAGCGGTGATGCCCCCCCAAGAACGAACGTCGTCCAACAGGTCGTGATTGGGCGCCCGGCGGGTAGTAGTACTGCAGCAGCAAATGGAGCTACAACATCAGACAGGCCTGATTTTGTCTGGAGGGGAAATAGGCCTTCGATACTGTCGCCGAACCCGCTGCGCGACTTTGTCGTTGGGAGACCCCAACTTAGTCACCGGGATCCCCGACACTTTTTCCGCGTTTGCGGGTGGCGTTGCGGCACCAGCAGACGGGGTGCTGCTGGAGGTTCGTACGATTCTGGCGCTGGCCCATCGAGTGGCGGAAACCCCGGCATGAACGGACGAGAAGCAGGGGCAGGAGGTTTGCACCAGCCCGAAACCTGGGTCCCGGGCCAGCCAGCGAGCTCCAACGCACGAGCGGCCGCTCCACAAGACTTTCAACCCGGGACGGTTTCTGGAGGCGTCCCAAACGCCTTGGCGCAGCGAGATTTGGAGCGAAACCGATTTTCACCGCCCAGAAATAGAACGTTCGGGGTGTCGGTGGATGCGGACAGCGTCATGGTATGACTTGCAAAGACATTGTATATAGTTGAACTGATTGCACTCATGCTCATGCATAGAAAATTTCTTCCTTAAACTGAATCTGCATGACATTTTTCATTTGTCATGCTGAAGAAATCTGTCATGTGAAGATTTCTGCTTAGTGCGATAGTTTTGATGCAATGCATACCCGGTGCGTCGAAACCATTTTATCGGCGAGGATATTCGGACGGTTCCTAACTGCTGTGTCGGAAGAAAAAACCGCTTCGCTGGAGGTTTGTCATGCATGAAATGCAACACAGACCACGCATTTGTCTCGCTACACAGGCAAGACCACTGGTTGTCAAGCGTGTTGTTTCTTCTACTTGGAAAGTAGCACGCATGGCAGTTATGTGTTGTAACTTGTTGTAAAGCAAAACTTGCAAAAGCAAAATGAAAATCTCCTTTCAGCGAAACATTATTTTTTTCTTACGATATACTGCGCCACGACTCCAAACAGCCTGTGGTGTTGCTGGAGCTCTTGGCGTACGCGTTGCAAAAGTATCATCTTTGTTTGCTAGTACGTAATTTTTGCACGACAAATTCTGTGCAGAGCAGTTTACAACGTAGTTTGCTGATTGACGTTACAGATGAAATTTGTCATGCTAACGTGATCTTCATTCCACTTACATCACGGGCACATCTACAACGGAGGATACTTTTGCACAGGATATCTCTGTGGTGCTGCATCCCAGGCGTCTATTCAGTGAACGGGGCCGACTCAATGCACGATCCTTTTTCGAGCCTTTTCTTTTTTGACTTTTTGAAGGTATTCAACTTAGCAGCGTTTTTTCTGTGCTTTATTCTCTTCGGCATCCTGTGCGCATTTTCGGAGTCTTTTCGAAGCACGTTTTTCGGGGGGAGCGATACGTATTACAGCTAAATGCAAATTTTTTTATGTAGTTGTTAAAAAAATGAACTGGGCAAATGATGTAGATGGATCGCGTATTAGCAATTTCATGTTTCTCGTCCGCAGTTGGTTTTGGTTCATCTCCAAGAAATGTCTGCGAAAAATCGGTCGATCATTTGATAGCATCCCAGAGAATGTTTCCTCCCACACAGATGATGCAGTGACAGTGTGGATGTAGCAGAAGATTTGGATTTGCGTTTCTTCTTGCACCAAAGCACCGCCAAGCAAAATGAATTCAACGTAAATGTTGAAAAGATGATCCCATCCGTTCAGAGTTTGACCGCATACACAGGTTCAAATGGGCAGTTTGCCTGTCCAAAAATCGCTAGCTCCCCCCGCCAGAGGTAAGTTTTCGAAAAATAAAGTTTAGTTTTCGAACAAGAGCTGCAGAGATCATGAAAAATCTACTAGCGATCTGAAGTTCTACCGTCTTCCTGCATTCCGCTGTGCCTGGTGTCGCGGAAAAGTTCTTTCCAATTCACAAATTTTGGATCCGTGCGAAGATGATGAAGATCCTGATCCGTGTGAAGATCCCTCGGTCGATCGGTAAAAAAATCAAACGTTGACGAAATCCATTCAAATTCTTTTCGTTCCCGCAAGTTCTTTTTCGTGAAAAAAATCGGAAATAATTCGACCAGCTCGTCAGCCTAGTCCACGAGCAGTATGATAGATACACCTCTCGTGATACACTTCTACCAAAAAACGAAACAGTAGATTGAATTTGCACGCAAGCGAGCAGAGTCTGCTAGTTCTTTTAGTGGGTGATAAAGTATAGTAAAGTAGAAGTTCCGATCGTGGTAGTATAGTATAGTAGAATTCCGTGGCTTTTCTCCGAGAAGTGTTCTCCTTCTACGTAGGCCACTTATTGTTCCACCCCTAAAGATTCATTTTACGACGTAGACGCGAACAAGTGTAGTGCGTCTGCGTCGCCCCAAAAATCTTCCTCTAGTGCGTCGTGTGTGCCGCATTATCATCCCCTTAAGCCTAAAAAAACGTTTTCATTTCTTTCGACTGCGATATTAAAGTTAAGTCAGAAGGTCGCGGTCCTCAGGGGAACGCCTTACGTCGAATCATTATTTTATTCCCACCTTCATCTAGAATTCCATCTGCAGGGCGCAGTATGAATCAATATTTTTCCATCGAGAAGAATTTCTTCACCTATTGTACCGTCAAAAACATAAGAGTAAAGACAAGTAGATAATCCAAATTCCATTATAATTCAGAAAACAATCCGACACCTACTACAAGGAGTTTGCAATGGTCCCCCCACCAAAAACGGAGGTGCTTTTTTTTCTTGTAGCTTGCACACGTACAACAACTGAGGTGAAAATGACCAGGAATAGTACTACATCATAGTCAGAACTTCCGGTGGAGGTGGTCTTGCTGCGTTATACGACTGCCCTATGAAGAACTCTGACGAGATGGAGTTCTTGCGACGGCAGAAGTTTTCTCCCCATCGAAGGTCGTTCCTCAGCACGGAGAACTTTTCACGACCGAGGCAGCGGGAAGTCCCGCTACATTCCGCATTTTCGAAAACCTCTGTGCAGTGTTTTCTGCTGCTTCTGCTACCGCTTTTTTCCTCCACGACCTTCACACTGGGACTTCGATATCAAGCAGGTATAATATCACCTACTTCATCGTCCTCGACGTCCACAAGCTCTTGCAAGAATAGCACGACCAGCACTTCTTCTGGGCAAGGAAGATGGAAACAAAGTGGGAAATCTGGTTTTGAAGAGGGAGGCGAGGAGGCTGCGAAAAAGGTGGAGAGCAGCGGTGAAGGAGATAGAGCTCTTGGTCTTGTACCAAAAACCGACGACCTCAAGCAGGGCGTGGTTCTACTTTCAACGCAAGAGGATGTTGTAGTACAGCCACCGCGACCAGCGCCATCAACAGAAGCAGACCAGCATGTCGAGGGCAACATTAGTGGCCCGCCGCCACCAACTGCAGTGGTAGAAGCTGCCGCTGCTGCCGCCCGGCCGAGGCCGAGCCGAGAGACGGAGCAGAAGCATGTGTTGTCGAGCACCGGGAGCGGAGGTCTGCGGGTGGAGTTTGCGGCCAGTAGTACAACAGCTTCTACCTCCAGTGGTGGTCCTGCACCACCGCCGGGAGGTCCTGCCACAACTACTTTGCATCAGGATCATGTTCTTCACCCTGATCCTTTGGCCGCCCCCAGTTCTTTCGTCGACGAGTCGAAGCCCACGTGCGAGATCCACTTCACCTTGCACCAGAACAGCAGGCAGCAATACTACGGAGTTGTAGACCACGAAGATGTAGAGAGCCAGCACGGCGTACAGCACGACGGTGCGTTGCTGTTGCAGGGTGAGGATTTCGGGTCTCGAGGGACGACGTTGCAAGATGAACCACGTAGTAGCAGCTTTCATTTGACCAGTACGACGGGTTCTACTTGGGCTGAAAAAGTGCAGCGAAGTGTGGAAGCGCGTAGCAAAGACGTCAGCGGCACGAACCGTGATTATAAGCTTCGGAAATTCTATATGGAAGCGTCAGGTTTGAAATCACCAAAGTGGAAATAATTTGTCATGCATAAAATGGATGTCAGTTGTGACCCAGTTTCCAAGTGGCGCATGACAAATTTGGGTCAAACCGAAATCGAGTTTGTCATGCTGTTTGGGTGAGGAAGACGCCTTTTGTCATGCTATTTTAGCACCTCTATTTCTCCCCCTCAGTAGGCTTACAATCTGCCTCCCTTGCCTACTCTGCAAGACAGGCATTTTGTGGGTTGCATTTTATGCATCACAAACTATAATTTCAACTTTGACGATTTCAAACCTGACGCTTCCATATTCTACCTTCTCAAGGCTGTGGACGCGAACACCATTGCAGTAAAATTTTCCTGGCCTGCTGATGCAGAAGTAGTAGGTGAACAACAAATGGAAGATGAAACAGCGACGGGGTGCTGGGGTAAAAAAGCTTCCCTCTGCCCCGCTGAAAGAGCGTTCTGGGGCGGTCGTCAAAGAAGGCACTGGGCCAACCAAGTTCGCGCCAAGATGACGCTGGACGATTGGCGGCGCCTATTTTTCCCCGATTTTGAGAGCGGCCAGGCAGGGTATGCGTTTCAGGTCTTCGCACCATCGGGGAAGAATGCTGGCGAAGGTGTTGTAGGTCCTTTCGCGGTGCTGGACCCGTCAAAGACGATTGCAGGCGATTTGTGCCGCGATCACGGCGGGACGAGGACAACCAGAACTTCGCATCGTGCTACAGATCATTCTGGCCCATCACAAGGGGGTGGGCCCCAACAACATCATGCTGACCACGAGTCGTCCGTCGTTGTCCACGTCAGTGTTACCCGAATCGTCGCGCCCCTGTGGGCGCTTGCGCGGGACACGGAGACGCGCATCAGATATTGAGAGGAAAAATCCCTCCTCCCCATTCCAGAACGGGATACTTCTCAAAATTTGTCATGCTGATTTGAGGTCACAAATCGTCTCTGTATTGCAAGAAGACAAATAAAAAAACCCCGCCGCGTTATGCAGGCAATTTGTAACGCTGTCTGGCCTACAGAGAATATCCCTACCTTGCTAGGCGCCTACACCAAAACATCCCTAATCCGGCTTTGTATCTGTCTGCAGTCCTCTATTGCAAGACAGAGCCGATTTGTGTACACAAATCCCGCATCACAGATTTCCATTTCGATATGGGGTGGGGGGATTTTTCCTTTTGATATCAGAACGCAAGAATTTGCACTGGAGCCGGCTTTTCTGCGAGCGCCCCGGCTTCGACCGTATGAATCGCTGTATTACCGGGCTGGGAGCATGGTTCGCTTCAGTGCAGCCGACAAGAGCGGGTCGTGGCACCACGATGAGATGCAGTCACGGTGGGGAAATACTATTAAAATGGCAGCAGATGGGCGCAATGCGATGGGGCAAGAGATGTACCGTCTGACCGCACTCCTGTACGTGCAATGGGGCAAGAGATGTGCTACCAGCAGGGACGAGAAGAGCCGCGGTGTAGCTCTTACTGCAGAAACTACGCTCAGCTACAGTGACGAGCTTTATTGGCGCCTTGCGTTGAACATAGCGGCCGTTCTCGGCATCCCGTGGAAAGACGGCCTTCCGGCGTTGTCCCCTTGTGAGGTGCCCAGCAGCTCGGTGGACCTCCACCTGCGACAGAGACCCGGCTTGCTCCAGCAGAGTAATAGCAGATCTGATGAAGAGTCCACCGGTGACAACGGCGAAGAAGAATCTTCTGCCGCGTTGACATCCGGTGTGGTTGCGTCCGAGCTCCCAGCCTTTGGCGAGCCTGCATTTTTGTCCGTGGAGCGTCAGTTGGAAGCGCTGGACTTCGATGCCTACACCAGTTTCTATGCAAAACGAAAAGACCACGAGCAGCACGATTTCTATCGCAAGACGAGTATGAAGACCCCAGTGTCTACAAATACTAATGTCGATGTCCGGGACAGAATAGCTCGTGGCTTCCAGCGCTTCTGGAAGGCGGACTGTATGCTGAGGCTCGCCTTCCTCATGGAAGAACTGACGGGGAAAGAGGTATTTGCCGCGCACTGTGATTGGGCCCCGCCGCAGCACGCCCCGCCGCACACGCATTGGGAAACGCACGAAAAGACGATTCGCCGAGACCACATGCGGCGACAGCAAATCGGCGGTGGTGTCACGTTTTTGTTTGATGCCGAGAAAAGCTTGCTCGATGCTGGAAAGCTGAAGCTCGTTGGCCTGGACTTTGTGGCGGCAAACCCCCGGGAAACAACTCTCGCTGCCTCTGCCATTTTGTTGCGGTTGGCGGGTTTTGTTAATGAAGGTCCACGAGCTGCAATAGGGCATAATCCTGCTGGAGGCTTTGGCGTCGCTGCTGCAACTGCATCTTCGCCCTGCATGGCAAGTTGTACCGCGACAAGAACTCCTGCATCGAGCGCAGCTAGTACTACGAGTTGTAGTGCGCTGATCGTGCCACCACCTGCGTTACCAGGACCTGCAGATTTTATTGCGCAGCTGGCGCCACCGCCGTCTGCCATACCGCGACCTGCAAATAATGATCCTGCTGCGGGGGCAGCATCTTCGTCCATAGCAGGTGGGCAATCACCAGCACCGATCCAATTGCCGCCCGCATCAACACTTGTGGTGTCCTCTGGGAACGGACAGCAGGACGGAGCGCTACAAACTTCAACATTTTTGACTAAAACTAGTACAAACAAGGGTCCGCACCAGCAATCGGGGCAGAAGCCCAGGGCGTCGAAACCACTACAGAAAGACCCCATGATTCTTGGCCCTCCGCACGTCGCGGCCCCTCGTCGTCTTCCGGGTATAATTGTAGCAGGCCATGCGACAGCGACTTCTACACCCGCGGAGAAAACATCAACCCCAGCAAGAAGTGGTCCCACGACTACCGTCCCGCCCCAGTCGCAAATTGTCTGCGAAGATTTCGACAGCGTTTGGGAGCTGATTCGAAGAAGCCCTGCGGCCTTGGAGTACGCCAGCGAAGGTTGCCGCGATAGCTTCTATCTGGTGCTGGAGGCCGTGCGGTTTGAGGAAGTTGATTTTCCTAAAGCTGCAACCGTGGTTCTTGCGGAAAATAAAGACAACCAGGAAATAAATTCATCTTCTTCCCGTGTTAAGATTTATATTCCGGGGCTGCTCCGGTTTGCTTCCTCCCGGTTACAGGACCACGGGGATATCGTTTTCCCCGCAGTGAGACGCGTGGCGCACAACTTGCGGTTTGCTTCTCCCCGACTACAGGACGACAGAGACCTGGCAGCGATCGCCGTCGAAGCTTCTGGCGTTTTATTGGAATTTGCTTCCGAGTATGCATTGCAAAAGTACCGTACGAGTACAAATTGCATTACAAATTCGCCCTGCATTACGAATTATGAATTTGTAATGGTGATTTACCTTGGCAAAGAGATTTGTAATGCATAAATGCAATTACTATGAGTACGATACTTTTGCAATCCATTCCGAGCGCCTGCGGGGGGACCGGGATCTCGTCCGCTTGGCGATTGACAGCGAAATAGTAGTGTTGAACAACGCAGTTGCAACAGCTGCTCGTCCTCCACCTGAGCGCACGACAGGAACTACTGGCGACTGCACCGTGATGAGTTTTGCAGCGTCAAATCTGCGGGCGGACCGCGAGCTGGGGTTCGCTGCGGTACGAAAATGTGGAAGGGCTTTGCAGTTTCTTGCCTCCGCATTACGCGATGATGATACACTTTGCCATGAAGCGATCGCACAAGACGCTACCGCCCTCGAGTTTTCGTCGGACCGCTTTCGCGAGAGTTATCAGGAATCACGGCGGCAACTGGATGTTCTCTTTTGGACCGTCACCGGGGTTGCGATCTTTTTGGGCACAGGTCTTGTTGTGCTGGCGGTGATTATGATCTTTTATTCTCATCTCGGGGCGGTTGTACTGTGGTGGCTGCAGTGTAGAAATAACGGAGATGTTGCGAAAGATGAAGAAGAGGCCGATCTGATGGCCAATGATGGAGACCTGCTAGTACTCGGTACTGCAACCGGCAGCGCGCCACGACTGCACGACGCGGTACCAAATGATGGCGCTTCGACAGGGACTTCTAGTGGTTCGGGACCACCTTCAGGCAAAATCAGATTCGACGTGAAGCAGCGCCGGTTTGTTCGGGTACAGGAAATAAGGGGTTGTTCTCACGGTGTTGTCCCGGCGCGGAAAAAAAGAGATCGCGCTGATCATGTTCTACACGGCCACCAGGAGGCTCCTGGACAACTTTCCAGCAAGGTAGAAATAACGGGACCGCAAATAATAAAAAGCCGTGCACAGTACGGTAGCACGCAAGCATCTCCGCAAGCAGCAGACAGGGCACCAGCCGCCGCTATGGACCGCTCCGCAGCTGTTCCAGCCGCCACTATGGACCGCTCCGCAGCTGTTCCAGACGAAACAAAAATCTTCACGCCGGGCGGCAACAAGGGCCCTCCTATTTGTTCTCAAAAGCCGCGGCCGGCGCCGCCGGCACAAGCCTTCCGGACGGTCGAGGGCGCGCCCGCACGGGTGCGTGTGTACGAAGCAGCAGAGTCGAACGAGGAAGGAAGAGTGAAGCAGGGGCGCTGCTTCGTTATCAACGTGGAGCAAAAGGACGCTGCCGTCGTGGGAGTACCAGCTGCAACAGCAGCAGCAGGCCAGAAGATGATGTTAATAAAGCAGCCACTGCAAGAGGCCCCCGCAGAGGGGCAGCCGCAGGAAAAACTCGCTATTGCCCCCGCCTCCCCCTATTGGCAAGCAGGAGCAGGAGCTGCTTGTGCTCCGGCGCAATTTTTCTACCGCGAGCAATATGGATTGCAAAAATGTCTGGGTCTGGAAGAGTGGAGCTTGTAATGCTGTCTGCGGATTCTAAAAATATCTGTGTTGCATGACGAGCAGCAAGAGAAGTCAGTTCTTGGTAGGCGGAGAGGGCATTTCTGATGCGTAATTAGCATCAAGAAGCTCTCAAGAAATCTGTGATGCTAGCACCAGCATCACAGACCTCACGGGTCATGCAAAATGTGCATGACAAGTCCCAACTCTTCCAGACCCAGACATTTTTGCAGTTGATAAACAACAAGAAATATGAACTGCAAAAGTATCGTACTCGTATAAATGCATTACAAATTCCCTCAGCATGAGAAATAAAATTTGTAATGCAGATTTGCCTTGGAAACAAGATTTGTAATGCAAGACTTGCATTTGTACGAGTACGATACTTTTGCACAGGATAAGAAAATATACCCAGGAAAACAGCCCTCACCGTCACGTTGCCCGAGGACTCTGAGTATCAAATGTAAAAATGTCTGGGTCTGGAAGAGTCCAAACTTGTGATGCGGTCTCTGGATTCGAAAAAGATTTGTATTGCATGACCAGCAAGAGGAGTAGATATCGTGCTCCGCGGAGATGGCATTTGTCATGCGGAATAGGCATGAGGAAGCGCTCTAAAAATCTGTGATGCTACGGCATGCATCACAGACATCATGGGTCATGGAAAATATGCATGAGAAATCTAGAAATCTTCCAGAACCAGACATTTTTACATTTGATACTGAGTCTGCGGTGAAAGACACACTACATCGGACAAGTAACATTTCTAGCAGAGAACAACCTTGCTCCGACCAGGTAGCGCTTAACGATCACTTCATTGCCAAGATGGGCCTTGACAAAGCTGGAGGCGTTTTTCCGCTGCTGCCTTGGCACGAGGGAGTGGATAGTACGCCGTGTGGTTCTGGATTTAATATGTTAGGCCCCCCATGGTGCGAGATGCACGCGGAAGGAGATGATCTTCGCGATGTCCACCTTTATGCGGACGCTACGTGTGGTTCTGGATTTAATAATATGTTATGCCTTGGACGGGCGTTAGCATACAGAAGGGTGAATCTGCAGTGAATTTGTATTGCGTGGCAATGCATGAGCTAATCACGTGCATGCGAAGAACACGTGGAAAACAAGCAGCCAGTGCGCCGTGTTGATGGGCTGCTTGGCTGGTGACGCTGCCCTCCTGTGGACGCTTGCCGCTTGTTGCCCAAAGAGGCGCACCTGGTGGACTGCGAAGCAACACAGGTGGCTTGTGTCGCCGGTATTACATCACAATACTTCATGTTGGTCCTCAGACTCGATGGTGGCGGATCGATAGGGAGGGCCATGCCTGGAAAGGGGGGCAGGGGCAGTAGCTCAATATCTCAAAATAGAGAAGTCGCGTCACGGGTCGTTGCTGTCTCGGCTTGAACATCTGGAGACGCGTTGCAATGGATGCTAGCATCGCCTGCTTTGCTCTGTAACTTCGTCCCAGCTGTGTTCCTGCCCCATCTTGGTCGGGTCCTCTAGTCTTCTTTGACGTGACCCCCAGGTCAGGAATTTTCTTGGTGAATTTTGGGGCTTTTTGTTTTGGCGAAACTTTTTTGAAGCACCACAACCCGGAGTTTCTCGTGCGTTAGCGAATTTTGAATAGGCACCTTGGGCCAAAATCCACCCACGGCTTTTTCAATATTCACCCCAAAATTCACCGGGCGCCCATTTTCGACCGTGATAAGCAAACTTTAGCGCAGAAAAGTGCTCAAAAACGTGCACAGGTAGGCCCTGGGAAGTGGGGCCGGGGGGTAAAGACAGGCGCCCTCTGCTGCCCTCAGCCCGTCTATATTCTGCCGAAAAGGCCTGGAGAGTTCACGCACCTGCCGGATAGACGCGTCAAAGCTCTCGGCCTGGTCCTTTCACCCTTGCTCTCGCGCCTTCATCTTGCCTAAACTGTATGTGCTTCGCGGCTCTTGTTTTTGGCGTCTTTGCCACGGCTGCTGCAGTGCCTGCTCTTTTGCAAGCACAGGAAGACGAAAAGACATGGCCAAAGAACGACGCCCAGGCCATGTCCAGCTGCCTGCCGCATGGCCGGCGAGTTCTGCGGTGTGCAGAACGCTCTTCCCAGAAGGGCGAGAGGGACAATGTCCCGGCAGTCTCCTCTGCTATTTGTCATGCAAAATTCACTAGAGATTCGCCACGTCGCATGCTAGCGCGTGTTAAAGCTCTAAATAATATGTTAGGCCCCCCATGCGTATCAAATGTAAAAATGTCTGGGTCTGGAAGGATCCGAACTTGTGATGCGCATTTTCGAACACAGAAAAATCTCTCATGCATAGGTAGCAAAAGCTGCTCAATTCTGTCACCAAAATGGGCGATTTCTCATGCAGGTTCGGCATTGCGGAGGCCTCTCGAAACCTGTGATGCTAGACCGCCCATGCCAGACCTTCTGACTCATGCAAAAACAGCATGAATCTTCCAGACCCAGACATTTTTCCATTTGATACTGCGAGATGAACGCGGAAGGAGATGATCTTCACGATGTTCTTATCCTGAGTAAAAACGTACCCACACCAGAGTCAGGATGGGGATTTTGCAACACAAACCTAGGAGTTTTAGGAGTCACGCATGACAAGTTTCAGTCCGTAAGGTAGTGCAAGTTAGCAAGGAAAGCCGCATCACAAATCGACCTTCTGATCCTGTTTACAGCATTACAAGTTCCCAAACACGATTGAAAATACCTGTCATGGGGTTGCGCATCACAAATGTTCCTGTCATGGCAAATCTGCATGACAACTCTGGGGTGGGGACGTTTTTACACAGGATAGTTCTCTATGCGGACGCTACGGCGCCAGCATTCAGCTGGCCTGGCGCTGAGGTCTCTAGTACTGCTGCTGTTGTTGGTCCACACGGGGGTGCAGCAGGTGGTCCTTATTTCGCAGCGCCAGAAGCTGAGGGCCACGACGGCCAAAAAACTACCGTAATCCGCCCTCCCCCAATAGCAGCGCACGACTACGCCTCGTCTGGATCATCCTCGTTTGCGCCCCCGCAAACCGCAAAGGAGTGGGAGAGCCTGCAAATCATGCGCGGCTACCAGGGGCCAGGGGTATGACTCGACAGATTTCGTGGTCGTCGTTGCCGTTTTTTTTTTAGCAAGTGGAAGACCATTAAGAATAAGAGAGTTACAGTGACCACGGCACAAGAAAAATTTATTTGAAATTCCACGACCTCGACTACCCAGGCAAAACAAGCTCATCGAAACGTAGTTTTCGAAATGTTTTTTTACCGCGAAATGTTTCCCAGAGTAAGTACCCCGACGACAACAAGTCTACACTTCCTATCTCTGAGGAGGTTCTTACCCCCAACTGTACAATCATTTTTTTCATCATCGTATAAATATTCATTTTCTACCGATACTGTGCCCTGCGAACAACGCGCATCGGCATCAGGACGCGAGTTCGAAAGCTTTGCCTCCAAAACCTGTTGTGCTTGGCGCCTGAAGAACGAGTCGCTCTGCGCAACAGGGTGAGAGTGAGCAAGCTACTCTGTGCAATATTTATAAATCGATTTTATTCGCCAACATAGTAGTACAAGTGCGATGTATAAAGTAGTAGTACAAGTAGCATTTTAGTGATAGTCATGAGCGAGAGAAGCCGCGTCATAAGGGCGAACGTGATGATGCGTTAGACCAGAGATCCTTGTCCCCTAACCGCTTCACGTGAGGGGAGGAACAGTAAGAAAGCCTACCAGCAAATGACGTTCCTTGATGTCACAGACACAGTGGAAGGCCGCGGTTAAATGCTAGAGGTTCACTTTGATTATTTTTCATACAGTGTAGTGTGCACTATAGTCGAGGAGACGGGAAAAACTGTAGCAGCAAATGTGTGATGAGATGTGCTTTATGCAAAATCTTTTTTTTTTACGCGACTGGCTTGAGGGCTTCGGCTTTGATGTTAAACAGCGAACAATAAGTGCATTTGGTGTATGAATTTACAGTAACCGATAGCATCGACTAAAAGTGGTCCTCGTGGAGCAAGTGAATTCGTCAATCGTGTGAACTCTATGGGATTCCGAATGAAAGTGATTTATGTTGAAAATAATAATATACGTATGTTAGATCGGGATCGGACAAGTGTTGGAGCCGTCCCATGGAACTCATCAGAAGTCGATCGGTGATTAGTGATGTTCACCTCAATCTTCAGATCGGTAAACAGATTAATGTGTGTGTTTTTTCCGCGTGAGGTTTCTTATCGTTTTTTCCGAGTCGCTCTGTCGTACGAACCGCATTACAAATGCGTCTTTCTTTGTCGCATTGTTTCTTACATCGCAACACAGGCATACATATTTCTTCGGGAAAAATGGAACAACATCGTGTGAGTCGTTAGATAGTCCCTGGAACCTGTACAAACAATTTTGTCTGAGCCTTTGGCTCAAGGTTGAGCAAAATACACAGGAAGAAGTTTTTTGTCGTTCCCCCGGGAAGAACGCAAGTGTTCAGGTGGCAATACGAAGGTTTGCATCTTCATCAATTAGCTATCAGCTGTCCGTTTGCAGCCTTGTAACAGACAGAGTGATTTGATCTGGTAACCAAATGTCTGCCTCAGTGCACGCGGAAGGAGATGATCTTCACGATGTCCTCTATGCGGACGCTACGGCGCCAGCATTCAGCTGGCCTGGCGCTGACGTCTCTAGTACTGCTGTTGTTGTTGATCCACACGGTGCAGTAGGTGGTCCTTATTTCGCTGCGCCGGAACAAGCAGGGGGTGGGGGCCACGGCGGCCAAAAAACTACCGTACAAAACCTATCAAGAGGAAAAATTCCCCCTCCCCATATCGAAACGAAGTTTCTGATGCTGGATTTCCGTACACAAATCAGATTTGTCTTGCAGTAGAGGACTGCGGGCATATGTCAAGCCTCGGCCGACGGGTTTTGACGTAGGCGCCTAGCATGACAAACGTGTATGCTCTAAGCCCAACAGCATCACAAACCGCCTGCAAAATCGAGGGGGGTCTCTGGACTTGCCTTCTTGCAAGACAGACAAGATTTGAGGTCACAAATGTGCATCACAAATTTTCAGACGGATGCGTTTTCAATATGGGGAGGGGGGATTTTTCTTTACGATAAAACCTCGAAAACCGCCCTCCCCCAGTGGCAACGCACGACTACGCCTCGTCTGGATCCTTGTTCGCGCCCCCGCAAACCGCAAAGGAGTGGGAGAGCCTGCAAATCATGCGTGGCTACCAGGGGCCTCCAGGGGTATGATTCGATACATTTGTCATACAAAGAAAGTAGTTAGTACAGTCGTGGCGAGAGAACAAGAAAAATCTATTGTTCATAGATAATTTTCGACCCCGGCGACCATACAGCCAAAAGCCCATCGGCGCGTTTTCGAAATCTTTCGTGCCACGAAATTTTTTTACCCGTAGTACTTACCCAGACGAAAACAACTCGTGTGTACAAATTTCACCTATACAACCCCGACGACAACAAGTGTACTACGGCTTCCTATCTCGGAGGTTCTTACCCCCAACTGTAAAATCAGTTTTTTCAACATCGTATTGCACGTTCTACCGATGCTGTGCCCTGTGAACATAAACAGAGGACAATAAGTGAATTTGGTGTATAAAGTTACAGTAACTGATCGCATCGACTAAAAGTGGTCCTCGTGCAGCAAACAAGGCTTTTCAAAACCGACACCTCCAACGAACTTTGTTCTCTGTGAAGTAGTGACCTGAAGAGCTGCGCAGCTACAGACTGCCTCGTAGCGCGGCCGTGTTCTTTTCTGTCTGCTTGTATAATATAGGCGGGCGAAATTGAAGATGCAAAAAAAAACATTCTTCAACGCCGAAAAAAAACAGCGAGAAATGTTCTACAGGCGAAACGATCTTGTCAATGCTCATGATCTACTTCAAGGGACCCCTACTTCGTTCTCCACCGCTCGTCTTCTCGGGGCCGCCCCTGGGTAAGAACCAGTGGCAGGAGGATGAAAAAAATGTGTGCGTAGGGTCGGGCGTCGATCGGTGTTTGATTTTATTCACTTGATCTGCTTCAAAAGGATATCGAACTAAAAAATCCTCGAGTTCTTGAACAGGTCGCTGCCACGGTCTGGACGATGCTTTGACAAAAATGAATAGGTCCTTGCTCCTGCCGGCGTGCTGCTTGAAATTATGTTCCGGAAAATCTAAATTCAAATGAAAAAAATCGGTTGGCTCCAGTACAACAAATGCTGCCGATCTTCGAGGCAGGTAATGTGTCCTGCAGCCTGCCTCTACTGCAAGAAAAAATGCGTTGTAAGTACATACTTTCTTACCTGAAGATCGTCCAGTAAGTATAATATTCTCGGTGTAGTTTCTGTATCGGTTCTTGATCAGAAGGTCGAAATCAGAATTATTGATGTCTACATTCGGAAAACCAACGCACAAAAACTCGGAGGTGTGCACAACCTGTCGGGACCTCGACCAGAACGAATTGTGGAGAAATGACAAATAAAAATAAACAGGATGGAGGTACAAGAGCAGGGGTGAGATGAAATGTAGCGATAAACTAATAAGACCCTAAACACTAGTCTAGCGACGCAACACCATTAGCCTGTTTTGCCTGATTTGTTGACGTGCTTCTTCTTCTCCGGAAACTTATTCGTACGTCGATTTTTGAAACTGTAATTGCGGACGAGTGTGATCCTGTCATTTCTCGCAAGAGGGAAACTCTTCCCATCGCTGTTGACGCCGTGTAAACAAGACATCAACGACGTCGTGTGCTATAATTGATCGCTGTATGATATTTTGGGCACTTATCCCTTCACAACTACTCACGTATTTTTTACCTCTTCTACTAGTCAAGCGAGATACAGATATTTTTTTATAGTAGGTTGCAAATCAGTTTTTTGGTGCTATAGAGACAAGTACTACCAGAAGTAGTAGCTTTCGTTCCTGTAAAGAATCTTCAGGGCGGCGGTCTCCCACACGAGATCATGAGACAGTTCCAGGAAAGTAGATTTTTTTTTCACCTTTATTTGCTCATTGTTTAGTTTGAGTCAGTTTTAGCAATTACCGCTGCACGTAGAAGTACAACTACAACCCAGTCGTAGGATTATATTGATGCAGGTTTAGTATCGTCAATCTAATGGCCGCGGCTTGAGGTAGTAGTTCTACGTCCCGCCCCAGTAGAGGACCTCCTCGTCCCAGCACCAGTTATCCTGTGCAAAAGTATCGTCTTCGTATTGCAGTCATGCATTGCAAGTCTTGTTCTTAAGCTAAATGCGCATTACAAATTTTATTTCTCATGCAGAGGAAATTGTTTGTGATGCATTTATACGAGTACGATACTTTTGCAGTGCATACCAGTAGGTTCATCTTGATCAGTCTGCGAAAAATGATCCGGTCCTCGTCGGGCAACAGATGGCTGCCGAAAGGCACGTCGGGGTTGTACTGGTGGCACCTGCACTGTATCCTGTTTCCCATCCTGTTCGACCTAGAAGCTGGTGCTGGTTGGTGCACAGCTAGTAAAAAATCGGTGAGCGTCGTTGAGGCCGCAGCTTCTATGGAGCAGGACAGACACTTCTCGAGCGAAGAGAAAGTATCGAGCTTGGCGCCCGCAATTGAACGTTCCTCGGAGCAGGGAAACGTCGCGTCGTCAATGGGATACGATCCTACGGACATTTGGGATCATCATCCTGTGAAGACGTCGAGCACGAGAGATACATGCGAAATTCGGTTTGAGCTGAAGGACTGGAAGGTGAAGCAGCAACTTCAATGGACTGCGGAGAGAGCGAACACATCACGAGGACGAGCCTCACTCGTCGACCCGGGACCACAAGCCACCGCCGAAGCCGAAGCCCGGTCCGCGACGTGGCCAGGACCACAGATGGAGACGAGCACCCAACACTGGCTCTTGTCTGCGCTCGAAAAGAGGCGCGAGCGGTTTCACTTCTTGTCAGGGCGGCACTGGCTCCATGTTAACCCTGGAGTGTGGATAGAGAACAGCCGACATCTTTCACGGGAAACCAGTGTCTTCGACGGTCCCCCGAGACAGAGCGTTGTAATAAAAGTGGAGGATGATGAAGATGCCACTACAGTGTCAGTGAAATTCCAAAACCCAGCACTCATACGAGCAAGTGCAGCTGCCGCTTCTTTTTTAAACTCAACGCTGGCAGATTGGCGTTCCCTTCTTTTCCAGGATTTCGACGCAGGCCAGGCAGGATACATCTTTCTGGACAGAAGAAGAGCCGGGCTGGCATCGCCGACGATCACCTCACTGAAATCTTTGTGTCTTGTTTCTTCCAGAACCGCGCCTCGGTTCCTTCTGGGACGTACTGAAGCCGTTGTTCACCTTTTGGTTCAAAGAATCATCTCACCACTCTGGGAACTTGCCGATCTCCTGCTCCCGACAAGCTCAATACATGAGCTAATTTCGCAGCGCGGATGGGCAAACACGCAGCTCCGCCTGACCACACTGCTCGAAGGAAAACAAATCGACCCTACGCAAGAAAAGGAAACAAATAGTCGGAAAGTAGAAGTCCAGGCTTCGCAGCTAATCGAAAGTGGCCGGGGGCGTCGGGGGGTGATCGATGCAGGCGGGCATGCGCATGGCGCGACGTTCCCTCGAAGCCTCGGCACTATCATCGCAAGGCTTCTCGAAATAGACTGGAACCAGGGAGATGAGTCGAACACGTCCGGAGCCGCGATTGGTGGTGCACGAGTCCGCCCCTTTGGGGACCCGGCATTTCTCCCGCTGGGAAAGCAGTTGTCGGCCTTGGATTTTGTTCGGCTGCACTTTTCTACAACAGAAGGGCGCTTTCTGAAATCGGCACTACCGTTTGGCACTTCTCTCGTCGATGGGTTCTCTTTCAGCGGGGCGGACTGCGATTTGAAAACTACCGGTTTTCTGGAGGATAAAATTCCAATAAGATTTGGGCGAAGTAAACAGCAATACGTATTTGCAGTAACCTGCGATAAGATCCTCCGCGCAAAAGAAGTAGAGCACGACGGCGAGGAAAGCGGCTTGCGGACTCTCGGTGGTACTGCGCCAAGCGATATCCTGTGCAAAAGTATCGTACTCGTAGTAATTGCATTTGCGCATTACAAATCTCTTTCTCAAGGTAAATCAGCATTACAAATTCAATTTGTAATGCTGGGGGAATTTGTAATGCAATTTATACTAGTACGATACTTTTGCAATGCATAAGCGAGGATAGTTCTGCTGGAGTATTGTGAGGAAAAATCCCCCCTCCCCACATCGAGACGAAGTTTCTGATGCTGGATTTCCGTACACAAATGCGCACTGTCTTGCGGTAAGGCATCTTCGCAGCCAGGTCCTCAGTCTAGGTAGGGGCGTTTATTGGGTCTAGTTGTTTAGCATTACGAACGGCTGTCCCCGAGGCCCAACAGCATGCGAAACCGCTTCCATAATGGCGCGGAAGCCTCTGCACTTGTGTTCTTGCAAGACAGACGTGATTTGTAGTCTCAAATCAGCAACACAAATTTCCGGTAAAGTACCGCTTCGATATTATGCATGGGGAGGGGGGATTTTTCCTCTTAATATGGAGTGAGCCGCGTTGTGTTTTTGTTTGACGCGTGGGTCTATCAACTGCAAATATGTCTGGGTCTTGAAACTTGTAATGCTGCGTTGGGAATACTAGTGAGTGCTCTGTTAGGCACAGCCAAGCAGGAGAAATATCTGCGCTTCTTTGTGTTGCGTTTTTCGCATGACAAACTGCGTCTTACATGACAGGCAAAAGGGTCTCTTCTTGGACACGCGTCACAAACTTTTTGGTCATGCCGGACAAGCATGACAAATCTCGCAATCTTCCAGACCCAGACACTTTTGCATTTGATAATAGCCCCCTGCTCAGAAAGGGCAGGCTGCAGCTCGTCGGCCTTGACATTTACAATCACAAGGACGCGGCTGCGGCACGGTTGCTGGCCGCGGCAAGTGATCAGCCATGCATCCATCCGACCAACAAAGGAAAGGTCGGTGCCGGCAGCCCCACGGAGTATCCTGTGCAAAAGTATCGTACTCGTATAAATGCAAGTCTTGCATTACAAATCTTGTTCCCAAGGCAAATCTGCATTACAAATTTTATTTCTCATGCTGAGGAAATTTGTATATGCATTTATACGAGTACGATACTTTTGCAGTTCATACGGAGAGGATTCGGTTGAAGTCTTTCGTGTGGGACGCGGCGTGGCCTAGTACAACTTCCAACTTGATAACAGCATATCAAAAGGAAAAATCCCTCCTCCCCAACATATCGAAAACAGAATTTGTGATGCTGTATTTTTTTGAGTACACAAATCGACTTGTATCGCTGGAAGGCCAAGAGCCGCAGTTGTGGCCACCTCGTTTGCAGATGACAATTTGTCATGCTGTTTTTCCCACTTCCAGCTGCCTCCTGTCATGCTGAAGTAGGTGCAAGGCCTTCCCACGCCACCCAGATGAACTACAGTCCCCCGCATCTTTTCCCTCCTAGCATGACAAAGCTGATTTGTGACCACCAACCTGCATCACAGACTTCCGTTTTGATAAGGGGAGGTTTTTCGTCTTGATACAGCAGAAGAGCAAGCTAGCAGTCCGGCTCTTCCACCACGACCCCTACTAGCGAGCCCGCCAGCTGCCCCGGCCTCCTGTCTGGAAAATAAAGCGTCGACAGTGGCAGCTTTTGGTGCACCTCCTCCACACGGACCACCATGTGGTCTAACTGCGGTGGGACAACAAGCCGCGGAGAGGGACATCAAGACGGGCATGACCACGCGCTCCAGTGACATTTTTACCGGCAATATGGAGAGAAAAAAGTTTGTCACAGTCACTAAGTTGCAGGGTTGGCATTACAAATTTTTTTTGCATCACAACTTCTCCTTGCATTGCACAAACACTAGAAAAATCCCTTATGAAGTGTGGCTGTGATGCATTTTTACGCATGACGGACAATTTTGTCTTGCAAAAGTGCCCATGAGTGATCGTGACGAACTTTTTTCTTTTGATAGGCAATGAGGCTGCTTCATCGGCCGTGGGAGGTTGTCCACGCAGTCGTCGGGGAGAAGAAGCGCAGGGCGCCGCCCACCACAGCAAGGAAATAAATAGCCGGGCGGACCAAGAAGCAGCTGCTGCAGCCACGACTAGTACCGCAGCCGCCTGCCCCCGTCCTGTCAACCTCCCTGCTTCTTCCCCTGCTGTTGCCGCCGGTGACTCGGCTGCGACGCCAGCTCGCAGATCCGGTAGTACAGCTAGCAGCGCCGCCTACAACGGGGGGGGTTCTGGTTCTCAGGTTGCATGTGCTGGCCTGCGGCCCCCAGTTCCCGGTGGCGAAAATGGAGGAGGTGGCTTTGTCCCGCCCTGCGTCCCCCACGTTTTGTCCGTGCAGCAGCGGCGGTGGCTGACTGGGCACTTGAATGTCGCAGCAGCAGGGGGGCTCCAATATGGCCTGGAACCTGATGGCCCAGTGCAGCAGCAGCAACAGCCCCCACGCGAACCACATGGCCCGGGACCTGATGGCCCAGTGCAGCAGCAGCATATGACAGTGCACAACTCCCCCTCCCCCTCATTTGTATAGCATGAATGGCTATACAAGCATCAGCAAGAATGCCGGTTTTGCATGACAGTTTTGCACTGGAGTGTAATGCTATTTGGGCTACCGGAACTTGTCATGCAAAAAGTGCCAAGAGGCAACGGGTGGACTAGGTATTTTGCATGACAAATGAGGGGGAGGGGGGGTTGTGCACTGTCATACAGCAGCCGCAGCCCCCACAAGGTGGGCAAATGGATGAGATTGCTCAGCGCCCAAATGGAGTTGGCCATGGACCCCCTCGTCTTCTACCAAATGTAAAAATGTCTGGGTCTGAAAACTTGTGATGCTGGGTGGCGTCTCATGATGAGGCTACAGATGCTGGCTCAGCATGACAAGTTTCTGAGCTCCTAGCTGTTGCCTATTCTGCATGACAAACTGCGAATCTGCATCACAGAAAAACGGGGGTCTTGGGTAACGTGCATGACAGATTTAAGAGTCATGCCAGGCAAGCATGACAAACATGAATTCTTCCAGACCCAGACATTTTTATCTTCTACCTGCAAACAAAACCCTTCCAGGGCCAGGGGCTCTCGCGTCTGTCGGCCGGCCCGCCAACGGGACGCCCATCACGACCCACGGGACGCCCATTTCTGGAGTGGTTCTTCGCGACCCTCCGGGAGCGGGCGGCCCTGCTTCTGTTGCAACGGTTTCGGCTCCACCTAGCAGACCCGCCCGGCCGCAGGTTTGTGAAGAATTTGACACCGTCTGGGACCTCATCCGGAGAAGTCCCGCGGCCCTGGAACACGCCAGCGAGGCTTGTATGGCTTGCTCAGATGTTACAGTCTCAAACGTTCTTCCATACAATAGAGTCGGTATTTTGTATTGCATGATGAGCATGACAGACTCGCAGAGCGTTTCATTTTCTGCAATACAATTTTTCCTGTGCGGTTTGGGGTTCGAAAACTTGTCATGCGCATCAATGCTGGGGGACTAGTTGTAGGTTAAATCATCTGCGCTTGGTGCATCACAGATTTTCAGATTCTATCGTGGCGCTTGAGATTTTTGCAACACCTGAGCAGGTTATAGCTTGTCGCGACAGCTTCTACCTGGTGCTGGAAGCCGTGCGGTTTGAGGAAGTTCCGATGTTGTCTGGAGGCACGGAGCAACATGATGATCCCAGCGACCAGAAACCTCCCCTCGTTTTCGGGCTTCTTCGGTTTGCTTCAACCCGGTTGCAGGACCACGGAGAGATCGTGTTTCCCGCGGTAAAGCGCGTGGCGCACAATCTCAAGTTCGCCTCGGCGCGGCTGCGGGACGACAAAAATCTGGTCGTGATCGCCGTCACAGGAGGTGTTGGCGCAATGCTGGAGTTCGCCTCTGCCCGCCTACGGGGTATCCTGAGTAAAAACGTACCCACACCAGAGTCAGGATGAGGATTTTGCAACACAAACCTAGGAGTTTTGTGAGTCACGCATGACAAGCTGCACTTTGCAGTGTAGTGCAGGTTAGCAAGTGCAGCCGCATCACAGATTCATCTGCTCATCCTGTTCACAGCATCACAAATTCCAAAACACGATTGGAAATGGCTCTCATGGGGATGCGCATTACAAGTCTTCCTGTCTTTGCAAATCTGCATTACAACTCTGGTGTGGGTACGTTTTTACTCAGGATACGGGGAGATCGCGACGTAGTTCGCTTGGCGATCGACAACGAAGTAGATACAACAAACACCGCTCCTCCCCTATCAAATGCAAGAGTGTCTGGGTCTGGAAGAATGCAACTTGTGATGCCGCGTTTGGATGTCTAAAAAATTTGTGTTGCATGAGCGGGAAAAGGATTGCAATTTTTGCTACGCGGAGAGGGCATTTGTCATGCGGAATAGGCATCGAGAATCCCTCAAAAAACCTGTGATGCTAGGGCATGCATGACAGACATCATGGGTCATGCAAACCGTGCATGACAAGTCTCAGAATTTTCCAGACCCAGACACTTTTACACTTGATATCCCCAAGAGGGAGGGATAGCAGACACAAGTAGCGACTGCGTCGCGCTGAAGTTTGCTTCGTCAGATTATGCAAGAAAAAAGCTGTGTAAGTGTAAATCTGTGATGCAGAAAATGCAAAACAGTTTACACTTGTCATGCTCAACATGCGTGATCGGCTTGCTTCCTATGTGTTTTCCCTTCCTATCTGCGCATAACAAGTTTTTCCTCTCATGGCAGACAAACTTGTAATGCTGTTTTCCCAAAAGACCATACACTAACACAGTTTTTTTCTTGGATACAGATTTGCAGGCGGACCGGGAGCTGGGCCTGGTTGCGGTGAAGCGGTGCGGCCGGGCGCTACGGTTTCTGGATTTCGTATCCTGTGCAAAAGTATCGTACTCGTATAAATGCATTACTAATTTCCTCAGCATGAGAAAGAAAATTTGTAATGCGGATTTGCCTCAAGAAAAATATTTGCAATGCAAGACTTGCATTTATACGAACACGATACTTTTGCACAGGATATTTCGCGTTGCGTGACGACGACGAGGTGTGCCGAGAGGCGATTGCACAAGACCGCACTGTATCAAATGCAAAAGTGTAGTCTGGGTCTGGAAAAGTGTAGACTTGTCTTGCAGATTTTCCATGACCCATAAGGTCTGGAATGCGGGACTTAGCATGACAGACTCTGCGAGGTCTTTTCCATGCCTATCCTGCATGAGAAACTCCTTTCCAACTTGGTCAAAAGTGTACCGCTTTTGGCACTCATGCAAAGCAGACTTTTGCATACTTCAGATTTACCATGACAAGTTGCAATCTTCCAGACCCAGACATTTTTGCAGTGCATACACTGCCCTTGATTTCACGTCCGAGCGTTTTCGCGACAGCCATAACCAGGCAGAGCAGAGGGCCACGACCCTTGCCTGGGTGGTTACCGGGGTCGCGATAGGTCTCGCTACTCTGGCGCTCCTGGTCGCTGTGTTTATTCTGGTGCGGTGGTGCGCGACCAGAAGCGCTGCTGCTGAGCGCTCGCAGGAGAAAGGAGTCGTGGCTGCTGGCCCAGGAAAGGTAAGATTCGATATGCGGCAGCGTCGGTTTGTCCGGACAAAAGTACTAAAACCTAATGAAGTTTGTAGCCCCGCCGCGGCGCCTCCGTCGGAGCCGGTGGTAGCGCGCAAAGGCCGCAGAGACCACAGGAATCCCGACCAAGCTGTAGTACTTCTACCGAGCAAGGACAACGACCAAGCTGGAGGAGAACAACGACAAAGGCAGCCAAGTAGCGCACCAACAACATCGCAGCAGCCCCCGGCGGCCAATGACAAAGGAGGAGGACGCGCGGGAGGTAATGCGAGCTCCGCTGCAGTTATGCAATGTAAATTAAAATTTCCCGTACATGTACAAAATGCATGACAAATTTTCGCTAACTTGCAGTGGTCAACTTGTCATGCTAGACTAGGATTGAAGGCAAGTTTTGTCATGCAGAGACTGCATTTGTACTTGTGCGGGAAATTTCCTGTGGATAGCAGTAGATGCAGAAGATGAAGAAGCACCTGCGGGAAAAATCAAAGAGCCTTTCGTGTTCGATCATGCGCCGCAGGTACAACGAACACTACCTAATATTTGAAGATCATAGAACATTTTTTGCTTCAATACTACTTCCAAACAAGACTTCTATTGCCGCGACGGTGGCCTTGGAAGATGCCGAAAAGGTGAGAACTACCTCAACGAGCTGAAGAACGAGTTGGCCTATGGTTTTCATCTCCCAGATTCTTGTTGCTCGATCTTATGAGGGGCCAACAGTTCTACTTTTGATCCATGTGTGCTGTTGTTCACCGTGGAAAGGCGTCAGGATGCAGGAGCCACAATAAAATTTATTTGAAACAAGTAAAACTCCACTCGTCCTCCCAACATTCCCAATATACAACAAAACAGACCTCCGCGGGGAGAACAAATAACTCGGATGTAGTTGAAAGCAGCCCGGATGATGTTGTAGTCCTTGAAGGTGGCAAGAATGCAAGCATTATGCCTTGGACGGTCGTTAGCGTACAGAAGGGTGAATTTGTATTGCATGACTTGCATTTAAGTACTTAAAAGAGAAGTGCGCTAGGTATTAGACACACGAGCCCAAGCATCCCGCATAGCGTGAAGGGCTGCTCGTCGCGTGGTGGCGCTTGCAGGACCGAAAGAAGTGGTCTTGCGGGGGCTCGCTCGCCGGGCTGTGTAGTGCGTATGTACCCAAAGAAGGTGGGTCGGGTGGCTCTTACTCTTCTGCGCGTCTGCCTGAGAAGTTCCTCTCCGGAATTGTCGAAAGGGAGGGCGACGCCTGAACACACGGGCACTAGTTCAACATGTATGCCCTCGCGAGTTGTGGTTGGCTCGGCTTCGACTTGGATATCTGGGAGCAGCCTCAAGTGGAAGGGGAGGCACGATTCGGCCGCGGACGGTAGCTTGCTTCGCCTGCTGTGCTCTGCTCCCAACTCCCCAGGCGTGTTTTTGCCTCCGGAGCGAGGCCTTTTCGACGTGACCCCAAGGTCAGGATTTCTCTTGGTGAATTTTGGGGCTTTTTGTTTTGGCGACACTTTTTTGAAGCCCCAAAACCCGAAGTTTCTCGTGCGTTAGCGAATTTTGAATAGGCACCTCGGGCCAAAATTCACCCACGGTTTTTTCAAAATTCACCCCAAAATTCACCAGGCCCCCCTTTTCGACCGTGATAAGCAAACTTTAGCGCAGAAAAGTGCGCAAAGAAGTGCACAGGTAGGCTCTGGGAAGTGGGGCCGAGGAGAAAAGACAGGCGCCCGCTGTTGCCCTCAGCGCCTCTATATTCTGCCGAAAAGGCCTGGAGAGTTCACGCGCCTGCCGGATAGACGCATCAAAGCTCTCGGCCGGGTCCTTTCACCTTTGCTTCCGCGCCTTCCTCTTGCCTAAACTGTACTTATGTGCTTCGCGGCTCTTGTTTTTGGCGTCTTTGCCGCGGCTGCTGCAGTGCTTGCTCTTTTGCAAGCACAGGAAGACGAAAAGATATGGCCAAAGAACGACGCCCAGGCCATGTCCAGCTGCCCGCCGCATAAGCCTGGACAACTTCTACAGTGTGCAGAACCGACTTCCCAGAAGGGCAAAAGGGACAATGTCCCGGCAGTCTCCTCTGCTATTTGTCATGCAAAATTCACTACAAACTCACCACTTCTCATGCTGACGGGTGTTAAAGCTCTAGTGAAAGCAGCCCGGATGATGTTGTAGTCCTTGAAGGTGGCAAGAATGCAAGCGTCGCGCCCGGCGTAATTGTTGAAAATGCCCAGGAGGTCGTGGGCGACCGCCTACTGGATGAAACGGACGTGGTCGGCTGCGTGGACGAGCGGCCAGGAGAGCAGCAAGAAGTGGCGCAGAAGGTGAAACTCAGGCCGGCGCCCGACACTTTCCCTCCAACGTCCGCGGCCAGACTCTTTCCAGCAACGGGCGCTAGAAAACAGCACTACAAGCCTCCTTGCAGCAAGGCCGGACCCCCTCCGCCCGTGCAAAACTTCCGCACGGTGAAGGGCCGGCCCGCCCGGGTTCGCGTGTACGAAGCGCGTGACGAGGACGAGTCGGACGACGACGACGGGGAGGGAAATAACAAGAAAACACGACGTATCCGGTGTAAAAACGTCCCCATAGTCAAGATGGGAAATCTGCTAGACAAATCAAAGAGCTTTCGCTGTTTCGCATGACAAGTTTCTTGCCCTCATACTAGTGTGATCCTGTTTAGATTAGTTTATCAGCATCACAGATCCAGCGCATAGCGTGCTGATTGCAGCATCACAAACTCCAAAACACGACTAGAAAATTATGCTTCTCATGGGGCTCCGCTCGAGAAACTTTTTTGGCATGCAGATGTGCATGACAACTCTGGAGCGGGGGCGTTTTTACTCAGCATACGACGACCAGCGCAGGGCCGTTGCTTCGTTATCAAAATGGAGCAAAGGGACCACCCCGTGGTGCGGAAGAAGGTGAAACGGAAAGAGCAGAAGGCAAAACATGCTGCCGGAGGTACCCCAGATCTTCAAGGACGAGTGCAGCAGCTGCACCTCCAAAGGCAACACGAAATCGTTGGCACGGCTGCCCCCATAATATCCACCGTGAAATATTAAATTACGTCCCCACGATCCCAGAGTGAAGATGGGCATTCTGCTGCCGGGCATGACAATTTTGGGTCTTATTAAGTCGTGAAGTAGATGCTGGACTACGAGTTCTACCGAAGTCACATCACAAATCTAAATGACACGTTTCATCCTGATTAGAGCATGACAAAGTTGTTCTCCCAGATAGCATTTTAAAACTCCCGTGGTCATGGGGCTCCTGCTGCGCATGACATGAAACTGCGTCTGAAGTTTTTTGCAGATTTGCGTTTTTGACAAACCTGGGGTTCTTGGGACGTATTTGCATAGGATAGCACCACGCCGAGCCACTTCAAGGACACGCAGCGCAAAACTGCCAGTACTACCAGCAGAAAAACAACGCCGGTGGACAAGCCCTGATATCATCGCAGCAGCATCCGCTACATTCCCTCCAGGAGCCGGTTTTCGCTAGCGGCGGCTCCCGAGGTGGAACAGCAGCTGTGCCCACGACGCGGCTTGGGAAACAGAACGGCTATGAAGCAGCTGCGCTGGGGCTGCACCGATACGACATAAGGTACGAGCAGGGGCAACTTCGCTGTGTGCAAGGACGAGGTGCCCCGCGGCCCACGGTATGGATTGCAAAGATGTCTGGGTCTGGAATGAAGCTGGAACTTGTACCATGTGCGTGTCTTGCATAATTCCTGTGTAAAATCTGTGTTATTTCCTGAGCAGCATATGAGCAGCTTCCTTTGTCATGCAAGAACGCAATTAAACGCAATTTGTAATGCGTGCTAGGCACGACCATCAGAAGGCGTCTCAAAAACTTGTCATGCTTGGCTGCCTCCAATGCTGCAAGCGCTTCAAAAATCATCCGCAATTCAGCACCACAGGTTCTTTCCAGACGACCCACACATATAATTTGCAATGGCATATTACACAGGGCAGCAGGCATTGTATGGATGTGTCAGGATTGAAATCGACAAAGTTGAAATAACTTGTAATGCATAAAATGCATGAAAGTTGTGACCCAGTTTCTAAGTGGCGCATGACAAATTTAGGCAGAGCCGGAATCCAGTTTGTCATGCTGTTTGGGTAAGAAAGACGCCTTTTGTCATGCTACTTTAGCAGCTCAGTTTCTATCCGTCAACAGGCTTGCAATCTGCCTCACTTGCCTACTCTGCAAGACAGGCACTTTGAGGGCTGCACTTTATGCATGACAAACTATTTCAACTTTGACGATTTCAAACCTGACGCTTCCATACATTGTCTGTCGTGCTCGAGGAGGATTCAAACTCCGCCGAAAGTAAAGTATCATTTGTAAAAACGTCCCCACCCCAGAGTCAAGATGGGGACTTTGCAACACAAACCTTGAAGTTTTGGGAACCACGCATGACAAACTGCAGGCTGTAGTGTAGTGCAGGTTAGCAAGGACAGTCGCATGACAAACCCATCTCCTAATCCTGTTTACAGTATTACAAATGCCAAAACGCGATTGGAAATGCCTCTCATGCAGATGCGCATTACAAATGTTCCTGTCATTGCAAATCTGCATGACAACTCTGGGGTGGGGACGTTTTTGCTCATGATATAAAGCTAACGCGACCCTATGTCCCGAGCAGGTGGCGCTTGACAGGGAGTTCGAGAACTTGTGTCGGGCCCAGGCGCTGCCCTGGCAACAAGGAGGGCTGGAATTCGAATTGGACCACAAGCAAGAAGAAGATGTGTATGCAAATGCCACGGCACCGGAACTGAGTGGCGGCTCTAGTGGAGGTGTATTGCTGTTTGGTGAAGAATATCCTGTGCAAAAGTATCGTACTCGTAGTACTTGCAGTCATGCATTACAAATCTTTTTCTTAAGGTAAATCCGCAGTGTAAATGCGGATTTACCTTAAGCTGAGGAAATTTGTAATGCATTTATACGAGTAGGAGTACGAATACGATACTTTTGCAATTCATAAAGAATTTGAAGATGGTCTTCAAGAACGACCCCCCGAAGGTCATTCTTCTTCAGCGTTGTTTCCAGGGCCGCCGCACCCCAGTCTATGCAGCGAGTTCCAGCGAAAGAAGGATTCAGGGGACAAGAGCTGCATGGAGAATAAAGATTGTTCCGCGCCACCGGAGCAGCATTGTATTCGCCAAGATCATCATGCTAATTTCGATGGTCTTGACGCAAAGATGAACATACAAACCGCGTCTGGAATAAATGGCCGTTCGGGGGTGACGAATTTTAAAGCCAATCCTGTCGTTCCTCAAGTTGATGTACACGATGGCATGAAGATCATCAGCCCTAGTGCGCCGCCGGAAGGGAAGATGAACAAAGACCTCCTGCTCCTCGGGAGCAGCGGGAAGATATTCACCCGCCCCCCGCCTCACTCCCCGCCGCCCCCCCTGGCAGCACACGATTACTCCACGTCCTCTTTTGCGCCGCCGGAAACTGTTGAGGAGTGGGAAAAGTTACAGATGCTTCGCGGGTACCAAGAGTATTGAAAAAAGCCGGAACTTTAATGAGTTTGAAGGCTCTTGCTTGGTACCGCTACCCTCCCGCTGCGTGCGGGACTAGCGACGAGTACAGTCTTCAAGAATGAATAGTACACGATTTTTTTGATTTAAGTATATATTTTCGTCAGCATGAGGACCTGTTTGCGGTTTTTTATGTTGACACGAAGATAAGAAGCAACTCATCTCCACGTGACTGGCATAAAAAAGTGATCGACCGCTGCGACTTGCTACCTCATGATGTCTTGAGTCCGAGCGAGGGCCAAGAAGTTGCTTTAGTCGCAGTTTGTCTACATCATTTTCAAGACGTTGTTACGTAAGAGAAGAAGAGCGCTAGCACTTGTATAATGCACATGATCCGAGAAAGAAGAAGCGAGTGAATCCCCCAAAATAAGCATTACACATAAGAGTATGTCAGCGAAAGAAGTTTGCTTTCTACCGATATTTTCTAGGCGGATGACAAATCATTATTTTTATTCCATTATAGTACATACAAGCTTTTCCTCTTTATGGGCCACCCAGTGCACCCCAGAAGTACAAATCATTACCCATTCGGCCACCTGAGTTGAGGTATCGGCTTCAGTACATCAGCGTAAGCAGCTGATAGGCCAGCCATCTTGCCGCACGAAGTAGGATCTATCGAATTCATGCGCTTTTTGTAGATTTGCTGCCTGTACGGCATAAGTAATAATAGCAAGAGAAGTTTTCCGCAGCTTCATCTTGCAGGCTTTTCGTTTTCATTCGTATTTAGCATTACCAACTGCCTCCATCGAGCACGGCAAAAAAAAAGATGCCCAAGAACTGTATTCATGCATTACAGACCTTGTGGTCCATGAAATCTCTCGACATCACAAATCCAGACTCATCCAGGGAGGAAATTGGCAACGCATATGCTTAAGTCCACAACTGTTCAACGAGTTCAGTTACCTGCTGGACTTCGTGTTTATTGCGGACTCGTTCTTTCTGCAACACAGGAACACCACGACACGACAGGAGCCAACATTTGAGATCAACAATCCAGGAACGTCAAAGGAGCACAAATCTACTTATTATGCTGTTGCAAATGAGGATCTGGATCAGCATAAAAAAATATATTAGATTGCAATCGGTTTTTTGGCAACTGGATCTCCTGGATGAACGTAAAAATTTTTCCTCGTCATCATCTTCATTGCTACGACAGAATCTTCTGATCACCGGGGACCAGAAAATGAAAATGGTTTCCGTCACCAGTAAGCAACCGAAACGCGGTCCACCACATTAAATGCTGTTGGTGCTACTTGCGAGGACATTTTTGAGGTGTATTTTACGATCAAAGAGAAAGGTGCGCAGATCGTAATCAAGAGAAAGGTCGGTGAAAAATCCCAACATCTTCGGCTTCACATAAAGACCGCTTGAAAATAAAAGTGTTGCATTGCTACTGCTAGAAACAGCCGCATGGAGAGGATTACTCAACATACTGCTTTTCAATTTACTACTGGTTGCATTCAGATGAATGCAACCAGTAAGTACCTATGACTCCGCAAATAAGTAAGTACCTATGTATAGTGGTACACGCGAGGAGTGCATGCTGCATGCTGCCCCATCAAGCATGAGGTTGGCCTCCACCACTCCGTTTCTACTTTAGCCTCGACTGCCAGCGCCTAGACGGGAAAGAACCCGGTCGGAGTGGTTGATAGAAGAATTTTTTCGACACAGGTATCGGATCGGTTCACCGAAAGGAAATGAAATTTTTGATCAAAGATCGTTATCTAACTTTATGACATGAGTACTACCCCAAAAAAATCTTCACAGAGTCATGATCTTCATCAGCCAGCATACCGCGTATGATCTCTAGCTTTATCTGTAAAGGCCTGTTCAAGTTGTAGAACAAATGCAGATCCATTGTTCATTGCATCTCGTGGCCATATGTGGCATGATAAGATCTTAATATCCGGGTCGATGAACACAATAAACAAGAGGACATGGCTGTACTAAAATCCAAAGAAATCCGTGGAGCACGACATAATTATCTATAATGCTATTGCAAAAATTCTGGCGGGCGGGGGGGTGCAAGGTGCTAGCAGAAATGCTGCTAGCGGAATCGTGCTAGCAGAAAAATGAGTACTAGTAGAAATCCTGCTAGTGTTTTTAGCGTTACAAAAAAGCGCGAGAGGTACTAGTAACAGGCGCCACTAGTGAAGGCGCCCACTAGTGGAGACACTAGTGACAAAAAGCCCGACTTTGGGGAAAGCGGAAACACTAGGGGGAAAACCCGCCAAAGTAAGTGGGAAACTCGCTCGGAGGGAGACGCGCGCTGCCCGGCCCCCGGGTGGCCTTCGGCCCTGCCTGCCGTGGTCTGGGCCCGTGGCCGTGGCTTAGATGCCTGGCGGTTCGCGTACGTTTGGCTGCCCCAGGCTGAGGTCGCTCTGCATTCTGGCGCCCCTCCCCCTTCCACCTCTGTTGCGAGGGCTCTCGCGTCAGTTCGCGCCTTTTTCTGCCGTGTGTGGCTCGGCAAGCCGGACTCCGTCGCGTGCTCACTGCCGACCGCGGGGGCTCTTCGGCCGCGTCGGGGCGGTCTGATTTTGCCACGTCTCCTCTGGATTGCCAAGCATGCTCTCGGCCTGCCTCTTTACGGCTCTCCCCCTATGCCTGTTTGCTGGGCCCTTCTCCTTTCGTTCCCAGCCAACGCTTTTTGCTTCGGCCCCTGCCGTGGGCTTTCGCTTTGGCCTTCTTGCTTTTTTTTTGGGGGGGCTGTCTGGTTTCTAGCAAGAACCACCCGCAGCACCTCCCCTGCCTTCCCGCTGCGGCTGCCCTGCCGCCCTGCCTGCCCTGCTTTATCTTTGCTGGGTGCCGGCAGTGTTTCTAGCCTTTCGGCCGTCGGCGCGCTTTTTTCGTGCTGTTTCCCGCTGCTAGCCTCCCGAGCCTCCGAAAAGGGTCTGCGCACGCTCTCCGGCGGCTCTGTTTGTGGGGGCCCGGGCAGGGGCTGCGCCCAGTGCCCCCGCACGCCCCTCGCACCTAGCGGCCTTGCCTCTATGTGCGCTTCCTTCGCTCCCGCCAAGGGAGAAGGGCCGGGCGTGGGCGCTGCCGTTTCTCTTTTTCGCACGCTGGTCGCGCCAACATAGTTTCAGCATGTACGGCTGGCCACTGGCTGCCACGTTCTTTTCCCCTCGCCCCCCCTTGCACCCCCTCGTCGCCGGGCCGGCGGGCGCGGAGCGACCGCCCGTTCTAGATAAAATCCAAAGAAATCCGTGGAGCACGACATCTGTAGAAGATGACAGCAGCGCGCAAGAATCGGTAACAAAATGCGTTCCCTGCCTAGAGTGAGTGCTGACCCGGGATCGTGATCGGTAACAAAATGCGTTCCCTGCCTAGTGTGAGTGACCCAGTACTACGGAAGCCATGAGCAAGAACATGAAGAGCTGTCAAATCTAGGGCGTCCAGCGCTTCAGGGGACAGTCGAGGTTTTTGTCAGCCTCCTGCTTCACAAAAACACACAGCCTCTTACTTCAAACAGTGCAGGAGTAGAAATCTTTTACCCCGACAAAACAAAGACGCCTCAGAATCCGCATTAGATCGAGGCATACATCTTCTATCTTCATCCCGTACAGGATTTTTCAGTTCCAGGCACTAGTTTTGCTATAATATCGCTTTTATATATCGCCAGGCACTAGTTTTGCTATAATATCGGCATCGCTATTTATATTTTTTGAAGTGGTCGTGCGTCAGCATCAGCAACTTTAATATTCCTTCGTCTCGGTCGGAGTCGCAGGAGGACATATCAGTGGCCCAACTGATTGTGATTGTGCATCACAGTAAAGAATATAGAAAAAGTAGAAGGAGGTCGTAGAGGAGATCGCTAGCCGCCGACATCATGAAGTTTTTTCTTATTTTCGTTCTCGCTGCGACAGAATGGGTCGGGGCCTCGGCCTCCGGGCGGAAAGCGCCGCTCGTCCTGTTTCCGCCATCTCCTGCTGAAGGTAAAGGTAGTGGAAGGCACAGCGCAGGTAGTGGAAGCCGCAGCGCGAATAGGAGATTGCACAACTCCCCCTCCCCCTCATTTGTATTGCATGAGCGGCAATACAAGCATCAGCCAGAATGCCGGTTTTGCATGACAAATTTGCACCGCCGGAGAAGTGTTGTGCTATTTGGGCTACCAGAGCTTGTCATTCAAATAGTGCCGCAAGGCAGCGTCAGCGAATAACGCAGGCACTTTGCATGACAAATGAGGGGGAGGGGGGTTGTGCACTCTTATATCGAGCCGCAAGCAGAGACAGAGTTCTCGCAGCGCCAGTGTGGCGAGTAGTAGTCGTAGTAGTAGCAGCAAGTACGAGGAGGGAGTCTATGAAAACGTCAGAATCGAAATGGACAAAATCGAAAAATTTGTGATGCACAAAATCGATGTGGTCAGTTGGAGTCTCAGTTCCCAACTGGCGCATGACAAATTTCGGGAGCACCCAAATCCAGTCTGTCGTGCTGTTTGGGCAAAGAAGACTGCTCCTGTCGTGTTACTCTGGTGGCAGCACATCGCGCACCCCTCAACAGGCTTACAATTGGTCTTATTTGCCTGCTTCCCAATACAGGCCGCCAGTGCCTTACATTTTATGCATCACAAATTTTTCGATTTTGTCCATTTCGATCCTGACACATCCATACAGTCGCTTCGCTCGCAGAGACGTTTCGCGAAATCGCGAAGGAAATGGCCTTGGCCATATGCATTGGAAATTAATATGTCCTCTGGGTCTCCCGGAAAGATTGGAACTTGTGATGCGTATTTCACGACACACAAACTTTTCATGCATAGGCACCAAAAGTACAAGTGCCCCACTTCGCGGCATCGAAATAGAGAATTAATGATGCGGATTACGCATAATTTTGCGGAACCGTCTCAAAGCCTGTTAAAAAGAGGCCAGGGCTTCCAGCATGCCAGACGTTCCGAGTGAGTCATGGAAAAACAGCATGACAGAAATGAAATCTGCAATCTTCCACACCCCGACTCAGACATACTTATTTGCATTTGATAGGCCACGACCCCGGACGGCGGGCCCGCCAAAGACCGAAGAACCGTTCTGGTCGCGTTCAGTGACGGAAGCAGTAATAGTGAACAAGATAGCAGCGACGGGAGCAGTGACAGAAGCCGTGACAGAAGACAGGACCACACTGGTGCGGTCGCGTCGTACGCAGTGTACGCCCAATCGTACGAGATCAAACGATATGCATTGCAAATATGTTTGGATCTTCTGGAAGGATGCAGCTTGTCATGCTAGATCTGGATCATGCAAGAATTTGTGTTGCACGATTACCAAACGCGGTGCACTTTTGACCAAGTCGAGAGGGAGTTTCGCATGTAGGATAGGCATCCATGATACAGATCTCAGAGAACCTGTCCTCGTGCTCGGTCCTGCATTCCAGAGCCCATGGAAATGGGCCACCACGTTAAACCTGCATGACAAGTCTCTTCATCTTCCAGACCCAGACATTCTTGCAATCCATAAAAGAGTGCGGGACGATTACAAGCGCAAGCCTGAGGGCTTGAGCGGGTATGTGCTCGATCTGGAAAGCACGGAGTGCGCCTGCAGGCCCTGTAAGTTCGTCGTTTCGCTGGCTACAAGCAAGGCGGTCAATGATGATGCAAGGTTGGGCAGCACGTCCACGTTCGTGACGGCTCAAAAAACTCACTCCCTGGCCGAGCTGCTGACGCGCACCGAAACGGCCCTCGTTGAAAGTTTCCGCTTCGACAACCCCAGTGAGAAGGTTGCGAGTACGTTGGCGGCCCAGTACCAGCTTGCAAAGCTCTTCCGGGAGATGTTTTTCCAGGATAACCGCTGGCGGCACGAGGTGCTTTATAACACCAAGCTATCGACCGGGCAGAAGGAGTTTAGTAAGGCGGTGAAAGATTTTCACCCGAAGCTGCTGCTCGACGCCGGTTTCTCTTCGATGAACATGAAGCAGGCAGATTTCGTTTCCATCCGAGAGTTTTTTCTGCCGTCTCACGTAGACTTTGGCCGCAGCACGACGGACCCCTCTCGGTCCCGCTCCCGTTCCGCGTCATCAGAATCTGTGCGGAGCAGTGCGCGCGAGACGAAACCCGACCAGGGGCCCTCCACGTCGTACCCGGCGATATTCAAACGACGACAGGAGGGAAGCTCGTTGGAGCTCTCGTCCGTGGCCGAGCTCCGGGGAGTGGCGCTTGCGGTCGCAGTCTTCGCTCGTCACGTCCGTGGTAGGGGGACATCCACGTTGATGGAGGGGCTGCCTCTCGACCACATCGTTTTCGCTTGCGACAACAAGCTGGCGCTCGAAGAAATTCGGTTTGGGTGGCGCAACGCTGCCAAGCGTTCTTCGGGACCGATGAAGCCCGCCTTCGCCGTGCCCCACGAGTTGGTGCAGCAGGTTGTCGAGCACTTGGCGTTCCTGGCCCAGGAACACGGCGATGCTTTTTACCGTTTCGCCTGGCAGCGCGCGGGGCACGAGCGAAAGCACCTTAGCTCCGAAGAGAAGTTTTTTTACGCCTCAGCGCAGCGGGTCGCCGACGCGGGCGCGCGGCTTTTCCGGAAAGCGGTTGAAAGCCCCGAGTGGGCTTTGGCGGTGCCTGAACGGAGCAGAGACAATTTGGGAGTCGCCAACGCATTCCGAGAAACATTTTTGTGCATGAGCGAGGACCGGCTCCAGACCGGCATCGTCGCCGGCCTGGCTTTTTTCAAACGCAACAGCGGCCAAAAAGCGATGGGTACTACGAATTTGTTCACGCTGGGAGCAGGGGTGGATCCGGACCCCGTCGCAGCTGCAGAGCTTTGCGTCGGCTCCTGTGTGTCAGGCTCTCGTGTGGCGCTCGCCACACTAAGTTCTTTTGGAGACGCATGTCGCGACGGACGGCCGGCGACCTGGTTTCAGGAGGAGTTAGGCAAGCCCGCGACGGCGGCCGCCTTTCCGCACTCTTTGTCGACGATCCAGAGTGAGGTGGGCGCCCCGTCGTCCTCTGTTGATGTGGGAAACCTCTGCGACGTAGCGGATGCGGAGCCGGTTTTGCGCAGGAATAGGGGGGACCCTGAAATCACGATCGCACGGGCACGCGACCCGAGGGGGCGATCGGCTACGCGCCCCGGAGGAGCCCCCCGCGCCACCGGGTTGCCCAGGCACCGTCTCGGACCGGTGCCGGAAAACGTCCAAACTTGGCCGCTATCAAATGTAAAAATGCCTGGGTCTGGAAACTTGTGATGCTGGGCGGCGTCTCGTGATGAGCATGAGGCCACAAATGCTGGCTCAGCATGACAAGTTTCTGATTCTGAGCTTCTAGCTTTTGCCTATTCTGCATGACAAACTGCGGTGCTGCATCACAGAAAATAAATGGAGCTCTTGTAATATAACGTGCATGACAGATTTGTAGAGTTATGCCAGGCAAGCATGACAAACATACATCCTTCCAGACCCAGACACTTTTGCACTTGATAGCCGCAGGTAGTAGGCTACACGCCACAACCTCCACTGTCCCAGTTCTTAGTACCCGTAGTGTATCCGGTATGGAGAGAAAAAAGTTTGTCACAGTCACTAACTTGCAGGTTTTGCATGACAAATTTTCTCAGCATCACAAACTTTCCTTGTATTGCAGAAACACTAGGGAAATCCGTAATGAAGTCTTGCTGTGATGCATTTTTACGCATGACAAACAATTTTGTATTGCAAGAATGCGCATGAGTGATCGTGACGAACTTTTTTTCTTTGATATCCGGATGGGTCGATGTACACCGGGTTCTTCTGGGATGTATAAAATGTAAAAATGTCTGGGTCTGGAAGAATGCAACTTGTGATGCTGCATCTGGATTCCAGAAAAATCTGTATTGCATGAGTACCAAAAGGAATGGAATTTTTGCTACGCCGAGGGGGCATTTGTCATGCGGAATAGGCATCAAGAAGCTCTCAAAAAATCTGTGATGCTAGGGCACGCATCACAAACATCAGGCCTCATGCAAAACGTGCATGACAAGTTTCAGAATCTTCCAGACCCAGACATTTTTACAGTTGATAGGATGGCAAGAGGCACGGCTGGGGTAGGCTGATGTCGCCGGACGGGCGGGTGCAGTACGATGGAGAGTGGTGCGGCGGCAAACGACACGGCTCTGGCGTGGGCACGTATACGGATGGGTCGAAGTACAACGGGAAGTGGCAAGACGACAAGCTGCACGGCTGGGGTACGCTGATGTCGCCGGACGGGCGGGTGAAGTACGCTGGAGAGTGGTCCGGCGGCAAACTACACGGCTCTGGCGTGTACACGTATAAGGATGGGTCGACGTACAACGGGGAGTGGCAGGACGACAAGAGGCACGGCCACGGCGTGAACGAGTATCCGGATAGGTCGAGGTACAACGGGAAGTGGCAGGACGACAAGAAGCACGGCCAGGGCCTGCACACGTATCCGGATAGGTCGAGGTACAACGGGAAGTGGCAGGACGACAAGAAGCACGGCCAGGGCCTGCACACGTATCCGGATAGGTCGAGGTACAACGGGAAGTGGCAGGACGACAAGAAGCACGGCCAGGGCCTGCACACGTATCCGGATGGGTCGACGTACAGTGGCGAGTGGCTGAACGACAAGCGCAGCGGCCAGGGCCTGCACACGTATGCGGGCGGGACGACGTACAGCGGGGAGTGGCTGAACAACAAGCGCAACGGCCAGGGCCTGTACACGCATGCGGACGGGTCGACGTACAGCGGCGAGTGGCGGGACGCCAAGAGGCACGGCCAGGGCGTGAACAAGTATCCGGATGGGTCGACGTACAGTGGCGAGTGGCTGAACGACAAGCGCAGCGGCCAGGGCCTGCACACGTATGCGGACGGGTCGACGTACAGTGGCGGGTGGCTGAACGACAAGCGCAGCGGCCAGGGCGTGAACGAGTATCCGGATGGGTCGACGTACAACGGGAAGTGGCGGGACGACAAGAGGCACGGCCACGGCCTGCACACGTATGCGGACGGGTTGACGTACAGCGGGGAGTGGCGGGGCGACAGGAGGTACGGCCAGGGCGTGAACAAGTATCCGGATGGGGTGACGTACAGCGGGGAGTGGCGGGGCGACAGGAGGTATGGCCAGGGCGTGAACAAGTATCCGGACGGGTCGACGTACAGTGGCGGGTGGCTGAACGACAAGCGCAGCGGCCAGGGCGTGCACACGTATGCGGGCGGGACGACGTACAGCGGGGAGTGGTTGGACGACCACCGACACGGCCAGGGCCTGTACACGGAGACGAATGGCCGGACATAAAAACTCAGTCGCTTTTTCTAGGCGCGTTTTGCCGAGCCAGCACAGCACAGCAGCATTACAAGTTGTAGCCCGCCAGGGGTCAGCACATCATGGTGGCGGCCTTTTTGCTTTCCCCGATCATGCATAGCAAGAAAAAGGAAGATAATGTGCATGATCCTCACGGCCCGAAAGAACTTATTTCCACCCCTACATGCAAAGTGCGTTCGAGAAAAATCCATTGCCATTGCTATACTTATTTTGTGTATATCGAGATGAAGAAGGGTGTTGAAAAGATGAGGAAGTGCGAAAAGTAGCGCAAAGGCAAGAAGTTTGCCTTGCTCCCCTTGAGAGATAGTAGTGACGTTGAACAGTAGAAGTCACCACTCCTCCCATATAACCCCGTCAGTTAGCTAAGTCATTCACGACTCACTCACTGTTTTTGGACGCAAGAGGATGCTAGTTTGCCCTTTATTTGCTGAGCATTCTTCTTCTTTGAAAAGGAAAACGAAAACTCCAGCGGGGGTGAATGGGACGGTGCATGGTATTTGAAATTATTTGCGCGTGGCAGGCTTTAGCATCGATTTTTACATCTGCTATGTGATTGTGAAGTTTCCTGTAGTCGTGGCGAACAAAAAATTTGGAAACTTTCAAAGAGGTTACGATCCCCAAACGTTATGGGTTTTATGGTATACATAAGTCGCGCACTTTGCGCAATTCTGATAAAGTATTTGCGCTTGATAAGTATATAGAACTACATATTCTGAGTATAGGGCTTAGCACGTAATAATGTTAGGTTTTATTGCTATACTATCTATTGAAGTATACTATCTGTATTTGTAAGTATTAAGGGTATTATTGACAAACGTGTAAAAATTTTTTTTCCTATTGGTGGAGTCTCTAATAAGGTCGCGCGTAGTTGTGCCTCCAAGAACAGCTGCAGTTCCACTTTATTAAGATTCCTACAACTCAAAATGCGCGAGCGCGCTAAGAAAGATAGAGTCCCAGATAGAAACCAAATGCCCTGTAGTGACGAGTTAAGGAGCTGCAAGATAAGTTAGCCGCAGCTTCATCTTGCAGGCTTTTCATCATTCGTATTTAACATTACCGACTGCCTCCATCGAGCGCGGTTAAAAAAAAGATGCCCAACTGTATTCATGCACTAATACAAACTTTTTGGTCCATGAAATCTTCCGACATCACAAATCCAGACATTCAGGAGGGGTATTGGCAACGCATATGCTTAAAAGTCCACACCTGTTCAACGAGTTCAGTTACCTGCCGGACTTCGTGTTTATTGCGGACTCGTCTCTGCAACACAAAAAATCTTGATCCTCTTGCAACAACGCAAGAAAAGTTCTTGTGTCTAAAGTCCTCGTGGTCACAATTACAGATCTGTTTCTGCAACACAAATCTCGATGATTACAAGCCAAAAAAATGACAAGCCATCAAGTTCTCCTCTCTACTGTGTGTCTTTCCGAAAAAATCTTTTCTGCAGCAGAAATCATGATCCTCTGGCAAAATTGCAAGACACGTTCTTCTGCAAAGCTTGTGCCTGTTGCTGGACGAGCCGTATGTATTTTCTTAAAATCGAAGAGAGAAGTTTCTGATTCTGATTCCGAGCTCAGCATGACAAGTTTCTGATTCTGAGCTTCTAGGTTTTGCCTATTCTGCATAACAAACTGCGTTTCTGCATCACAGAAAAATGGAGCTCTTGTATAACGTGCATGACAGATTTATAAAGTTATGCCAGGCAAGCATGACAAACATACATCCTTCCAGAACTGTATTTATGCATTACAGACCCTGTGGTCCATGAAATCTTCCGACATCACAAATCCAGACCCATCCAGGGAGGGTACTGGCAACGCATATGCTTAAAAGTCCACAACTGTTCAACGAGTTAAGTTACCTGCCGGACTTCGTGTTTATTGCGGACTCGTCTCTGCATCTGCAACACAAAAAATCTTGATCCTCTTGCAAAAACGCAAGACAAGTTCTTTTGTCGAAAGACCTCGTGGTCACAAATACAAATCTGTTTCTGCGAACACAAATCTCGATCGATGATCATCGATCGTGCAAAATTTCTTGAAGCCATCAAGTTTTCCTCTTTACTGTGTCTACTTGCCGAAAAAATCTTGTCTGCAGCAGAAATCATGATCCTCTGGCAAAATTGCAAGACACGTTCTTCTACAGAGCTGTTTCCACAAAAATGCCTGATCTTCGGATATGAAATTACTCCTCCTTCTGCAGAACTGTTTGTGCGGAAGATGTTCTACTTGAGCGGTCCGAAAAATTAATTGTTCTTCTGTCGTCGCGATCCAAATTTGTCGCGGTGGGATCCTTTCAAATCTGTGCTCTTGTGAAGTAACTTCTACAACGATCAACAGAGATGAATAAACCAAATCGCGGATCTTCTTCCTACTAGATCGTGCCCTAATTCAGCTGTATTGATGGAATGATAACGTTCATACTGCCCTTGCTGACGACTTCTGACCAACGCGGCCCGCCACTCCGTAAGAAAAAATCAGCCAGGAATAGCAAATTTCTCATAGGATAATTTTCTGAAGAACGTGCGGACCCACCAGCCTTCCTTTCGCTGACCGTAGCAGGCTGCCTATGAATTTTCGATATTTTTTATTTCCGCCATATTTTTCTCGTGTTCTTTCAATCGAATTGCGCTTAGCCGGAGCGGTCAACCAGTTTTTCAAGCAACGATAGTTTCTGACGTTTTTGATTACGTAAAGTGCCACGAGTGATATTATTGCAGTAGGCACAATAACTCCATCTACATAAACAGCAGTGAAAAACTATCCGAACGCATAAAAACTCTTCTCCATTTGTACATGAAATATTAAACATGGTTATTTATCGCTCGATATCTCGGGAAGAGCTCGGCGAGCATGCGACTCGCCAGGATTGCTGGATTGCGCTTCACGGTTGGGTCCTGAGAGTCGACGCGAAGACGCTTCAGGAGCACCCGGGCGGCGCGCAGTCCATTCTTCGGTTATGGAAGTGTCACAATCGAAATTGACAAAATCGAAAAACTTGTGATGCATAAAATCGATACCAGTTGGAGCCTCAGTTTGCAAGCGGCGCATGACATCAAATTTCGGGAGAACCCAAATCCAGTCTGTCATGCTGTTTGGGCAAAGAAGACTGCTCCTGTCATACTACTCTGGCAGCACATTGCATACCCCGCCGAAACAGGCTTACAATCGGCCTCATTTATTGCCTGCTCCCCAATACAGGCCTCCAGTGCCCTACGTTTTATGCATCACAAATTTATTTTCGACTTTGTCGATTTCGATCCTGACACATCCATCCCGGTTTGCCGGCACGGATTGCACAACCCCGTTCGAGGATGCAGGACACAGTATCCTGAGCAAAAATGTACCCACCCCAGAGTTGTCATGCAGATTTGCAGCTACAGGAAGATTTGTAATGCGCATACACATGAGAGGCATTTCCAATCAGGTTTTGCGCTTTGCAATGCTGTCGACAGGATGAGTAGATGGATTTGTGTTGCGGCTGTGCTTGCTAAACTGCACTACAATACCTAGACGAACTTGTCATGCTGGACCCCCAAAACTTCTCGATTTGTGTTGCGAAATCCTCATCTTGACTCTGGTGTGGGGACGTTTTTACACAGGATACCGAGTGACTTTGCGCGCGACTGGTGCAACCGGCTCGAAGTGATGGGGCAATTTTTCGATGTGGATGAAAATGAGAAACAGAGCGGGGCAGCTTCTTGTTCTACGAGAAGATCCTTTTTGAAGAGCAACGATGATATAATTAGCAATATGGAACAAGAAGAGCAGCCACGGAAGAAGATTCCTGGCGTAGTAGGGCGACACCACGACTTGGAGATGAGCAGTCAGAGATCACCTACTGTTCCCGAGGACCACCTCCAGGACCACCCGTTGCAAGAAGTAGAAGGCGCAGCACGACATTATGGCGTTCTCAAATGTTACATTCTCAACTGTTACATGATTTGTCATGCAAAACGAGCATCAACGTCCACAAAATGAAGCTACTTCGCATGACAAATTTTGGAAGGGCTAAACGGGATGAGAATCTATGCCGAATTTGTAATGCAAAAGTTGCAAGACCCGGCCTTTCCCCGTTGCCATTCTTGCATCACAAATTCATGTAACAGTTGAGAATGTAACAATTGAGAATCCCATAGAAATCAAGTTCCGGTCCGCATTGCTCGCATGTTTGTGTACCCGATCAAGGCTTGCGCAGGAGTGGAGATCGACCGTGCAGTTATGACCAAGCACGGGGGCGGGTTTGCGCACGACCGCGAGTACGTTTTCGCGGCCGAGCAAGATGAAGACGAAGAGCAATTTCATAATACGGAAGAACATCAACTTCTGCTCCCGGACGAGGACGAGAAGACGGAATCAAATACAAATGGTTGTACAAAAAATGCGAAACGAAGATTTTTGAAGCTGCTCGTGCCGTACGATTTGCCTGCACTCGCTTGGTATCAAATGTAAAAATATCTGGGTCCGGAACAAAGCAACTTGTCATGCTAAATCTGAATCATGTAAAAATCTGTGTTGCATGATTACCAAAAGCGGTCCGCTTTTGACCTAATCGAGAGGCAGTTTCTCATGGAGGAGAGGCATTGGAAAGGTTTCGCAGAACCTGTCATGCTATGTCCTACATACCAGACCTCATGGGTTATGGAAAACCTGCATGACAAATCTGGCAATCTTCCAGACCCAAACATTTTTACATTTGATACCTGGATCCAACCGTCTTTGCCCACTTCGAAGGGGATGCAGATTGAGCTGCGGAATTATAACAGTAGTGCGGGTCAAGAACATCCTCTGGCGGAAGTAGATGACAGTTTTTTCGTCCCAAGGATCAGCAGTGCAAAGGATGGAACATCAAAGAGGTACGTCAACATGTACAAGAAGTGCTTGCTGGAGGGGATCGACCAGGGGGATGCGGTGGCAGACCGCGTCACAAAATTTCTCCACCACCATCATCCGGAGGTGGTGGAAAACTTAGCTCTACGTCATGGCAAGAACGACCAGGAAGGAAAAAATTCTAACCAGCAGCACAACACGAACACCAGCAAAATTATCCGGCTGTTGCTGCTGACCGACCGGTCTCTGCTGCATCCAGAGACCGTCCACATATCAAAAGTAAAAATGTCTGGGTCTGGGAACTTGTGATGCTGGGTGGCGTCTCATGATGAGGCTACAAATGCTGGCTCAGCATGACAAGTTTCTGAGCTCCTAGGTGTTGCCTATTCTGCATGGCAAACTGCGCTTCTGCATCACAGAAAAGCGGAGCTCTTGGGTAACGTGCGTGACAGATTTAAGAGTCATGCCAGACAAGCATGACAAACATGAATTCTTCCAGACCCAGACATTTTTACAGTTGATACCACACCGGGCTCTACCACCAGCCGCGGGGCGGATCGAACTACACTCCGTTTATGTTTATGCGCGAGCAGACGTTGGCGGCAATCAACCGAAAGTTTTTTCCCACTGAGCCGTTGCGGGTCACGATTTTGCGGTTTCGCCCGAACATCGTCTTTCGCGAGGAGGATGTTGAAGCTGAGGTACTAGCACGACTATCTCGTGGTTCCCGTCCAAATGGAGTAGAACAATTCAGTTGTCCAACATCGTCTGATTTCTCTTTTTCCGAGGATTCTTGGGAGACGGTCGAGCTGCGGCACCAGCTATGGATTGTAAAAATGTCTGGGTCTGGAAGGTTGGAACTTGTAATGCTAGCTTTCCATGCCTAGAAAATCTATATTGCATAACCAATAAAAGTCGCAGCCTCTTTTGTCATGCAAAAACTCAGTTTCTCATGCGGATTGCCTATAAGAAAGCGTTTTGGGAAGTTGTCGTGCCGGACTGCATTCGGAAGTGTTTGCATCATGCACATTTTAGCATCACAAGTTTCCAGACCCAGACATTTTTGCATTTCATACCAGCCGTCGCGCTTTTTGCGGGTGCTGAAGTCCTGCGGGCGGTGCAGCCACATCTTCGTGAACCCCGCACTTGCCGTCTGCGACGGGGACTTTGTGCAGAAAGAGCTCTGCCGACTGGGCCGCGATGCCCGGGGGATGCTGGACAAGTTGGAGAGTAAGCTTCATCTGCTAAAGAACAAGTCGAAGATTTTTGCAACAACAGCTATTGGTCGTCGTGGAGACGTCGAGCAAGAAAACCCGGTCCTCGCAAGAATAAATTCTACCTCGGTACTAGTTGATCCCGTGCTCCCGTGGTTTCGAAGCCACTACCAGAAGTTTTTGGACGCGGGGCGGACGACAAAGGTGTTTCTCGGGCTCTGCGGCTCGTTTCACAGTGAAGGAGATTATGCCGATGCCCCCTCCAGAAGAAGTTCTTCTACATCAGACTGCGTTAATATTTTCCACGTTGGACAGGAGTGGGTCGCGAACCTGTCGACCACCCGGTCGCTAAACGAGTTCCGCTCCGAGATGCTGCGGCCTTGCCAAGACAACCGGGCGCTGCTGGAGAAAACGCGTCCCATCGACTTGCTCTGTGCCTACGGACCAGATTTCTTGCAGGTTGTTCCTACACGGCAACAAAACAAAAATTTGAACATTGGTGAAGACGATGAAGCTGCTCCTGCACCAGATCCGGGCGAAGAAGAAGTGGATGAGCCCGCAGCTAGTAGAACTACAACTATATCTTCTCTGCTTGAAGATGAAGATGTTTTCTTGCCGCAAACGCCGGCTTTCGAACGAAATACACGGCGTCACGTCACGGTGACCGAGGTGGTCGAGCTGTCACGCACGGCGAAGCGGATAAGGTTCAGCTTCGGAGATCATGTTGCTGGCCCTCGTTCTCCATCTCCAACTACTTGTGCGCCCATACCGCCGCCGGCCGCATTGGGTCTCCTATCAAATGTAAAAATGTCTGGGTCTGGAAGATTCCGAGATTTGTCATGCAGTTCTTCCAAGCTCCACCAAGTCTGGAATGCAGGGCATAGCATCAGAGGTTCTGCAGCCCCTTGCTGATGCCCATTATGCATGAGAAATGCCCTCTGAGCATGGCGAGAAATGGGGACCTTTTGCAAGTCATGCAACACAGATTTTTGTATCATACGCAACACGCATCACAAGTTCGCATTCTTCCAGACCCAGACATTTTTACATTTGATATCTCCCCTGCGGCTACCACGTGGCGACTTTCGGCGAGAACCCAGCTTTTGCGCGCTCAACGTGGAATAAACAGCCGCAGTCGGCCGCGGAGAAATATGGAAGCGTCAGGTTTGAAATCGTCAAAGTTGAAATAGTTTGTCATGCATAAAATGCAGCCCCCAAAGTGCCTGTCTTGCAGAGTAGGCAAGTGAGGCAGATTGTAAGCCTGTTGAGGGGTAGAAGCTGAGTTGCTAAAGTAGCATGACAAAAGGCGTCTTTCTTACCCAAACAGCATGACAAACTGGATTTCGGCTCTACCCAAATTTGTCATGCGCCACTTGAAAACTGGGTCACAACTTTGATCCATTTTATGCATGACAAATTATTTCAACTTTGTCGATTTCAACTCTGACACATCCATAAGAAACTCACGCCTTTTATCAAAAGGTCCTTTACCCCCGTCCGGTGCGGAAAAGGGTTTTTCGACCTGGTGGTGAAAATATATCGGATGAAGAACAGCAAAGGGGCAGACGAACAACAGGATGATGAAGAGGGAAATATCAATGCCTTCCCCGATGGCGGTCGTCTTACGGGTCATTTCCTGGATCGCTTGGTGGTGAATGACAAAGTCCAGATCGCCGGTCCGTTTGGCCACATCAGGTACCTGGGCGACGGGAGGTTTCGACTTCTAAGTGGTCTATGTGGTAGTAAACCAGAGGACCACCGCCCCAATATCAGAAAATTTTCGCAAGTGGGGATGGTCGCTGGCGGCTCCGGGATCACCCCGATGCTGCAGGTCTTGCAGTTTGCGGCAGCGGAAGCCGGACCTCCTCCTTTTCAGGCACACCTGGTGTATGCGAACAAAACGGAGGAGGACATACTATGCCGGGAGTGGATAGAGTCAGACCACTGTCGCAAGGTACTGCTGGGAAGAAATACATCACGCGGCAGCAGTAGAACGAAGTATGTAATTTCGGCGAAAGGCGAAAGAATCTGCGAAGAAATATTCAAAAACCACTTACCACCCCCTCACGCGGAGACGCTTGTATTGCTGTGCGGCCCCCCCGGTATGGTAGCGGCAGCGCGGAATTTTCTGCGGAATCTCGGCCACGAAGCGGAGCAAATACACGAATTTTGATAAATGAAGTCTGTTTATGGTGGAAAAATGGAGCTGCGCGACAGATGCTGAATGATGCTTCAACGATGTAGGATTTATTAAATGTAGTATGAATAGACAAGACAACGATTTATTTTACCTCGCTTTGATGATGAAAGTTGAAGTAGTTTGTTGTACACAGTTTTTAGCAAGCAGTAGAAGTACTACACCAACTACAGCGCATCCTGGGAACAGTTGACGTAACAACCCAAGCAGATGCAGACCCTCTTTTAAGTAGAATCCGACAGATAAAGGTGAAGCAGCGAGGGCCGAAGCTTTTGTAAGCTTACGAGTTTTTGAGCAAGCCAAGAAGGTCTTTGACGTCCTCCATCTGTTCGTCAAAGGACCACAAAAACCGAGGGATCAAGCGGAGAAAGAGACAAAGAGGCGCCGGAGAGAACTCGGGGCCAGATAGAGTGAGAGCGTGCCTTTGGGAGGTTGTAAGTATGTCCTCTCGACGTCCGCAGTGACATGACAACAAAAATCTTGTGGTGCGCTTTGTTTCTTGTACCGCCCTGGCGCTCGCTGCCACCTCTGCGAGGTGAGATCAGTCTCTGCTACGAACAGGTCTATAGACCTGACGGGCACGACCCTTGCCAGATCACCACTCTTGCCGATGATACAAGTAGCTGCCTGATCACAAGAAGCGGCTATCATGCTGCAAAATTTCGCAAAGGTCGTGGTGGAAGACGAAAATTATATCCCAGTGGTTCCACCTCCCACTTGTGGTTTGCGATTTTAGCAGAGTCTTTTCTGCAACACAAATTATCGCAATCCTCTTGCAATAAGATTGCAGGACGTCGACAGGTTCTTCTGTTTGGAGTTCGTGCTTGCAGAGTCGTTTCTGCAACAGAAATGTTGATCCTCTTGCAACTAATGCAAGAAGACGAGGTCTCTTCTTTGCGGACCCGCTTCTGCAGCACCAACGTCGATGTTACAAATCCTAACCTGTAACACGTGTTGAAAAATGAAGAGTGGGTGGCAACAGCACTCGAACGATATATCAAAAATCTATTTTACTGACGCTTCATTCCTTCGACATCCAGAACGAAACGGAGAAAATAAAATGAAAAGCAGATCGTTTGCTCCAAATGCGATGGCAGACTAGTAGGAATGATCGTAGGGTGACGATGTGGATCATAATTCATTGCACGACCCTCGGTTTGATTTGCAGCTTTTGTTTTTTGACTTTGTCTCAGTACAACTTCTGCACATGGATGAAAAAAAAAATGCAAATGTCGCAGCATGAGCTCGCGGACTTGTAGTTGTATCTGACTTTCTGCAGAGGAGCCGATGAGGATCTAGATGATCTAAAGAAAACAAAAATCTGGATATCAAATCGCGGTCAATTTAATTACCATCGACATGAATGAACAAAGGAAGTAGAAGAAGTTCCTGTCGGTTCTATCTAAATATGGTTCGTGTTCTTGTCCTTGTCGTCCTCCTATTGTCATTTACCACGCCGGCTTTTTCGCAAAAATGTCTCTCTTCGCAGGACAAAGGAAATAAACTTAGTCCATCCGTCAACAGTACGAGTAGCGAGCTTGATCATCTTGTCCTTCGTGTTGACATAGTAGACAGAGGTCATTCATTGTATCTATGACAAAAACTTCTTGCAGTATCAGAAATTGTAGTAAGCAGCGCGTATGACATTGTAGTATATCACTCACCACATAATTTTTCTGTTTTGTATAGCGAAAAATAAGTATTTCGAGCGACATTTTATTTAAACCTCAGACGCATTCTTATGACAAGAAAGAATTGAGACGTTGTTTTGCTTCTATTTAGTGGTAAGCTCCGGGTTCTTCGAAGTACCGATAGGCTGGGCCACATCGCACACCAGTCATTTTAACATTTCTCCGTGTAGACCTGGACGTGGACGACGTCCACAGCTTTTGCTTGTAGCATTAGTTTTGTTTGATAAACCAGGCGTCGCGAGCCGGTGTTGAAAAGATTTCGAACACAAAATAGAAAAGTAGGTTTAACCCGTATGATACTTTCCTCTTCCATATACTATAGTACCATTTTTACAACTTTGACTTGACAAAAACCAATTTGTTTCAATTTGCACGACGAAGAAAATGAGGTTGATCGTAGTTCCTGCGGAGGTGGAGAATATTAAACCTGTCAGCGCTCCAAGTGGTTTTTCCGGACGCAATTTTGGATCCTCGTCGGTTTTCCATGATGATGGTGACCACGTCGCGCCAGAACAAGATTACATTGCTCACTTGTTTTATTTCCCTCACCAACAACATAGCGACAAGCTTCTGCCACGGTGTAGTAGTCGACGTCCACCACTGAGAATGAAAACGTCGCCACGACTTCGCGTACTTCCAGGACGAGCAGGTCCTGTTGACCTCATATTCGGCCGCGCCAAGTTTTCGATTTTTCTTTTTTTCTTGCTGGCCACCTCGAGGGGACTACAGCTGCTGCTGTCCATTTTTGAACAACCACAAGATCATGAAGTAGATCTTTATTCCTGTGGACCACTAGCAGGTCTTGATCTTGTTCTACTTCCCGTAGTATCAAATGCAAAAATGTCTGGGTCTGGAAGAGTCAGGACTTGTCATGCACATTTTGCATGACCCGTGAGGTCTGTGATGCAGTGAGAGCTTCTTGATGCTAATCACGCATGAGAAATGCCCTCTCCGCGTGCCAAGAACTGACTCCTCTTGCTGCTCATGTAACACAGATATTTTTAGAATCCGCGAACAGCATTACAAGTGGCATTCTTCCAGACCCAGACATTTTTACATTTGATACGTAGTTTCAGCACGACGATGGAAAGCTGCAGGGAGGAGCGCAGTCGGTGGAGCTTCCTCGTTATCCAGGAAAAAAAGTGTGTAATTGTAACTTTGTTAGAGGAACAGCATCACAAATTTGCTCTACATGACAGAGGAAACCTGTCATGCATAATTTGTAAGGGAAAACACACATGAAAAGAGGACTTCGTGGCTGTCTGGCATGACAGGCGTAACTCTGTTGCATCTTCTGCAACACAAATTTACACTTACACAGTTTTTGTCTTGCATACTTCTCGTCCGGAGCACGAGCAGCAGCGCGGCAAAATGATCATGTGCGAGGAGCAGGCCGCCATCGCGGCCCCCCGCACTCTTCGGATTTAGCCAGCGGCCCCTCGCACGACTCTGCGGAAGATTTAGCCACAGTCTTGAAATATTTGAGGCGGACGAAAGATGGAGCGTCGTACAGTAGGCTGATTGAAATCCGCATACTCTGGGAAGACGCCTTATGGATGTGTCAGAGTTGAAATCGACAAAGTTGAAATAACTTGTAATGCATAATAAAATCGATACCAGTTGGAAGCCCAATTTCTAAGCGGCGCATGACAAATTTGCGTAGTACCGAAATCCAGTTTGTCATGCTGTTTGTGTAAGGAAGACGCCTTTTGTCATGCTACTTTAGCAGCTCTATTTCTACCCGGAGACAGGCTTACAATCTGCCTCCCTTGCCTACTCTGCAAGACAGAGAGACATTTTCTGCGTGGCATTTTATGCATGACAAACTATTTCAACTTTGACGATTTCAACCCTGACAGTTGCATACGCCTATCTCCAGCTGCTGTCGGACGATGTTGCTGAGCAGGGGGCAGTTATCAAAATGAAAAAAGCCCCCACCCCATATCAAAAGCGGATCTGTGATGCAGGATTTGTGTACACAAATGCGCGCTGTCTTGCGATACGGCATCGCAGCCAGATTCGCAGCCTCGGGAGGAACATTTGGGTCTAGTAGGTGCTTAGCATTACAAACGGCTGTCCTCTAGGGGGCCCAACAGCATGCCAAATCGCTTCCATAATGGCAAGGAAGCCTCTGCGTTTGTCTTCTTGCAAGACAGACGTGATTTGTGGTCTCAAATCAGCAAGACAAATTTTCGTAAGCATGCCTAACTTTTCGATATGGGGAGCGAGGGGGGATTTTTCCTCTCAATAGCACATGATCATGCACAAAGATCCAGGCCGTCGCGAGGTGAAACTACAACAGCCAGCACAATGAGTGTAGAAGAATTGCGGGAGCACGCGTTGCTCTTTCGGGACGTCGCCGAGGTGGCTTGTATTGTGAAAGCGGGCTATGTATGCATTGCAAATCAATATGTTGTCAGCACGGTGGTCTCCTGGGAAGAAAATGTAAGTATCTTCGTAAAAATCGCTGGTCTTGCATTATATTTTCCTGTAGATGTAGTTGATCAGTAGCTCTATCTCTAAGTACCTCTATCGCATGTTCTTGAGCACGAACGGCAATAGCGCAGCTTCCTTTGTCATGCGCTGCGCACGCGGTTTGAGTTTCTCATTCGTCCTCTTCAGGATAAGAAGACGTATAGTTTCAAAAACTTGAATTATAAATGCTTGGTTGATGCAACTAGAATGAACTTCTGCAGTCAACATCCCCAGGAGTCCAGCAACATCACAAGTTTTTTATTCCAGGGTTTAAGGCTAGTTTGAGGGTTTAGGGCACAGTCTCAGTCGTGCTAGGCATCACAAGTTGTGTCTTCCAGCAGATTTAGACCACATATTTGCAATGCATATGATGAGCCTCAGGATTATTTGCGAACCTGTTACAAAAAAGAGGAAAGGCCCAGCCCGGAACAACGCCGACACTACGCGGATCTTTTTAAAGAAGATTCGATGATATCCAGTGTGATTTCTCGAGCTTCTTGAGTCAAACACAAAGGAGAAATAAAAATTTTGCTGTCTGCCTGTAATACAACTTCTGTAAAAATATCGGTTACTCGCCATCTGTCTTTACCACAACTGATTTTTTGCGATCGTAAATGTTGTGTAACTGCTACGGTATTGATAGATAATTTAGATATGGCAGCTCAGAAAAATGATCCCATAGACGAAATAGGCATGTGTTGGGCGGTGAGCGTGTACTACTTAGCACAGTTGTAGACAGCAATCTTCGTGGCGGAGAAGCGCGACCTTCTGAGAAACGTAAACTCCGGTATCGCATTTCTACTTGGATTTGCGCTTAATATAGTAAAAATTTCATGATGCAGAACTTCTTTGTGTGTGGCTCAAGAAGATGAAGAACGGTTGGCACCAGGTGGATAACAGAACCAGGCGGGCACGAATACAGGCTCCTCCAATCCGCTTCTCTTGGGGCTTGTGAAAGAACTTCTTACTGTCTGGTTTTCTACCGCGCCCCCGTCGACTTCTTCCGGGAGCTATTCGGGCCTGGAGGAGAAGCTCAGGAAACATCTTGATGGAGGCCCAGGAGCAGCAGTGGAGACCCGAGCGCTGGTCAACGCATGTGTTACGGCAGCGATGAAAAGGGCA